GTTTGAATTTCTGATTTGTAAGAATTTATAATAAAATGTAATTTTTTAATTTTCTGGTTTGAATAAAACGGATTAATGAAATCCGTGTACAGGATTCCAGGTCATCGTCTCATAAAACGGATTATTGAAATCCGTTTTATATTTGACCAGGTCCTCACTTTTTAAAACGGATTTATGATATCCGTTCGTTATAAATTAACTAAAACGGATATTGTTAATCCGGTTTTAGGAAAACGCAAATTTAGTCAAAACTGCATCTTTTTCCCCTCTTTTTTCCCCTTTTTTCTTGCTTCTTCTTCCCCGTTTCTTCACCGGCCAGCCACCATCTCCGGTTTAACCCTAATTTTGCCCTAATTTTCCCCTAATTCCACAGATTCTCTCATTTTCCCATCTTTTTCCCCTTTCTTCTTGTTTGTTCCTCCACGTTTCTGCGAAGGCACCATCTCCGGTTTTCCTCTAATTTTGCCCTAATTTTCCCCAAGTCCCAATTCAGAATCGTTCCCGTCTTCCGGTGGCTCCTGTCCGTTTATCCCGTCTCGGCGTCACTGTTAAAAAGGTAAGTGTATTATATTCTTTTGGTTCAGTAATTTGAATTTCTTTTTGGATATGATTCTTTTGATTCTTCTTTTGATTCGTCTTAATTTTTTGTATTAGTTTCTGCAGTAAGTAGTTAATGAATTTTTTGCTTCAGTATTTGACTAGGTGACTATTTGTTTTTTTCCGGAAACTGTGTGTGTGTTGAGGGGGTGTTTACTTTGAACAAATTTGCAGAATAAGCTTATGTCAACCTGCTTTTCCGGGTCCATTTTCTCAGTTGGAAATTTGTATGGCTTAACATAAATGAAGGGAAGTGTTTTGGTGTAAATTTTGTGTAAAATATTTGAGATTACATAGATTTGCATGTGCCTTTGATCCGTATGTTGTTCTAAACATGTGCCTCGTAGCTCATTCTATCAGATAACTGTATGATCTTGCTCACTTAGATTACTTTTGTGCATGGCCCTCTTCAAGTATTTTGTAGCTCAGTCACAGTTTATCACATTATACTGCCAAATGACAGTATCATCTACCTACTCTACCACGTCTCAGAAATTATAAAGAAGATGATTAGACAGAAGAACATGATTCTATTTGAGATTGCCTTGGTTTGGTTGACCTGCTAAATTCAACATGTTGTAATGAATGTTTCATCTTGTGACTGTGTTTTAGCAATTCATGTTTCAGTTAGGCACTTGAATCTGAGATCATCAATAACTAGTTTTGCCTACTATCCAAGACGGGACTTTGTTTATATATGTTTGCTGCTGCTTTTGGTTTTTTTATATGAACTTCACATGATCATTGGTGAAGCAGTGTAGAAAACCTGCTTTTTTATTTTAGTTTCTGTTAGAAAACCTGGTTTGAAATTTTTTGCTTTGATAACCTGGTTTGTTTAGTTTATCAGTGGACCATACTAATAGCCTTTTTTGGTTTTTTCAGTAATATGGCTAGTTCTTCTTCGTCGCAAGCCCCAAAATTCACAAATAAGGGTCCGATTGACTCTACACTTCTTTATCTTCAGGGTGATCATCGATCTGATGCCATTTGGCATAGTGAGCCGAGATTCATTTATGAACACCATAAGTGTCGACGATTTGATAATCTACTTTGGGAGCTGTACGCAATGACCAATGACTGTGTTAAAGCTTACGTGGCTAAAATGGGTTTTGGATACTTCCTTGAGACGGGTCTCATTCGATTAAACAACTCCCTGGTGACAGCATTGGTTGAAAGATGGCGGTCCGAAACACATACATTTCACTTCCCAATGGGGGAAGCAACAATTACACTCCAAGATGTCGAAGTCCTTTTGGGACTGAGAATTGATGGAAACCCTGTAACTGGCCAAGATTCGCCACCAGCTAGTTGGGTTCCAATGTGCCAGGAGCTTTTGGGATTCACGCCCAAATTGAAAAAAGGGTCCAACCAACTTATAATCACTTCGCTGGCAGATGAGTTCGCTGGCAGATGAGTGTAAGCGAAAACTTCCATCAAATGTCTTAGATGATGCTTGCCAGAAAAGGGCTTGGGTTTTTGTTTTGTGGGCAATTGGAGGTTCACTATTTCCAGACACAACCGGAAATACTGTGCCTTTACTTTATTTGCCCTTACTGAAGGATTTTAAGACTTGTAGAAAACTAAGTTGGGGGAGTGCATGTCTTGCAGTGTTGTATAATAATCTTTGTAAAGCATCAAAAAGGACAAAATGGGATATAGGTGGATGCTTGATTCTTTTGCAGGTAGAATTTGATTTACTTTATTTTTTCCTTTTATGTATAACAGTTTGTGTTCTTTTAACCTAACATGTGTTCATTTATAGATTTGGGCTTATGAACGAATCCCAAGGATTCGCCCCATCAGGAAAAATCCAGAAGACGACGATCACACCTTGGCCTTGGGTTCAAGATGGAGGTGTTCATTGGATTTTTCGCAGGTGGCCTCTCACTGTCTCCCAGCACAACGAGATCAACTCGCGAGCCTTAGGAAGGTTGAAGATGTAAGGGTTTCTAATTTTATATTTGATTAAATTATTTTTGAATGAATTTGAACTTAATGAATAAATGGCTTTTGCACTATTTTTGTAGAAATGTGATTTAGTTAATATGCTACTTTACAATGTACAAAGAAAGCTGCCTCTTTTTTATTTTTTTAACAATCTGTTATAATAAAGCAAATTAGGCCATCCCTTCCTTTTTCTTTTTGTAAGCTGCCTCTTACAATTAATTAGGCCATTGCTTCCTTTTTGTTCCATTCTTTCTGTAATCTTAAAAAATAGAAAGAAAAAAAAAGAACAACAGAAAAAAGAAAAAAAGAAAAAAAAATAGCATTTTCTATTGTATTCTGTTTCTTTTGGCAAAATGTCTGCATTCCTTTTGTATTCTATTCTGACAGCCTTGATTGTATGTTCTGTTTTTTATTTCAGTTTATTTGGCAACCTTATGAAGGAGTGGAGATACCTGAAAGATGTACACGGGGTCGAGATCATTGGCAATCCAACACTTGGCTAATTTGCTGGGATGTCATTGAACCGCATCAAGTTGACCGTGTGATGCGACAATTTGGCTTCAAACAATTCATCCCACCACAACCAATGATCGTTGGTTTCCAAGAATGGGAAAAGTTGCACAAGTATGGTAGGACTGGAAGAGGTGGAAACAATTGGGAGTTACATCATCGTAAATACATTGAAAAATGGAACAACAGGGCGGACTCCATTGTGGCTGGGTCTCCGAGTGCTCAATCCTCAACCGATGATGATTATCTCCTATGGTATGGTATGAAACTAATACCATCAAATTTATCAAGGATCCCAATAAGTACAACTTTCAGGAGGAAGGGTATCGTGAACATTCGGATCGTGCAAAATTCTATGTAAGTATTTTCTTTTTTATCTCTACTCTTTTTTTTTTAAGGCTGGTTTCTTTTTTTCTTGAGAATAACTGCATTCGCATCTTCGTGTGTATGATTTGTTGTTGGTGCTACATGGCGGTATATTCTGTACAAATGGTGTTGTTGGTGCTTGTGGATCCTGTTGTTTTCTGCTTTCAAGTTCCATTTTTAAATTTTATTTTAAATTGTAAACTTGTAATTGCTGTTAAAAAGTACGGTGGTCTCTGTGCAAGATTAAAAAAATAAAAGTCTAGCAACCTTATCTTTTCAGTTTTGTGCAAGATCCATTTCAATCCCCCTTGAATGGATCTAGAAGTTTTTCAGTAAATTTTGGTGATTTTTGTGTTTTTAGTAGTTTCATATTAATTGTACGTTGATTTATGCTCCTTTTCACATGAATTTTCAGGCTGATGCTTTGAGCGATATCTGCAAAAAGGTAGAAGACTACAAGAAATCAGAAGATGTCTGCCCAAATTCAGTTTGTACGAATCTCCTTCTTGAACTCACTTCTCATTCTATGAGTGCTTTATCCCTTGGAGCACATGAGATGCCAATTTTGATACCCACACAATCACTTGTTGATCTTCAACCACAACCTTCTCAACCGGTTGGCAAAGTTTCGCAAATGAAGAAGAAGAACCAGAATTTGATTTTGAACTCAATGTCGACTTGTTTCAAACTCCAACCCCCCATAATCAGGACGAAGCCAACCAAGAAGGTGAATCTACAAATATGGATGTGGAATCTAGTCTACCGTTGGCGTTAGCAAGGCCGCGTAGAAAACTAAAGAAAGTCAATCGCTACACGCCATCCACTGCCCAACCCGAGGAGGAATTGTAATGGCATCATTTTGTTGATAATCTACTTTTGATGAACATTTTGTGATGTAGTCTTTTATTTAAACATGTTACAATTGAAATATTCTGTTGAATTGATGTGTGAATTCAAGGGTTATTTGAATTGAGGCTGCTGTTGGTGTTGTTTTGGTGCTGTTTGCTAACTGTTTTTCAATAGGTTTGAACAGGTTTGCAATTGCAGACTTGTTCTGTTTTTTTTCTGTTTACTGGTTTAAAAACGGATATAGAAATTCCGTTTTTTCTGTTTACAGGTTTAAAAACGGATATATAAATTCCGTTTTTTTCTATTTACAGGTTTAAAAACGGATATAGAAATTCCGTTTTTCATTCAAAATACAACCTTAAAACGGATTTTCGATTTCCGTTTTAGATTTCAAAAAAATAATTATTTTCCGTTTTTAGGTTGCTCGGGCAAATTCGATATAAATTGTTAAGTGAAAAACGGAATATAGGTTTCTGTTTTTATAATCAACATATTATAAAGTATTAATTACAACTAATTCTAAAAAAACGGAATTTGAAAATCCGTTTTATAAACATTACAATTAAAAACGGAAATTCTATTTCTAGCATATATTTTTTCTGACCACTCCCTCAAACAGCTATATTTCAGTTAACTTCTTTTATTTGGGACATATTTTGGGGTTTGACACCCATACTGACTAGAAAGCATTAAATTTAAGATCAAAACTTCTTTTTCTCCCCCCGCATTTTCTACCCAAAAAAGGGAGGAATACTGGAAACATCTTCACCCGGAAATGAGCTGAGTATCTCCATCTGCAAATTTCTCAGGATAGCAGCAAACTCTCGAGCATCGTTCATGGCTCCTCGGGCGCTCGCCAAAGCTTCATCCATGTACTGACTGATAAAATAGTTTGAGCAGATTTGGCTGAGTAATCGATCATGCCTTTCTTCGTGTCTGATCATCCTTTCTTCAGCTTGTTTCAAAGCTTCATTTACTATTCTCAGTTTCTCTTCTGCGAGTTTCTTGGCTTGCCATTTCCACAAATTTGGCAGACACAAAAGGAAAGATGCAGAGAAGCCCAATATGGCGAAAACAATTCTTCCACGATCCATTGCCAACCTTTTCCTATTTCCCTAATCAAACAATAAACAATCGAAGCTAAAGGACACAAAAGGACCTTCTGATTCTTTGCTTTCCTGGGAGGCAAAGCAAACTTCTGACTAGCATTATGCAGAACCTTCTATGTTCTCTGCTCCGCTATTCCTCCTAGAGAAGAAAAGAAAAGGTATCCTCACCTGGGAAAGTTGACAACAAGACTACAGGATTAATCTGTTATTCAACCTCTTAAAAATCTTACAAAAGATGCATGTTAAATCACATAATATGTTCAAAAGTAGTAGAGCGTCACTTAAATTCTGATCTGTAAGTTTCAGTTCATTATATTTACAATGGAAACATCAAATAAAAGTAAGAGGGATACAAGAATAAGGTATGAACCTAAGTTATCATCTCTTTTTAGAAAGCTTCACAGCCAACCTTCCACGAACTGTTTTCATGTCAGCTTGATGCTTGCGTCCCCTTCTTTTCTTTGACTTTTTCCATGGTCTCCTTCCCTCTAATCTTTGACGACGAATCTCTGGGTCAGCCCAACCTTTTCCCCATTCAGCAAAACTCGAATAAGATTTGCAACTTGACATGGATAATACCATGTCTGCTTCTGGATGAACATAAAATGATGGGTTCTCAGACCTCACAAATCGGACTCCTGACTCTGTTGCTTCTGGATATTTTATCTGAACGTGAGTCTGAAACAAGAGAAGTCAGCTCATAGAATATAGACTACCAATTTAAAGATCTTATTTAAAAAGTAACTATCATTTTTAGGATCCATAAATTTGCTTCTTTTAAATTTTCACATTATCCACAATGCACTGCTGGAGAAAAATTCCTCAATAGTTTTCACAGGTTTAGAAAGAGCTGTAATCAGAATAATCTAATTTGAAGCTAATCTCACTATTGGTGAGAAAACTGATATTAGTGACAAAGATAAGACCTCTAATAATAACGATATCTCAAGTCAAAACCAAGTACTGGCCTCTCAGAACTGAGGTAAGATACTTGTCAATGTGTTTTTTAAGTTTTAATTTCTCAATTTCAACTGCCCGGGTACAGATATTGTGCAAGACTAAGAGATAATCATGCTGATAATATGCAACTATCAATCAAAAGAGTGAAGTACCTTGTCATCTCCTTCCCTGATGAAACCTTTATCTTCTAAAATACGGGCAAGCCCTCGCCACCATAGAAGATCACTTGAAATGAACTCTGGATGCTGCAAAATTGTCCCAAGTAATCATCAGCATTTGGGAGTGAGGGAGAATTGGAAGAAAAGAGTGCCTTATGCAGAATGGTCTACTAATTATTTAGCTTTCACTTGATAGAAACAGGGGAAAGAAGAGAAAAAGGTGAAGTATGTTAGCAAGAAACTTCTTTCTGCAGAAGAAACAGATTTGCCTTTCTGTAACTCATAAATAAAATCAGAAACTAACAGATCTATACTAAAAACAAAAATCTCATTTGATGAACAGAAATGCCAATCCCCAAAGTTCGGAAGGTTTGATCTATTTAACTCCTATTGAGCAGTTATAGCCACAAAAGTATCCCAGCATTATGAACATGCGAGGATTCTACTTGACAAGTCATAGCTAGAATAGTGTCCAAGATGCAAGCTTATAAGTTTACACTATCAGCTAAGATCCAAGCAAATAAGTTCAGAATCTCATCTAAATCATAATCTAAAATAAGCTATTGTTCATGCAGAATAGATTACCTGCTCTCTTATTTTACTAACAAGATTCCTAAAGTTCAGCTTCTCTGCAAATCTACGTTGTCTGCCACAACTTTCTGCAACATCATCGCCGTATAAAACATCTTGAGAGCGATGTTGTCCCTGCATTGAGATATATATAGAGCTCTTAAGGGTAATGGTTAAGCAGAATGTAACAATTCAAACCTACGTTACAGTATTTTAAAACGCTTTTTGGGGAAAGAGAACCAAAGAACTTGAAGACTTCATATGGAAAAGACACTCACATGATTAGATACAATAGCCTGCATCAAAATTATAGCCTCCTTCTTCAAATCCTGCACCTCAGGAGGCCCTTTAATACAGAAATCACACCTACAAATGAAAAAAAAAAAGTGCTTAACAGTAACCTTGTACATCGCGAAACTTGGAACATGATTGCTTGCTATCTAAGTTTGAAGTTTAAATTTCCAACGGATCTAAAGATGATTCAGGTGCATTATCCAGGCTGCAAAAGGCACACAAAATCAAGATCTCTTTATATTTTGGGCAAGAACCAACCAAAAGTAAATTTTGATCCAGCAATTATCTTTATCTCAGGTTTCAGTAGCAGTGAAGATTGTTATTGGCGAAACCCGGTTACTAAGGGTTAGATTTTGACAATCTATCATGTCCATAGGCAGTAATATTACCAATATATTCTAGAAGGGTACCAAAAAGACTATTTTTCCACCTTTTGTGCAGCAGACATGGGAGATTAGTTTAACAAACAAATTTCTCCAACAAGTTCAAACGCAACATAAACCCCCAGAAAAGAAAGGATGACATACAGCAAACACTTCTCCGGCATAAACTCCTCTCCAAAATATTCCACGAGCATTTTTGCCCTACAGGAAGCAGTTCGCATTCCATATCTGCACACAAGGAACAAAATAACTGCCATGTTACAGAATTTAAAAACACTTGTTAGCTAAAGAGAAAACCCACTAACCTGAAGCAATCAGATAGCATCTTATAAGCTTGTTTTGTCTGTTCTTCACTCCTCTTGCTTGGCAGAAGTGATGGTGCTCTTGATAGATTTGCAAATAGAACTGTTTGAGGAAAGAACTAAGTCATATAAAGGCTCCGTTAAATCAATAACTGCGACAAGTTCTGGTTCAAAGAAGCCCTTTTTCCCAAACCACCACCCAAAGCACTGTGATTGTGAACTTTACTTAAATACCCTATATACAAGAATAAATAATACTTTCACTCCAGAAAATCATTTCATTGACTCAGTAGAAACAAGAAATTGCATTACATTGACCAGCAAAAAATAAAAGACACTAACCACAATCTGCTATTTTTCCATCACGTCCAGCTCTACCTGCTTCTTGGTAGTACGCTTCTAAACTCTGTAAGCATAGCAGTATAAGTTAAAAATTATGCAACAATACACATACCATACACAAGCTGTGCAGGAACTCATATACATGTATAGAGAGAGAGAGAGAGAGACTCAAACAGAAAACAAAAATAAGACCAGGGAGATATTATGAAGGACATAAAGGTACAATAAAGCCTTCAAACCATAAAACCCAAAGACAAGTTTTTATAGTTCCATGATGACCTAGATAATTACAATACTAGCCATGAAAATTTAAGATGGAAGACAGAATTCAAGGGTATCAATATTTTAGAATTCTCCCAAGTAAATATCAGTATTCTACCTGCGGCCATCCATAATGGATAATTCTTCTAACATTCAACTTGTCAATACCCATACCAAAAGCAATTGTTGCAACAACAACCTGAGGCAGAATAAGGAAGTAAAACAAACATGTGTGTCATGACTTCATCCTATTAAAGTTGCACAAAATGAACTGCAAAAATTTTCAGCCATAGCCTCAACATTCAAATATCATAATGATACAATTTGAAAGAATTTAAAATAAGAACCACAGTTGCCTATTACAGTTGGATCAATTTCCCAGCTATTACCATCTTTTTCACCAGACTTTAGGGATTCCAAACATTCAACAATTAGCAAACCTAGATTGATACATTAAACATTTGGGAAATGTGGCATGGAAGAAAGTAAGACTAGATCCAGGATGGCTATCCATCATTCATGAAGTAGTACAACAACAACAACATACGCAATGTATGCCCAACTTTTGTTGGGTTCATGGGGTATATAATAATTAAACGACATTGTTATCGATATATCTTACCTGTAAGACATTGTTTTGGAAGTCCTTGTGCACTTGCCTCAGATGTGATCTGGGTAACTGACCAAATGAGGAGTAAATTAAAGAGGAAATCAGCTAGTAAACCATTCCGTCAGATATCATTATCCACAGGACAAACTTGGTGCCATGAGAATATCAAATTTGTAGCTTTATACTTTTCTCTCTGCAATAAACTTTATCCTTTATTCATTCATGCATCCATTAGTTTCACAAGCAATGAGGCATAACCCGAACTAACCAGACTTTTTTTATTCTGAAAACTTAAATAACATGAAAAATCATTCACGGATACACCTAATGATGGAAAACAGAATACGATGGTTCTCAATCGAAGTATGCAAGGGAATATTCAGTTATCATGGAAGGAATAAAAAAATGCCAATATCCTCACAGCGTGGATGAATATTTTACCTTGGCATTGTAGGCAGCAGCCTTAACACCAAATTTAACCAGAAACTTCGCTATACTTAAGGTTTCTTTTCTGGTAGGCACATAAATGATAGTTGGTCCTTCCCCTAGTTGTTCAAGTTGAAGTTTGAGCCTTTCTTCTGGTTTGCTCTCTAGGTGATGAGTATTAGGTTGCTCAGGATCAGGGGGTTGATCCAATGGTAATTGCCCACAAAATTCACCACAAGAAACTGCAGTAGGATTGACCATAAAAACACAAGATTGAACATCATAAGAAGAGATGCAGATTCCAGATATGTTGCAATTTACAGTTGCGATACTTTAATCTGAGGAAAGGTCAATAAGCTTTCATTGATTGGAAGGAGTAAAGTAAGGTTAGTCTTTATGTTCTAGAAAATAGTATGTTTCCTCCTCAGACGACACTTTGTTTTCTGTTATGAGTATGTGCTGCTTTTCCAGCTGTCTTCTAGTTATCTCCATTACAAATGGGAGTTATCAATATTCTTCTTTTGCTTGGAGTCTGGAGTTTGCAATACAGGAAAAGTCATCTCCGGAGGTTTAGAAAGATGTACCAGACACTAGGACATTTATCTCAGCAAGCTAATCTAAGCTCATTTTCTTCATAATGTTTGTGGAGCTAATTATGTTTCAATCAAGATTCAGTTTCTTAATTAACATTTTCACAGATGAGATCAACTTGAAATTCCCCTTCTTTCTTCTTATTTCCCTAGTCGATAATTTAGCTCTTTAAATTGCTGGGAGATTTATCACTTGCACATTGTTTGTAACATATGCTCATTATAACATGCACGTTGTTTGTAACATATGCGCATTTGACCTTTATACCAGTTTTGTTCAATCATGATCTATTTCAAATGTTGAAGCCAGTTCTCTGACAGGGTCAACATCTATGAATATCATAAATAGCAGAAAAAAAGGAGAAAAGTGCAGAGAACAGTGTATAGTTACCATCTAAATCGTCCGTATTCTGGAACAGGTCGCACTCATCTTCTAGATATTCAACAGTTAACATTTTCTCCTTTGGAATGGGAGACCCAACTTCCAAAGAAGGTTCTGCTTCATCATCAGTTTCTGTCATGTCATCAAAATCAACTGTGTCTGGTTCCACTCGGCAGTTTCCCGTTCCGCTCATATTGTTGAATGCATCATCCATAGAATTCAAGTTTGTATGATGCCTTTTGACTAAATTTTTCTTCCCTGTGTGTGTCTCTATTAGATCATGAAAATCTCGCTCATAGGAAGATGGAGATGATGTTCTACTGTGCTTCACCTGCAAATAGCATGGAGCAGCAGATAGAAGCAAAGAATCAGTAGAACAATAATGGAGCAAGGTCTCAAATAAAATGCTTATCAGACAAAATTTTGGAGCAATCTTTTGTACAAGCTGATGTGATAGAGATCTATTCTCTAGTATTTTGTGGTTGAAGGTCTGTCAAAACTAGAACCACGCCCCCATCAGTTTCTAAAAAGTGCAAACTGAAAATTATACAATGTTTACTTAAAACTGAATCTTAGTTTCACATTGGTTGAGAATAATGTTCGGCAATTAGTAACAGGAAAAAAAAAAAAAGAAATGCACAATCAATCCAGATAGAGCAAATTGTAATTCAAACCACATAAAGGAAGTCAAGGAACTCAGAGATTACTGAAAAACGAAGATTTGGCCTGAAAAATGAAGTGATTATGATCTCTGTATCTTTTGACATGCAAAGAGACTTGAGAATGTCATCTCGAACACGAATAGTTGCAGTCGCAGTCAAAGCCATCAGTGGTATGTCAAACTTAAGGGATTTAAGATTCTCAGAGCGGAAACTTTCTCTCAGTACAGACAATCGCCTGTAAAAGCAGACAATTAAATAGATATCAGACAGTGATGCTTGCTGTAAGCTGTAAGATTTAGAAGTTAGCTCACATTACAGATGCATACTGAATATAATCCAATGTTACCCACCTAAAATTTGAAATCGTGAATTTTACCACTCTTTCAAGTTAAAGGGGAAAAGTAAAGAGAAAATGCCATCATGAAAAGTAAACAAGCTGTTAGACTAACAATATTGGACATGTTTTCAATAGGTCAGGGGTTTGAGTAACTGTAACACCACCATTAATCTCTTTAAAAAATAAATATAAAAAAAAAAAAAGACTTAACAATATTGTTTAGTGGTTTAAACAATGAAAGCAAAAGATTCCTGTTACCAGCAGTGAACATCACCAACTCAATCCATCCCATTATTCCACAGAAGCCCTAAATATTTCAACATTCTCTGGATACATATGCGTACACAATGTAAATCATAGATACGCACAGTTTCATTACAAAGAAACTGGAGTTCTCTGATTTTCATACAGAACATTTCTAATAATATCACTGGAGGAGAGATAAAACACTGATTTATGGGGGCAAGCAGAAAAGTTAAGTAGGACCAAGTTTTAAGACGTGTAATATAATTTGATACTTCTAGGATGAAACTGTTGGAACTTTTAGCGTGTTATGTACATCCACATTCGGTCCAAGACATTACCAACACGTTATTTCATCAGAAAAGAGTAACCAAAAGTAATAACAAGTAAGATATTAACCTATAGTCAGGTCGAAAGTCATGTCCCCACTTAGAAACACAATGCACTTCATCAACCGCAAAGAGCGCTATTCCACGACTTTCTGCAAGATGCTGAAGTGGTTTTATTAGTCTGAAAACATGCAGAGAGTTGACATCAGTAACTTGAGCATTGGTACAAAACATCACCAAGTAAAAAAAAATGTCCAACACAAAAGCAGAACCATTTACCTTAGTACTGTCTCTGGACAGACATAAATAATCTCATACATCCCATTGAGGGCTTTCTGTTCAACACTTTTATCAATTTGACCAGATCCAAGGAAGCAAGCTGATACACCATGATTTGCTAGCTTCAAGCACTGATCATGCATCAAGCTTATCAATGGCGAAATTACAACCACTACCTTCCCAGTTAAGAGAGCTGGGATTTGAAAACATAAAGATTTTCCTAAAACAAAAAGATTTATCTTAGATCTTGAAGACACATTTTTACCAACAAAAGATGCAGTCTAGCAAAGAACTGGAAAAAAACAAATTAAGAAAAACTTAACAACAAAGTGTACCGGATCCTGTTGCTGCAAGAACGAGGCAATCTTTATGTGCTAACCAAGCTGCCAATGCCTCCTTCTGAAAAGGTTTCATGGAGTAATATCCAAAATGTTTATGCAGTATGCTGTTCACCTTCTGCTCCCAATCTAACCCAATGTCATCTAAACCTTTGTATATCGGACGTACATATGAAGTTTCCAAACAATTCAATGAACTAGATTCTTCACGGAGAAGAGACTCTTTTGGTCTGTCCTCATTCCTGAACAACACACCAGCATTTGGTACTTCCAAAACAGGTCTGTCTTCCTTCTTTGTCCGTTTGAGCTTACCTTGGCTTTGTAAGAGATCAGTTATGCTTGATTGTCGCAATTTAGGAAGCGAACGCAGGGAAGAGGAGGTTCTCTTCCCAAGAGGTCCTTTGCTGCTACTGGAAATGGTCGCAGCACCGCGGCTCAATGAACCATCACTCTTCCCACAGGAGCCATTCAAGATAAACTCAACTGCCAAATCCAGAGATGGCCCTACGGACTTAATAGCTTCATCAACATCAGAGAACTCGAACCCCATGCTAATCAATTCCGCTATTACTTCGTCAGTACTCATAGTCACGCTTTTCATGCTCACCAAAACAATTTCAGATTTCTTGAGCGAGTAACATAACACTCAAAACACATACCAAAAATCCCTTCATTCAACCTTTAACAACGAATCGAAATTTTGAAGCAGAACCTCATAACTACTCTCGGGAAGTAGTAGAAACAACAGAACTTGACCATTTTCCCAATTGCCATCCGCTTCAACCTTCAACAGAAGAACATTCGTCCAAGAGCCCTTTTCTGTATTTTGAATTTTGTCCAAAAAAGAAAACAAAATCGATTAAAAACAAGAAGCTAATCAAAACCCTACTCTGCAAGCTAATTATAAAGACAACTATTAAAACGAAATTCATTCCAAAAGACAATTGAAAATCGCCGATTCTAATAATCGGCCTCCGTAGATATAGAAACCGTGAAATTTCTAACACGACATTAACTTTCCCAGTGGGATACCGTAATTTCGAAATTACCGTCTGAGAAAAGAGGGATTGTGGAATCTCGATATCAGTAATGAGCCCTAGAATCGCAAAGCCCCTTCTCTTGAAAATTTTCAATCTGTTTCAATGAAAAAAAATGACCGCCAAAACCAAAAGAACAAAAGAATCGAAAGCTAGAACGACATCGTACCCGGTTTCGTTGAAAGTGGAAACAGAGCATACTGCTACCTTCTCGGGAATGTCTCCCGCCTGAAAAAAAATATCTGTACACTAAAAAACGATCTTATTCAAAGGACATTTAACCGATCCGATCTGAATTATCGATAACTTTTTATTCTTCTCAAACGTAAATCCCACGCTTATTTAGCTGAAAAATTCTGATGGTACCGCTCGTCTGTTTCTGGATATAAATTGCTGGATTCTGGAAAAAACATTAAACCTTTCAAAACAATAATTATGGTACAAAACAATCATTATGGGTCACAGATTGTTTTGATGAATTTCACCAAAAAAAAAAAAAAAAAATCGTTAATCTGTGACCCATTTTAATAATTGGTTCATCATCATTATGGTAGAATGATTCAAAAATATGGACAAACATATGGAAAAATGCAGATGAAGAGTAGAAAGATAATTAATTTCTATTACAGTTCAACGAAGGGAAGTTGAGCTAGATACAAAAGATCCATTTCCAAAACCTACATACTAAATCTACTATTTAACCAAAACAAGACCAGCCAAAAGCAGCCCATTTTTTTCCTCTGGGTATATGCTTATTCTAAAGATTATCTAAAATATCCCCAAAATTAGGCAGCGCCCTTTTTGGGAGACTTTGAAGCTTTTGGTGTAGACGCCTTCTCCTCAGATCCAGCATTCTTCTTGGGCAAGAGGACCGGGTTGATGTTGGGCAAAACGCCACCGTTTGCAATCGTCACCCCCTGAAGCAGTTTCCCCAATTCTTCATCGTTCCTCACCGCCAGCAACACGTGCCTAGGGTTTATCCTGTTCTTCTTGTTGTCCCGAGCCGCATTTCCGGCCAATTCCAGAACCTGATAGACACACACAAAAAAAAAGAGCAGAGATTCATTAATATCCGAAAACCTTAATCAAAAAGGAATGATAATATCAAAAATCAATCGAATTTCATACCTCAGCTGCGAGGTATTCAAGGACGGCGGCCATGTAAACCGGAGCACCGGTTCCGGTACGCTGAGCATAACGACCCTTTTTCAGGAAACGAGCGATACGGCCGACTGGAAACTGGAGCCCGGCCTTGACGGATTTGGTTACGGCCTTCTTCCTCTCGCCGCCCTTTCTTCCACCGGCTCCCTTGCCTGACTTTGTAGCCTCCATTTCTTCCGATAAGCTTCAAAGGAGAAAAAAAATCTAAAAGGGATTCAATTGATGCTCTGCAATAAACAAGATTTTGAAATTTCGAAGTGAGAATGAGATGAATGATTGATTATTTGGGGGCTTAATTTATAGAGGAGCTTGATAGAGGTAATGAGGATGTGCCATGCTGGTAATCCGGGCAATTCTTCTTTTCTCCCCTCGGATCTCTTTTTGGAGATATGTGATCGAACGGACGACATTTTGACATGCTGGCAATCCGCGAGTCGTATATGGAGTCAATCACAAGGGAGCCTTTGTGGAGGGAAACTGAAAATTGAAATATATTTTAGAGTATGGCTCAAGTAAATTCAAACTTTCAAGATTTTATTTACTTGCTTTTCAGTTCCCAGGGTTTCACATTGTCCAAATGTTTTTTAAAACGTTTATAATGGTATTCCATCTACTTGATAAATAATGTATTGTAAATAAATTATATAGCTAGGGCCCTGAAACATATCTATTGTAAAATATAGGTTGTTATAGATTCGTTAGTTTCACTAACAACTAACAGTACTGAAGTGTCATATGTTTAAATACACTACCACTTGTTATAAAATTTTAGTTAGAACACTGTGTTATTAGTGTTGACTATTTACACGCAGTCTATTATAATTTAGTTTTCAGATTTTGACCTCCTATTTAGTACATGAACAAAACAGTAAACAATATAAATAAACATATAAATTTAAGGTATGATCATTATACCACAATTTGATATTTGATATTCTTATAACATAAGATATAATAATTCAATCACATCTATGCATATTTGTATAAATTTTAAAAACTCAATTTGGACTTTTTATCTTGAGATAGAGGTAATACTACATATTAGGTTTACAGGTGATAATAGAGTCACTGAAAATTTATAGTAACTGATATGTACGCAATAATTAGCGACAAAGCTATAATTTTAAGAAAAAATATAAAATTTCAACTATCCAATGGGAAAATTCCAACAAAGTAAAGGGTGTACAACACATCAATAATTATTTTTCTTCTATGGTATATTTTTACTATACACATCCTTTTTTCTAGGTCCATAAACCTAAGAATCGTATGACATATTAGCAATAATAGAGCCAGTGAAAAAGATATGTAAAAACTCATAATGATTGATGTGTACATAATAATTAGAGATAAAAATATAAGTTTTGGAAAAAAAGATTTACGAGAAAATGCCAGCAAAGTATAATATTACTTACATCTCATACACTATATTTTTCACTATGTATTTTTCACAATGAATATCATTTTCCGTGACATGTAAAGTATCTCTAGGCATGACCACGGTTCAGGTTTTAACCGAAACCGGCTCAGAATCGGATTGTCAGTTCATAAACCGGACCAGAACCATGAGTTACGGTTCATGAAACCGTAACCGGACCGTCTAGTCAAGGACTGGTTACTGTTCAAGCCATCCAAAAATTGTAAACCAACGGTTCAAACCGTCAAAAACCTTCGGTTAACCGTCAGTTTCATAAGAAATAAGTATGAAAATATTAGTTTTTATAAACATAAAAATGTTAATTACTATCTCATTTTAAAATAGATGTTCATTTTCTAATTTGTGGTTGTATCAAAGTATAGGTCTATTTTGTTTTCCAAAAATAATTTTTGAATTTTTTTTCCATATTACCCTTATGTTTTAAATATCATTTATAGAGTCTCAATACACAAATGCTTAAAAGTAAGTGGTCGATTTAATTAACTTGGGTTAAATAAATTTTTTTTCATTTGTTAATAATTAGCCCGTTACTATTGTAGTGCTCAAAGTATGTAATTTTTCTTTTTTTTTTAATATTATGTTTTGTTGTTTCTGTATTTAAAAATGTAATGATAATTCATCTTTTTGAATAAATTTTAAATATTGCCTAATATATTTATTTTTGCTATTATTTACAAAATCAATAAAATGCCTGTGAAATTGTCCTAAATTTTGTTAAAGATTTTGTATTAATTTTTTTTGCTAGGCTAACAGTCGTACATCATAATAGACATATTTTGAGGATATGAATAAGTTGCTTTAAAACCACGAAATTTTCAAAAAATTTTTTCAAAAACACAACACAAATGAATTGTATAAAAAATAGGTTAAAATCGTAAAAGAACTGGATTAAAACCATCAACCAACCGGAGGGTTCAGAACCAGAACCGACCCAGAACCGGACCTCAACCGAAGGTTTACGAACCATAATAGTAACCGTAGAGTTAAAGGCCGGTTAAGGTTCATCCGTTTCATGAACCGGGACCGACGGTTCATGAATTGGAACCGGTGGTTCTGAACTGTGGTCATACCTACTGTATCTCTAATACATTGTAATGTCGTACGTCTCCTGCATACTAAAACTAGGCAAACACAGTAATCTTTATATTAAGAGATGAGCATTTCATGATACATGTCACTTGATTATGTTAATAGAAGAAACTCTGGATATGCGTTCAATATGTTTATTAAATGATGATAAATTATGAACAGATTACAAATTCAAACATATCTTTATGTTATCAAGTGTCACAATTAAGTTTGGTAATACCTCAAAATTAATATAAAACAATTAGCCAAGAGTGGTGATGATAGCATTAAGGGTGGGAATCGTGATAAGAAGTTCAATCCAAGGACATCTCTACAAGGCCGAAAGTCCTGGGGGCAAAATTGTCTTTTTACTAAAAGGGCAGAATTGCCATTTTACTTATTTTTTAGTCTTGCAGGTTTTATTTTAATAAAAAAATCTTCAATTTGATGTCTACTACATCGTTAGATGAATATGCATCAAGATGGATGGTTGTTATCACTCTACAAACTGATATTGATTGAGTTCACACTCAAGAAAGATTCTTCACTATCAAGTTGATTGTGTTCACACTGAGATGAGATTCTTTTAGAGAGTATCTACTTGTATTAGGAGTTTTATATTAATTCATTATTGGCTCCTTGTATTTGAATCCAATATGGAAATGTTAGATTAAATAAGATTTGGTTCTTAGTAGATAAGAGTCCTAGTTGTCAATCCTTATTTTATCTCCTTATAATATGGGATTAGATATGTACGGGAGATTCTTTTCTATCACCTTAGAAGTCTAAATTCGTGCTCCCCCTTCCCCTATAAATAGAAGTCGAATTCTTCATTGTGAAAAGTGGAGTTTTTATTAAAATTAGTGTTGAGTTGTTGTCTCACTTGACGGGCTATTGCAAAATTATGTTCTGTGTTTCCTAAGAGACTTGTTAATTGAAAAGTGTTTCTTTCAATTGTTGCGTTTATAACAGTTGTTTTTCTCGCGCTATAGATTATTGATATTGATTCTTTCGTATTCAAGGTTCTTGATTCATAGTTATTAGAAAGGTGAATCTTTATAATCAAGGTACTTTTCTACAAGTTGGATTTGCGTGTTGGTTTCTTTGAGCAAATTATCATCCCATCTATTTCATATGTAGTATACTAAAAGACCTCTCTCAAAAGGGGCAAACTACATACCAATTTTAAAACTTTTCTAGATTAAATGCTTCCGCACTACAAGTCGCCATCAATTTATGATCAGAGTCAAATTTTATTTATGATAATTGTTTGTTTGGTTCCTGATTGCCATTAAGTGATGCATACAAAAAAAAAAGAAGGAAATTTAGAGAGAATATTGTGACTGAATTTTAACTATTTCTTAACGTAATTAAATAATTAAATTTAATATATCCATAACTAATACAATTTTACAAGTTTGATAACTGTAACTTGCACATCTGATATAAACAAGTGTCACAGAACTTTCACGTTTAATTGACCTCCTAAAATTAAGAGATAAGTCATAAGTGATACCCCTTTCACTTAATTTTAGAAGATCAGTAAAATGTGAAAGTTCAGCGACACTTATTTGGATTACATGTGCAATTTACAGTTATCAAACATGTAGATTTGGATAATCTCTGAATGTGTAAAATTTAAGTACATAATTATGTTATGAAACACACTTTTAAATGCGTTAAACCCTTTAAGATGCCTTATGATATTATTTCATATAAGATTTTCTAAAATTTTACTTCCTGGTTATTAATTTAACCTTGTATTATAGAAATGAAATTAAACACATATTTTTCTTCCTAATTTTTAAAATTTTCATTCCTTATTATTAGTTTAACCGTGAACCTATTTGATAGCACGTATTGGAAAATAAATATGCAACGCGTATTGGATAATAAATATTTAGATAGATTATACAAGCTTCGAAGAAACTTTTAATCATAAATACATGTTATAATAATTTATGTATTTTATTACTGTCTATAATAATCAAAATATTTTTTATTATCACAATTTTTATCGCGATTGACTTTTCTCTTTTCAAAAGCCAACAACTTAGATCAATAAATTTTATAAAATGGTATCAGATTCAGAGACTATGACAAACAAAATAGCACGATTATGAAACTTGGTCAAGAATAAAAATTCAAAATAACTGGTAGAATCCTGACTAATAACTTGAGTAGTCTATTAATTTGGAATATAAGGGGTCTTAACACCCCTTTAAAGCAGCATGAAGTAGCTAGAATCTCCTGAGTGTAAATAGAGTTAATCTAGCATGCATTGTGGAAACTAAGATTAGCAAGGAAAAGGAAGTGGAAATGGTGGCCTGATTGGCGACATTTTACGTGCTATAATAAAGGGAAAGAGGGAGGATTACCTTACTGTAGAATAAGGCAATGAATTTCCAAATAATGGGTGTATCAGAGCAATTTATTCATTGTCTAGTGGAGGATTTTCAGTCACAAAGCAAGTATTACTATACGGGTATGTATGCAGCTAATAACAGACAAGACAGAATGAAGCTATGGGATGACTTAATGGAAATACAAGAATCTGTTCAAGAAGCCTGGATGGTGACAGGAGATTTTAATAATGTGTTCATAAATGAAGAGAAATTGGGAGAAAGAAATGTGCAGCTGGAGGAGATAGAACACTTCCAGATGTGTGTTGAAAGATGTCAGCTAGAGGATATGAGACAAATTGGTCCAATCTTCACATGGTGTAATAACCAGTTGGGACTGGACATGAGTTGGGCAAAATTGGATCGGGTGCTTATAAATGGTTGTTAGATTGAACAGCATAATGAATCTATTGCTATCATCAAGAAAGATGGTGTTTCTGATCAATATACAGGGAGATATGGTCAGTAAACCTAGGGCCTTTAAATACTTCAATATGTGGAAGCTTGACCCGGGTTTTATGAATAGTGTGAAACTGGGAGCAAATTGAACATCACTTTATCCAATTCTTTGAAAATCAGTTAGGTCAAGCATCTGTCAGACAGAGGAGCAAACAGTAGATCTTTAATCGGGGAAATAAAATCAGTGTGGCAGATCAGCCGAAACTCATTACACCAGTGACCAAGCAAGAAATCAAAAAGCTTTGTGGGACATTAACTCCAATAAAAGTCCGGGATCGGATGGCTTTGGAAGTGATTTTTTTAAAGCTGTTTGGAAGGTAGTGGAGAAAGACTTCACAGATGCAATTATGGAGTTCTTCGAGACAGGTCAGTTACTTAAGCAAATAAACTCTACAGTTATTACATTGATACCCAAAGTAGAAAGTCCATTAGATGCTAGTCATACAGGCCTATATCGTGTTGTAATGTTGCTTATAAATGCATATAAAAAATTTTATGTGCTAGGATGAGTAGAGTGTTCCCTGGTATAGTAGATGCTAACCAGAGTGCCTTTATTAAAGATCGACTTATTCTTCATAATATATTGATTACTCAAGAGTTGATCAGGTTATATGGTAGGTAAAATATTAGTGGAAGATGTTTGATGAAACTGGACCTTAAAAAAGCGTATGATTCTGTGGAATGGGGGTTTGTATAAGAGTGTTTACGGGGTTATGGGTTCCCAGAAAAATTCACTAAATAGATAATGGCATGTATTCAACTACATCTTTTATTCTTTGCTTGAATGGTATTAATGTAGGGTTTTTTGCTGGAAAAAGGGGGTTGAGGCAAAGGGATCCGATATCTCCGTTGATTTTTGTGTTAATAATGGAATACTTCACTAGGCAGCTGAAAGTCGCAGCTGAGAACCCTAAGTTCAGGTTTCATCCCAAGTGTAAAGCCTTGAAACTGACTAATATATGCTTCGCTGATGACTTGATGGTCTTCTGTAAAACGAACATGTTTATGATAGAAAGGATTATGGAAGCACTAAATGAGTTTTCGGAAACTTCAGGCTAGTAGTTAATAGAAGCAAATCAGATGTATATTATAGAGGGGTCTCGGAAGAACTAAAACTTAAGATTGGGGAAAAAATAGATTTTAAGGAAGGAATATTTCCTATGCGATATGTAGGAGTTCCACTTTCTCTGAAAAAGTGGAATCAACTTGAATGTCAGACATTAATTGATAGGATTGTGGCCAGGTTGACCTGTTGGAGTACTCGAAACCTTTCGGATGCTGCTAGGTTGCAGCTGATAAATACTGTGCTATCTCATGTTCATATTTACCGGGCTTCGACATTCATTTTGCCTCGAAAGGTAACGGAAAGGATAAATAGATATTGCCGAGAGTTTCTATGGGGAGTTAAGGACTCTGGCAAGTATCATGCTATGGTTGGCTGGGAATGTATAAGCTATAGTAAATCAGAAGGGGGTTTAGGAATCAAGGATGCTCGATGTTGGAATGAAGCTGCTATTCTTAAACACGTTTGGTGGCTTGCTGTGAAAAAGGACAATCTGTGAATGAAGTGGGCACATGAGCTGTATATGAAAAGAGCAACCATCTGGGATGTCCAAGCCATACTGGATAGTAGTTGGCAGTGGAAACAAATATTGAAGATCAGGGATAAGGCCAAAGCTGAGTTTCAAGGAAATAATTGGAAGATGAATCCAAAAGGAGAATACAGAATCTCGGAGGGATATAAGTGGCTGTTAGAGTTTCAGGAAAAGAAGGCAGAACCACAATGGATTTGGTCCAGATTGAATATGCCGAAGTATTCCTTTACGGCATGGCTCTGTTAGAAGGAAAGAATGTGGACAAAAGACAGATGATGTGATTTAAATATAAAAGTACTAGATACTAAATATTGTTTGTGCCAGCAGCAGGATGAGACATTGCAACATCTTTTTTTTGAATGTCATTATTCTGCAGAATTGCTGAGAAAAGTAAAGAACTGGCTGGGAATCAGGTCACTGGATGGCAACAGGAGAAGATGGCTGACTGGATTGAGATATATATTTGGAGGAATGCTAAACTGAAGAAGCAGATTATGTTTGCTACTATTGTTGCAGCTATTTACCATATATGGGAGGAGAGGAACACAAGACTGTTTCAAGACAAATATAGACCTGTGGAGGAAATACTCAAGCTGATCCGAGAAGAAGTAAGCATTAGAATTAGATACTGCTATGGTGAAAAATCAGGACAGAATGTAAAGAATATCATAGAGCATTTTTGTAATAGAATAGATTAACAAGGATAAATGAAAAATGTGTATAGACAGAAGGGTGTAATAGACAGTTGCCTAAGAAAAACAGTGTAACAGCAAGGTTGACCAAGAAGTGGAAATAAAAGTTTACAGTTTACCAAAAAAAAAAATTCAAACAAGTGAATTTCCGAGCCTCGACTCTTTGACACATAATAGCCTCTGCTAAAACCACATAAAATCATGCTTCTTTTCGTATTCTGAACACAAAGGGAAATAGCTCCAACTAATGAGACAACACACGGAACACTAGCACAGCAGCTAGTATCGATCCACTAAGATGAAGTCGTCGTCGTCTAAAACCTGAACATCTTTCTCTCCAACAAAATGTTGCCTTCCAATCTCGTTCACTATATTTACGAACTCAACCCTTTTCGCTAATGGAAGAGGGACATATGGCAACCTGAAAACTGGCCTTGCAACACCAAGCTGGGCAAGAGCTGTGTTCAAACCAATAGGATTTGGCTCCTTAAATAGCCATTCAATGAGTGGCATGAGCTTAGCATTCAAAGCTGGGTTCTTTCCAGAAAACATGAGTTCTCTCATTAGACCAGGAACCAAGTTGCTAGTAACAGAAATAACACCCACTGCATCGAAATCCCACCTTGAATCATGGCACTGATCGTCATTGCCACTCCAGACGACGATCCCCTTACTTGTATACTGTTCCACACGATCATTTCCAACACATTCTTTGATGCCAGCCAGGTTAGGATTCTTCGCAAGAGCGAAAATAACAGATGGGGGAATATCCTGCCCAGTACGAGATGGCACATTATAGATGATGGTAGGACCCATATGAAGTACACTATCAAAATGAGCAATCATTCCCTCTATGGAGGTTTTCCCATAGTAAGGATTTATATGAAGAGCACCATGCATTCCAACAGCAAAGCCCTGTTCAGAGGCATGGATAGCTTCCCTGGTAGAGTTGCTTCCAGTATTTCCAATGACCTTAATAGACCCACCGAAACAGTTAACTGTGTGTCCAATAAGCATTATATGCTCATCCCAGCTCATTAATTGGCCTTCTCCTGTTGTCCCACCAACAATGACACCCTCAACTCCGTTTTCAATTTGCATGTTCACTAGGGAGTCATAAGCCTCCAGGTCAAACCTGCCATCTGGCAGATATGGTGTTTTGATAGCTGTGATCAATTTCAGAGCCTTAATATCCTCGGAGAAGGTCCTGTAAACACAAGTAGTAAACGTGGACTAAGCAAAGTGAAAGAAATATGTAAGACTAACAGCAGCAGGCAGCCATCCTGGATGCACTCTTGCTTATTTCTGAGCAATTTTTTAAGTTTTGACTATAGATTATCATGCCCCACTGAGAAATCAATATTAATATGAGGATTCACTTTCATTACTGCATCTGTGTTAGAAAGGCCTGCTAGATGATTTCAATGTGATAAGCATCTGAAAGCCAACTAAGCCGTAACTATGTCGATTTCAACTGTGTATCATGCCATTGCCAGGGTAGTATTCTGAAGGAGATTAGCATCTCTGCCTTCACAAAAAAAGGGTAATATTGAAAATTTCAAAATGGGCTTTTAAAACAAAAGGAGAGGAATGAAACAAAAGGAAATAGTTTTCACATCCATAAAGGAGCCAATGAAATAAAAGTTTTGGGAAGACAAAACAAAGCAAAACAAGAAATTGAATAGCTTAATCAAGATATTGAATAGCTTTGAAGAAATTAAGAGAAATATTTTAAACCGGAAAGACAAAACAGAACAAATCTCATACAGGAAGTAATTCCTCGGAAACAAACATAATAATATCTAAATTGATTAGAAAGATTAGAATGCAATTATAAACAGGTAATGCATCATTGTAACCTGTTTTTAACTTCAAAACTACGCATTGGGAGATGAAAACTGGGAATAACTGCTGCTTCAGGAGACCTCCACCTTGCATTCCTCCTGCTAGTTAGAAAGAAATAGTTAATAGGCAAATAGAAAGATATCAGAAATACTGTACAACCTGAAATGGAAGAGTATCAATAAACTCACAGAACAAAAATTGCAAATCAGCAACAGTTTGTTTGGCCTAATAAGAAATGCAGGGCAAACACAATATGAAATTTTACAGGAAAAGCACATTGCTCCACTAGGGAGATCAAAAGGCAAAATTTTTATCATGAATCAAGAAACGTTCATACCTTGCCACCTAAACATGGAGAAGTAATAATTCCATGTGTACAATTAACTTAGCCTCAGGATGCAATGCGTAACGCAAGGGACCAACACGATAGCAATTCCGTTCTCTAGTTATATACTAATGTTCTTAACAGACAGGCAACAAGTTCACAATTCAGTTCAAACATCATTTTTGACCAATTTGCAACCAGTTTGAGGTTATTACACAGTCAAACAATTCAGTACACAAAATAAAATATGCATCACAGTCTTTTCAACATTATGATTGAATTGAACAAAGGAATGAACCATACCCAAGTACAAGAAAACCAGCACATGATATACAATTATATCAGCGAAAAATAAATAAAAAAGAAAAGAAAAGAAAAGAGAGAGAGTGAAAAGTTTTCCGAGTTGCTCTAATAGAGCGGCAACAAGCAGCCTACCAACTTTGCAAACATAGAAGGCATCATTTATGACTAAGAAGAAAAGGTCAAATTAAGCATAATATCAATGAGACACCCCTTTCATGGAAGTGGTTCAGAATCAGCTGAAGCATGTAACATAATCCATGGTATCTCCAATAGATATCATAACATATTTGATACAGGATTAACATGAAATAACTCAAGTCTCTACTTTTCAACTTTGCCAAACTTTTAAAGACACAAAAATTCAAAAATTCACAGAAGAGATTAAAAACGGTCAAGTTCCACATAGCTATTAAAGAACAATCAGCTAATGACATGAAATAGATGTCAATTATGGCAAAAGTGCATTTGCCTCATCCGTCACAGAATTAATACGAACGAAAAACAACAGACAACAACCAAAACAACCCAAATAGATACTAATTCTTTAATATTAATATGGTACAACTGGATAAAGTTTAAACTGATACACGACAAGCATTAGGAATAAAAAAATAGACACTTTCTTGAAGGAAAGAACTGATCATTTAATAAAGGAATCATACCTTGTGGAGACATTGGACGACGGAGGCAATTGAAAGAATGCAGAGGAGTCCTTCAAGCCATTCAAGGAAGGCAATTGGTGATACACAGCAGCAGGCATTTGGGAAAATCTACAGAACCCACAAAATCCTTTCCAAATTCAACAAAGGGACGTTTTTCCTTCACGGGGTCGAGGCGAGAAACAGTTAAAACCCTCTGGTTCTCAGTTAATTCTGGTGATGTTATTAATGGAAGTTGGAATGGAAATGCTAGTCAATGTGGTAGTAATAATGGTGGTAAGGAAAGCGAAAGGGAGGGGAATAGCTGAGGTCTGAGCAGTGCTGATGGGAAGATGGAGCATGGCGTCAGCCGTCGGAAACCGGGGAGGAGGAGGAGGAGGAGGAGGAGATAACTGATGTCAAGGAAGACGGCTGCCGGAACAGGGGAGGTCTCTGCGTGTGTTTGTGTGTGTTAGTACGTGAAAAAGAACAGCGGACTTCTCGTATTCGTGGCTTCAAAAAAATTTATAAGGATACTGTTGACTGAATGACTAGGGTTTTATCTTTTCCCAGTCTTTTCCTTTTTCTTTTTTGTTTGGATTACAATTTCTTTTTCTTTTTGTTTTTTCCTTAAGGTAATTAAGAATTATCTTATTTATTTCTCTTTTTGGGTAAAACCTATCATTTTAATTGTACTTTTTGCTCGAAAAAAATATATCAAGCGAAGTGAAATACTGTGTACAATGAAAAATACTAATTACTAATACTTCTTCTGTTCCAAAATTATTGTCTAGTTTGAATTTTCATTTTTAGTTAAATTTGTATTGGACTTGAACATCCAAATTGAACAATATGTTTCAAAATTATTGTCCAGTTTAGATTTTCATTTTTAGTTTAATTTGTATTGAAACTGAACATTTAGACTGAATAATAATTTCGTGACAGAGGAGTCCACGTTAAATGTCAAAAAGAAGGATGAATAAATGGCCATTGGAACTAATGCTCTGCCGCTGTCATGTTTTATTAATCGACACATGGAGCAAAAGCAGAATGGAGGACATTGTATTTTGTGCTCAATCACCATTTCCCAGAATAGTAGGATTTGTTTTAATCTGACACTACATTACAAGTTCCATCATCACCAATTTATTCTTATCGGCATCTCGATATACAATTGCGTAAAGACGGATTCTCAAGTCGAATTGGATTAAAAAATTGCCTAGATATACTTCAATTCACGCAACTCAGATAAATTCACTAACAGAAGCATAAAGAGGAAAAAAGGTCAGCAACTGACGGGAAGCTTGCATATTTAAGAAGCTAAAAATATTTACAGCCGTGGACGAAGATTTCAGAGTTTTAGCTTACACAGTCACATATCAATGGATGGATGATTCACATAAACAAATATTTACAATTTATTCAGTGTCTTGGTCATGCTTGGATTTCGTCATTATGATCCCAAATGGGAACCATGGTTTAACCAAGAGAGAGGCTAAGGGCCCAAAGATTTCTTCTTGGCTTGTAAACTTCAGAAACTATCTTCTGGTTTCAGGAAATTGTGGTGTTCTATCTGGGTCATCTCCCCACCTGCTACTGGGTCAAACTCACATCGATAAAAGCTGCATTTACAGAGAATTCTCCATATCAATCTCTTGATCAAACACAACAGACACTACCATATTTGGAAGCATCATCACAAAATCATTAAGACGGCCACGATGATCCTATTCACATTTTAAGACAAACTATAGTGTCAAGGGACAAATTCAAGCTGCAAATGACCTAAGATCAAATTCAAGCTGGAATATCATCAGTCATCACCCAATTGCGGCAAAAAACTGCACAGAAGCCACTGACTAACTGGGGTTTATACCATTCACCACATTACAGCTAGAGAAATGAGATATGAAAATTATAGCTTGATAAGTGCTAGGCCAACTGTTTATGATGACACAGAATCCATTAAATAGAACGGAGTATGTAATTTCCAGTAACGTAGTTCTTTAATGACCACAATTTCTAAACATTTTCTCTTCAAACTAATTCCAGAGGACATAAGAAATATTCTGCAATTTTTCAACTCCTCCAAACTCCCTCAAACACAGTTTCCAGAACCTCAGATCAAAATGCCGCTTCATAGCTTAATTCTCAATCCTTTTCCCCATCTATCTCTTTCGAGAAGGAATTGTCTAAACAGCAAAAGAGTTCTACCAGTGACAGCAGTAAGCTTTTCACAAAACATAACGAATGGATTGTAAAAATCATAATGTACTATCAACCCCGATCAGGGATTGCAATCCCCCATTAACACTGAGTTATGGATGCTGGAAGAACTTAGGCCAGTGATAAACAACAGAGGGGGACTAAAACAAATTATGTGGCATACCTTCCATCCATGCCGAGAATGACAACAGTGTTCTTTTGGTGGCCAAAAGCCACAATATGCCGTAAACCTTCCACAAGGCGAAACTGAGCAACTGACCACTCCGAACTGAAATACTTTGGTAGAACTCCTGCATGAAAAAAAAAACATGGAACTGATTCATTTCCTGAATTGTCATACTCAGTTGCTAATTTTGGAACTCTTTGTAACCACTATGACATGGTAATCCGATGTTCTGACAATTTTACTGCGCAGATTCCTAAACTTTGATGATACTTCAATCAATAAGATACTAGCTCCTTTGTCAGGATGACAGCACACTAGGTGCCAAACAAATAAACAGTACACCTACAGTTGTGGAATTTGATTTTAATGACGAACAAGTAGTCAAAATTAATCTAATTTCATGATATATAAATGGTACAACTGATATCATGTAATTTACTCTTATCCTACAACAAAAGAACAAATGAACATGGGTATGCAGGTAGAAACGGCAAGATAATAATCCTATATTTTGACAAGAAAACCGGGCAAACATTTCTTAAGAATATAATAGAACCTAAATACAATGATCCTTAACGACTGGCCTGTCACACAATGAAAATTCTCCACTGATTGTATCGGCTACATCACCTATTCATATGCAATATTTGTAAACAATGATGCATCGGCTTCAAATGATCCTCAAGGTTCACTGTTAGATTTATCATACCCATTTATATACAGAAATCATAATTTACTCGTTAAGGCCACCTGAAAATGAGGCAACACATAGAAAGTCTTTCCAGCACAAAAATTATTTAATTTCAACACTGTGAACTCAGGACTATGGTTTGCAAAATACATAAAAAGGATAACTTACCTTTTATGAATGAGAGATTTGATGGAGATGATGGAGTGGAGTCAGACGCTCGATGAGGTCTCTCACTTCCTAAAGATAAGGAATCAACCTTCAGGCGGAACACATGCACAGTTCCCTTGTCACTGGAGACAGCTAGCCACTGGGCAGGCGAAGAAAAGGCAAGGCTGTATATTTCGGCTCTATCTGCTCCTCTCCTAACCTGACGTGAATAAGCAAAGATTTAAGCAACATCTACATAAACAGAGAATCAAATAATAATCTTTAAAGACAAGGAAGCGTGACTATGAAACCTCCTGGCACCCAAAATAAAAAATTTCAGCAAAGGAAGAAACTAAAAGTAAATATACTAATCCCTGAAAGTGATAACAAGCCAGTTGCAGCTCATTTATGACAACATAACCGCCTGATGCACGTATATCAAATTTCATACATTTCACTTCCTAAATCTGCAAAGCTGGCTTTGGCACAATGTTCTCCCTCAAATATTCTAAGTTAACTAAATCACCAATCTCTTATTCAAGCTCGCACAACGTTGTGATATAGAACACCTTATCTTACATTTAAAAAAACAATAAGATGCAAACAAGATTTAAACTAAGCTCCCACATTGTTCTACAGAAGTACTTAGTCATCGAAGCTAAAAAAATATACCTCTTGAAGCAACGATCCATCCATAGCATTAAATACCCTCACTAAAGTCCCTTTACTACTGGAAGTAGCAAGAAGTTGGCCATCATTCGTTAGTGCAAGACTAGTTACTCTCGAATCATGAGCCGCAATAAATCTATTCCTCTTTGATGCATAATATTCCACTCTCACCTGCCCTTTTTGGAGACCAGGGCAGGCCAACACCATTGGTCCCGAAACATGAGAAACCTCACAAAGCCCGTTTGGATTCAAAACAGTATCAATCTGATGCAACAGTTTCAGGTCTGCAAAGTTGTACACCAATATTTTTTGCATCAAAACCACTATAATCCGGTCCCTCCTGAGCCGAACCGACATAACATCGGTCCGGAATGACAATTCTCCTATACAACGCGCTTGATAATCATCCCAAAGCATAACCTTATTTGGGGAATACGCCGGCGACGGTCCGCCCCCAACAAAAGCTAGGATATTACACCGGAATAGCATCGCAACGATACCAATTCCGCCGCCCGGAATGATTTCGCGGCGGAGAAGCTCTCTGTACGGATCGCAATTGAACATGCGGAAATCGGAGGTGGTGCCAGCTGCGAAACAGGCATGGTCTTGATTGAATGAAAGGTGAAGGAGAGACGGCGGAGGCAGTGAAGGTTCCGAGGGGCGGGTCATGGAGCTAGGGTTTTGGAGCTTATTGTGATCGTTATTACTTTCTGAGGCAGTGGAAGCTGTATATATATCGGAGAATTCTGTGACGGAGGAGGAGGTACCGTGGTCCTGGGCTCGGCCTGGCTCGGAATTCGCGTCTAGGGTTTCCGAGGAGGAGGGCGGCCTTGAGGGCGAAGGGGGAGATGAATTAGGGGCCATATGCAGCGGAGATGGGACGGAATTAGAGGGGAAGTGGCAGCCAATGAGAAGTGGAGGACACGGCGGATGTCATAGGCGGCGCCCGGAGTTTGCTTTATGGGGATGGTGAACTTGGAAGGAAGAAAGAGAATTGATGGAAGTTACGAATAGGGGCGAAATATCAAAATCCCCCCCTGAGGTTTAGGTTCAGCATAAAACAACCCCCTCCCTAAAAAAAATATTTGTGGGCAGTAATATATCCCACAGATTTTCAAATTCCGAGTTATAATTAAAATTAAACATTTGATTCGAATCTACATTTAATAATAAAATAATAATTAAATAAATTTTTTTGAATAATAGTTTTTAAAAAATCTTACATGAACAGTACCGTTCGGATTTGCGTAATCCGAGTCCCATTAAGAAATAATAAATTGAGGTGCGAAATATTTGAACTCAAATAAGGAGGAGTCCAGGACCTGGACTCCTTAAATAAACAGTAGTACTCGCATTTCCGAAATCCGAGTTCTCAAAAAGAAAAAAAATAAAATAAAATCAAGGCACGAAATTTTTGAAATCAAAGAACTGGAATACCGTAATCCGGTTACATGTATTAGTGTTATGTACTATTTGTACGTACTAGTATTATGTAGTACATTACTCATTATACATTATTGGTACTATTGTTATTTATTACTGTTAAATCTGTTAGTCATTATATATTATCACTAATTCAGTATAATTTATCTGTACTAGTGTAATGTACTATTTGTACGTACTAGTATTATGTGATACATTAATACTAATACCCATTATACATTATTGGTACTATTGTTATTTATACAGTTAAATCTGTTAGTCATTATATATTATCACAAAAACAGTATAATTTATCTGTACTAGTGTTATGTACTATTTGTACGTACTAGTATTACGTAGTACATTAATACTAATACCCATTCATTATTGGTACTAGAGTTACTTATTACTGTTAAATCTATTAGTTATTAGATATTATCATAAATTCATTATAATTCATCTGTATTAGTGTTATGTACTATTTGTATGTACTAGTATTATGTAGTACATTAATACTATTACCCATTATACATTACTGGTACTAGTGTTACTTATTACTGTTACATCTATTAGTTATTAGATATTATCATTAATTTAGTATAATTTATCTGTATTAATGTTATGTACTATTTATACGTACTAGTATTACGTAATATATTAATACTATTATCCATTATACATTACTGGTACTAGTATTACTTATTATTGTTAAATCTATTAGTTATTAGATATTATCATAAATTCAGTATAATTCATTTGTATTAGTGTTATGTATTATTTGTACGTACTAGTATTATGTAGTACATTAATACTATTACCCATTATACATTACTGGTGCTAGTGTTAATTATTACTATTACACCTATTAGTTATTAGATATTATCATTAATTCAGTATAATTTATCTGTATTAGTGTTATGTACTATTTGTACGTACTAGTATTATATAGTACATTAATACTATTACCCATTTACATTACTGGTACTAGTGTTACTTATTATTGTTAAACCTATTAGGGCTTGTTTGGACAACATTTCATTTTGCATTTTAACTTAGTTTGTGATTTGGATTTGAGTTGTGTAAAAAAATGGTGTAAAAATAATGTTTGAAATAAATTTTAAAAAGTAAAATAAAAAGTTTTTTGGATAGTATTGGGATTTGTGTTTGAGTGGTATTTTAAGAGGTAAAATGAGCCAAATTGCAAATGGAACCCTTGGCCAAACAAACCCTTAGTTATTAGATATGATTATTAATTCAGTATAATTCATTTGTGCTAGTGTTATGTACTATTTGTACGTACTAATATTATTTTATGTAGTACATTAATATTAATACTAATTATATATTACTAGTACTAATGTTACTTATTAATGCTAAATCTGTTAGTTATTAGATATTATCATTAATTCAGTATAATTCATCTGCATTACTGCTATGTACTATTTGTACGTACTAGTATTATGTAGTACATTAATACTAATACTCATTATACATTAGTGGTATTACTGTTATTTATTATTGTTAAATCCGTTAGTTATTAAATATTATCATTAATTCAGTATAATCTATCTGTACTACTGTTATGCATCTTTTAAGCAAATAATCGCATTTTTAGAATCTGAGTCAAGCAAAAAATTAGATTTCAAAATAAGGCCATATGATTTAGGGTTTAGGGTTTAACTTCGGATTTTTCAAATCCGATTGTTATTTATACTCGGATTACCAAAATCGGAGTGCAACATATACTCGGATTTAGAGTTTAGGGTTTAGGTTCGGATTTATAGAATCCGAGTTTATCAGGGAAACATGGAAGATTCGGATTTCGGAAATCCGATTCGTGTCCAAAAAATTACTAACACTTATACAAAAAAAATTTTCCCCAAAAATTAATATTTTAATCATAAAGTCGGATTTTAGAAATCCGAATTATGATTAATTATGCCAGATTAAAAATTTACTTAGTTTTAGTTTTAATTAAAATGAATTTGGATTTTCAAAATCTGTTTTCTATTGAATTCGGACCGAAATCTGAATTTACCCCGGATTCGGATTTTGGAAATCTAGAGGATATAAGTTTGTCCACACAAATTTCAAAAAAATTAATTTGGTCTACCTTTTTTTTAAGAAAATTTTTTAGGTCAAAAACTCATTTATCCCCCCCCCCCAAATATTTGGCCCAGTGCCAAAAACTCCCTCCAGATATTAGAAATATAAAAATAATTTTTTTTAAAAAAAAAAGAAAAAAACCTTTGACGCGTGCTTCATTATTACAAGTGTTTTTTACTTTTAAAAAAGAAAAAAAGTGCAATCAAATAGTACTATTAAATCCTATGGTATGGATTCATTGCCAAACGGTTATAGCTTATTTCATCTGTATTATTGATTCCTTTGCCAGACAAATGAGTTGGCGTGCTTCAAAATTGTATAATAAACTTTTATGAAAATAATAATAACCAGTTTAAGAATTGCACAATGATTTAGTCATTTGCAGATTAATTTTGATAGTAATATCCTATTTTGATATTTGCGGATTAATCAAGTTTGCAGAAGTTGTCCTTTTATTCTCTCAATCTTCAATTTCGAATGTTGATTTCTCGCCTTTTTAACTACAGAGTATGGCGAGTTAGAAAAAATATTGATTACTCAATTCCTCAAAAAATAGTTCTCGCTGAATTTTGAAATTTGTAGTATTATGTTTACTACGAATATAAAAGCTCAACATAGATGATTTTGTTGAAAAATAGGAAATAATAATTTTTTGCAAAAGTGACTGTTATTATGTGACGAAAGACTATCAACAAATCCATCAATCAATCCGGTGACTATTATTATTTTGGCAAGAGACTATCAAATTCATCAATCATATGGCTGTCATTTTGAGGTGAAAGTTATATACCAATTCATGGTAATCCGTTGAGAAAAATAAACACAATTCAAATATATTAATCTTTCATCAACTTTCTTAACATGATGAGCACAGTTCTGACTTATAACGAAATCTCGTTAATAAATGTAAAAAAGTGTATTTTAATCTGTGGTTGGTCTTAAGTAGTCTCGTAAAACAATATGGGTAAACTCCAATGCCAACAACCCCCTTGGTTGGTCCAACATTTTAAATTGATATGTATGATTCAAAACAATGTCATAGTTCCCAACGATCCTATTTGTAGTCTGAGGAATACCTTTATTCGTCTTTTTTCTCCCTCAATGTGAACAACTAACCAGCTCTTACTATATTATATTTGGTCAAGTGTTCGTAAACTTATTGTGTGTGACAACATATTACTGTCAATAAAATGTAGTTGAGCGATTTAGCAAATGATCAGCTTCAATAGTGATCAGTAATACCCAACAAAATTAAAAAAAAAATATTTATCAGCTTCGTTATTTATTATTGATGATAATAATTTCTCCGTCCCAAAATTATTATGTTGTGGATACAAATTACAAGCCTAAGGCTAATGATCAACTTTCAATTTCAAGTGGCAAATACGGTGCGGAAGGCTTTGGCAGCAAATCCATACCAGATGATGATGATCCCATGGAATCATTATTTGTTGGTGGTGAAAAATAGAAGAGATCATCTTCATAATTCTCCACATACGGCGGCGCTGAAGGTGAAGGACTAACACGACGATGATGATGATTACCACTCATCGCCGTCGTCCCGGCGGCAGAAGCATTCCGCCCGGTAGCCGCCGCCTCCGCCACCGCAATATCCTCGCTAACAAAGACAAACATGTAATCAAAATACAGCATCCCGCGAATCTTCCCTGAAGATTCGGAACGAATCGCCTGACCAATCCCTCCCTGACACGACGAATTCCCTTGCCCCCGGAGATCTCGGACGGGTACGGTACAGATTCCGACGGATTTTCCGCCGGAATCTCGACGACGACCACCGCCGCAAGACTTGACTCGAAACACAACCATGAGGTCATTGTTCGGGTGGGATTCGGATCCTCCGCCGTCGATTGGAAGAGTTACCCAAAACGACCATATGGGCTCGCTTCCGTAGGGAAGAAGAACGCTCGTATTAACCTCCGAGGCGGCCGGTTTTTCGCCGGAAGGGCCGACGAGGGATACCGTCGTCGTGTAAACATGCATCTTGTTGTTGGCGGCGGAGAACAATATGCAGGCATTCTTGATCACTTCTACTGATTTCACTACAATTTGCAGTGAATAGTAAACCATGATTATCAAATTTCTAACTTTTTCATCAATGTTGATCTATTGGGTGCGAATCATGGAAGTTAATAAGGGAAATCGATCCGAAGAAGAAGAGGAAGAACAGGAAGAGGAGGGGATTTATATGAATCATATCGTGCAGAGATAGATAGGCACTGAAAACTGAAAAGTTGGAGTTCTTAATGGATTTGGTTTATTAACGCAAAAAGTTGACTCCGAGTTCTACCAGAAGTAGTATTAGTATTTTTTTGGAGCGCGAAAGTAGTATTGGTTGTTACTACATTCGTTTTTATTTTAAAGTTTCTTTTATCGTATTTTAACAATATTCCTTTAGTCTTCTTCTGTACATTAGTAAACAATGGTAAATGTCTCTTGGTGAGTTTAGAATTGTGAACGTGATTAGTAAACATTAGTAAATGTCTCTTGGTGAGTTTAGAATTGTGAACGTGATTGGTCAAAAATTAAATTAAGCATTCTGATTGATTCATTAGTTCACATGACATCATCAATTTTAAATTGAACCCTTTAATTGGTTATTGATATATTAATATGACATCAGCAATTTAAAACAAGGCTACAACGATCAATTAATAAAGTTTTTTTTCTTTTTTTGCCAACCAAATATGTCATTAGCCGGGAGAAATAACCTAATTAATATAGCGTGCTAAAAGATGACGTTTACTACCCGACGTTACCAATTAAAATGTCATTTATATTGTGCCCATTTTTACTGTTAATTTTTTCGGCTGCTCTCCATCCTTTCCTTTCCCAAAAATCTTCTCCCTCCCCAAATGTCAATCTAAATCTTCAGTCACCTTCATTTCCCTATTCCTTGGAAATCCAATTATCTTTTTGGGTTCAAAATCCAATTATTATGCAATGGTGGCGACGATAAATCAATCGAAATGGTGGGGTGTCAAACCAACAAACAATTTAATCTACTTTCAAACTAGTAGCATAGGAAAGCAAGGTCGTCTCTTCAGGGAATGGTGGATTCGTTTCTTTCAAATAAGTAACCGAAAGGGGGGTGTTGAGTTTTTAAAACTAAAATGTAGTTAAAATAAAATTCAAATGATAGTTAAAAAAATGAAAGCAAATTATGAGAAAGTTTCTAGTCGAAATATTTTATATCCACCTTGGTCTAGACAATTGATCATAAATGCAATGATATGCTCAATCACTTATAGGCAAATTAGTTTTCGTTATTGGAACCTCCTAACAACTTAATCTTGAACTAAGTGTTGTGATTAAGAAAACTTTCATTAAACACACTAGTCGAAATCGAAATTAAATCCTGGGACCTCCTAAGATTAAGAAAACGACTGTATTAAGTACAAAGACCCAATTCCAATTCTTATAAAACAAACCTTGTTTTATATTAAATCGGATTACTTGTTCCTATAACATAAATAATTACTTACCAAGTAATTAAATTATATTATACCATATTTAAACAATAAACCTTGTTGTCTTATTGGTTTTGGATTATTAAGAAGCATCGAATGTTACCAGCTATTCATGAATCCACAATAATCATATCAATCATGCAATAGAACAAGCAAATACTCACAAGAAATTGAGAAAGAAACAACATTTAGATCTCACAACTATTCAAACCAAGGTTTTAATATCTTTCAACTGGAAAAGTAATTTAGTTACACATAATAATGCCTTACTGAAACAAAACTATGGAGAATGAGGAAGAATAACGCCCAAAAGGGCGAGATTGGCAGCTTAGGACCACTCCAGCCTCCTCTTCTTCTTCTCACGTTCAGCCCCCTTCTTCCAGAAAAGAATAAAATCAATTTATATGCCAAAAAGTAGGTCAGCCGCCAGCAGCTTTCAGAATTTCGCAACTGCAAATTAACTTTTCCGAAATTTGCATATTGGTCTCTCAAGTTTGACAAAATTATATTTTGACCCCAAAACTTTTTTTAATTTTTTGTTTTAGTCCCTGTTTCGGTTTGGCCAAACGGGAATGCAGCATCAATGCTGTAATTTCTTCTCTAAAGCTCAATTTTGGACTGAGATTCGTGTGCCCACACGAGAATGTGATGTCATTGCTCCCTTCTTGTGCTTCCTTGTCAAAATGCTCTAAAAATGTGTATTTATGGAACATTTTGCTCCATCTCATCTCTAAGAACTCCTAGGAACCAACAACATCAAAATACATAATATAACTGCACAATCTAATCCAAAATGCTATACAAATACCCATAAATAACATGAAACTTCAAGACCTATCACGAAAGGAAGAAGAACTGATCCTAATTTTTTTTTCGGTTTCCGATGGTGGCAATGGCGTAGATCCGATGTCCAACAAATAAATGGTGATCATACTTTGATTGGGCTTCCGATGGTGGCAATGCAAGCAATCCGCATGGCGGTGCTGATGAATCGTTCTTTCGGCGTCACATAGTAATTATTATTAGAATTTCGTTAATCCATATGACAAAGTGACCATTTGAAGTGAATTCATATTAACATGTCTCAAACTGGTTGCGTGTAGAGCGACGAGAACAAATCTAATTCTAATATATGACTACTAAAATACTCTTCCCGTCCGAAAATTAATATTCATTTTGAATTTTCACTTTTAATACAAATTAAACTAAAAATAAAATTCAAATAATAATAATTATGGTGTACATAGTATCAAAATACTAGGTTACTTAACTCACTTCGTAATTATTTTAGCTCTCTTCACCACCATTGTAAATATTGATATCTTGTTTACATAATTACACAAACACACACAAACACTTATATAGAGAAATCAATAATGTGATTACAATGCGTTTAGGAATTCCCCAATGAAATACTCCATCCGGTCCTTATTAGAAGACATTTAGATTTTGTCTTAGGTTTTACTTAAGATATTGGAAAAAAAACACTTTAAAAATACATGTTCACATTTCTCGTGTTCTCGTAATTATTAGAAAATATTTTTAAGATTTTAATTTCAATTAAAAAGACATTCTTGGTGAAATTTAGGATAAACTTAGGACAAATCAAAATACCTTATAATAAGAACTGGAGGGAGTATGTAGCACAATGTTTTAAATAACGTCATTGTAAATTATATTTTATAATAATCATAAGATTGGGGAGTGCCTGTCTAATTGCCTTTATTTTATTGTTTTTTTGTAAATGGGAAACCATTTATTTTTTTTTAAAGAGTATAATTACTTAATTTTCTACATGGACGATGATCCTATTAAATCCAAAAAAAAAAAATATGCAATCTAAATTCATTAAATATTTATTTCTTTATAATAATTGTTAGGTTCAACATTTTCTCCTTTATGTAAAGGCGACAAAGGAGCCGACTTTATAGATTTGACTAAAAACTATACAATCTCAAATTTCATTAAAAAAATAATCCAAATATTGAGATATATCTTGTGAAAATTGTTGGCGTTGAATCCGGCTTCTACTTAGAAAATCCGACAAGCAAATCGACGAAACAAAGCACTAATGTATTTTTTCTCATAGTTATTATAAGAAATTGATTAATAAACTAAAACATAAGAGCTTAGGAAATAAAAGATGTAAATAAAAAATTTGATTAAGAAGGAACAAAGAAACGAAATTTCACTAAAATTCGCAATTGACAACTTCCTTTGTTCAAAGCAAAGTAGAGAGCCAGCTGACCTTTTCAATCATTTTGTGGCTCTAAAATGGTTTTTTTATTTTTTTTTTATTTTTTTTTTATCCCCAGTCACCTTTCAGACAAAAGTAAATATCATGGAATTACTTCTCTGTACCAAAATTGTACCATCCTTCGTAAAGAGGAGCTGATACACCATCCTCTTTTATAGAAGGTTTTTTTTTGTTTTTATCCCTTCAATATTACGACTCATTTTGATATACTCTTTCTGTCTCAAACTTATTGTCCAGTTTGAAATTTTATTTTTAATACAATTTGTATTAGAAATAAAAACCCAAATTGGATAATAATTATGAGACGGAGGGAGTAATATTTTTTTTCAAGCATTTCACCAAACACTCATTGTATTGCATCTTTTTAACTTCATGCCTTTTTTAACCATCTATTGGCTTCTACTTCACAGGTCAGTTTAAGAAGGGAAAGCTCGGTGTAAGAATGGAAACCGATCGTTCATGGTACGTAAGGTTTAAACTAATTAGGACGACTTCATCATATGCCATCAATTACATAAGGTTTAAATCGATCATTCACTCAATAACACATAAGTGCTTAAAAGATAATTGCGATGCGTTACAATATTACTATTACAAGCCGTATCGCCATCATTTACGCATTAAAATTTTTTTTTTAGGACGGAGAGAATAATAATCATAAGATTGGGGAGTGCTCGTCAATATTGACTTTGATTTTTTATTTTTTAAATGGTACTGCTATATTTGTTTTTCAAGAATGTATGTAAATGAGAAATTTACTCAATTGTCCATTTTCAGGGGAAAGGAGGCGGCAAAAGAGTACCCGGAAATCACTAGAACGGCGGCAGTCCGTCTCTTCGTTTTCTTTCCGACTGCAATTTCTGAAAGATTTTTTTCATTCGATGTGTTTCCAATCCCAATTCTCTCCAGCATTCAAGATTCTCAGTCAGATAATTCTTGCTCTCTGATCCAAGCCCATTTCTTCAATTTCGAAGAGAAGCTAAAAATAAATTCGACGACGGCTCTTTGTTAAGGTAATTTACTCTAATTCGCAAAGCTGAAATCAGTCATTCTTAGACATTAATGTTAGTTCTTACCGAAGGGAAATCAAACTAAACCTGAAATTGCAACACCTGTAACCTGTTTGATCAGGTGCTTGAATGTAACCACTCAGGCTCTTTTGCACAAACACTTGAGAACTCTATTCAGTATTCAGTCAGAAGTTTGATTTTTGTTTTTTCTTTCTCATTTTGTTGGAAGGGGCTTTATCAATGGCTTACAGGGGGTCCCTTTTACGAGTACTGGCACTGAGCTCAGTTGGGTCTGGGTTGGTTTTCTCTGACTATGCTACGGATTCAAGTATGTTCAACATTCTTATACTTTTGTAACTTTTACTTTCGATTCATAGTTCTAAACTTCTGATTGATACTTGTTGGGGGAAAAAATATATATGTAGGGACATCAGTGTCGGTATCAATTCCTGCACCGTTACTTGATTCATTGAGTTGGTCATGGAGGACTTTGTTAGAGCAATCTACTAATCCTACTCTGGGATTGTCCAATGAGAGTTTTCAGCATAGTAAGTGTGCTCTAAATTTAATTGGCCTGTTCCCTTTTCATTTCCAGTTTACTTCTGGTTGTTCCATTGAGACTGAAACTGGTATTGCAGGAATTGTTCCGTTGTTTTTTTCTGTATCAAACAATGACCCATCGTCAGATGTCAAGAAGGAATCTTCCGTGGGGGTTGTGGATAATTCAAACTACTTGCCCAGCGTGTCTGAAAGAGATGGTGCGAGTCCAAAGCATTCTTGTAATTGTCTAGGTCGTGATACTATAGCTAATGCAGCTGCTAAAGTTGGACCTGCTGTTGTTAATATATCTGTCCCTAAGGGTATCTCTTGCATTATCATTTCAAATTTGGTTCACATGTGCGTTGTCGGATATTCTGTTAAGTTTGTGCCTCTGATTGCACAGGTATTGCTGGTGTAGTGGTAGGAGTGAGCATGGGGTCGGGAACTATAATAGACGCAGATGGAACTATTTTAACCTGTGCCCATGTTGTTGCTGATTCTCGTGGCTTACGCTCTTGGGTAGAAGGGAAGGTTGGTGTTTTTTATTATTCTTCCTTAGATGGAAACTTACTTTCGGTGCACTCATTTTGTTATTTGCTGGAATAGTTTATTCAGTAGATTCTTTTTGATTAAGTTTTCTGTGGACAGCACCACTACTTTGAATGCAAGTTCTCGGCTATACTATCTTTAAGTGAATTTGGCTGAAATTTTTAACTTTCAAAGTTATTCTCTTCATTTGTGCTTGCGGTATTCGCAAACTTATGTCTGCTATGTCTTTTCAATCAGTTCAGAAGGTAATTGTAAGGTTGGATGTCGGTGTCAATTGATTTCAGTGATTCCCAGAGAGCTCTTTTTGGCTGGTTGGAGTTCCAGTTTCTTATAATACAATAATTGTGACTTCTTAGCTTCCCTTTGTTTTATGTATTTTTTCCTTCCTGTTTCCCCAAATTCTGCACCCCCTACCTCTCTTTTGATCCTCAGCTGTTTCACCTTTGATTCTAGTCTCACTTTAGCTTCCTCATTCCAAGCTTTCCAACTCTTCCCAATATTATTGGAAATGATACCTAGCCGTGGGGATAATAAATCATAAATGGAATGACTCTAGGCACAAATGCAATGTGAATTCTCTCGTGCAATTTGCATTGAAATCTGAATGAACTTGAAAATTTCTACTTGAAAAAACTTTTCGATGCATGTAGAGATAGACATGACTAAGCTTGCCCTTGATAATACTGATGTGTCATTGTGCATCATTCTATGCTGCAATAAGTATGAGAGAAAACTTCGCTGGTGTAGGTTAATGTAGCTCTGCAAGATGGTAGGACATATGAGGGCACAGTGGTGAATGCTGATTTACAATCTGATATTGCGATTGTCAAGATCACGTCGAAGACTCCTCTGCCCACAGCAAATCTTGGTTCTTCGGGTAAGCTTCGGCCGGGTGATTGGGTGGTTGCATTAGGTTGCCCTCTGACACTCCAGAACACCATAACAGCTGGTATTATTAGGTATTCATTTCCATTTAATCTGTTATTATAGAAATTGTTTACTGCAGCTAGTGACTCCAAAATGAATTTGTTTAATACTGATATTGGATTGTATGTGGGCACCATGTGGAACATTTTGCCTTAGAAAAATACAGGTGGATCAAAAAACCTTTTGTAAACAGTGAACTTGCCTGATATATTCTTTTTGATGATCCACTATTTTTTGCATCATTGTTTTCTATTATCACAAGTTGTTAATGTCTTCGACATGGTGCTTATAGTTGTGTTGATCGTAAGAGCACTGATTTGGGTCTCGGTGGATCTCGGAGAGAGTACCTACAGACGGACTGTGCAATCAATGAGGTAAAGTAAATAATACTTATACCTTGTGAACTTCTGCAACATGCTGTGCAGCAGTATGCTGCATGATTGAGGAAATCTGCATAGTCATTGTCTTAACATTTCATAACAGTCTAATCTTTGGAGTTTTGTTTGTATAAGTAAAATTCTTTGTTCTGTTTGAATTCATCTTGAGCATTATTTCTATTGAGGAAGGGTTTGTCTGAGTTGAATCTTGCGTTTTTCATGTCTAATGTGTCCGACAATTGTTTTGAAAGTTTTGAGATGGATAATATGCAATTACCTTGCTATCAGTATTGGAGACTTCATGGTTATAGTTTTAGTATCAATGATTAAAAAAGTCTTTTGGTTGGAAGTTCGACACAGTTATTTATATAGAAGCCCTTTGTCAAGTTTACCTCTATTTGTTCTTGAAATGTTAGTTTATTTGAGAAAAGCTGATTCAATTACTTCGATGCCTTATTACTGATCCATGAATGTCTTTTTTGTTGGTGGGAACTACTTTCCTTGATCTTGCAGGGAAATTCGGGAGGACCCCTGGTTAACATGGATGGAGAACTTGTTGGTGTCAATATCATGAAAGTACAAGGGGCTCAAGGATTAGGTTTTTCTGTTCCAGTTGATGTTGTTTCCCAAATTATTGACCACTTCAAGACACAGGGGTATCTGAATGACACATGAATTTCAAAGTTCAAATTCTTGATTACGTATTTTGTTTAGTTGGTTTCATGTAAAGATGATTATATGCAGCCACATCATGTACTTATCTGACGATGATATATGCAAATGTGTAGGAGAGTTGTACGTCCTTGGTTGGGTCTAAAAATGATCGAACTCAATGAGATGGTTGTTGCACAACTCAAGGAGAAAAATGCTGCATTTCCATCCGTGACGAAGGGTGTTCTTGTGGCCATGGTATAATTTAACTCTTCGTATTTACTCTTCACTTTATCAGATGTGTGAGATTTGAATTTTTTTTTTTTTTTTTTTTTTCCAAATGAGGATTGTCTTTTGTATGTTGTTCTGAGTTTTCCCTTCCACGGATTTTAGTGTTCAGTTTTGAAGTCTTGTCTATATTGTTCAGTTCTATGCGGACTGTGTGTATTTGTTGATGTGGTTCTTGTAGCATTCATCTTGTTACTGCCAGAAGTAATTTGTAGGGTGGACTTGGTTGGTCTCCGTAACCTTCTGTCTGTCGATGATTCCCGTAGTTTTTTTGAATTGGTATGATAACTAATTGTTAAGATAACTAATTGGATGATTCCCATAGTTAAGATAACTAATTGTTTGTCTGCTGATATCAATATCTATCATCTTTGAAGTCCCACCGGTTTGTTGCTATGGAAATATGCTTCCTCTTCTTGTCTTTGACGAAGCTGTCTCAAGCTTTCTGTTTTTGTTTTTACCTTGCCTTTATCTGCAACTGACTGTTGCTTGCTTTCCTTTCTGTATCCTCAAACAATGTACCCTAGTAAAATTTATTTATTCATTTTTAAAGTCAACGGATTCATAGATTATGTAATCGGTAGGCTATACAACATGGCGAAAGCAGACCAACTACTGTTTTGCTATTTCGAGAACCTCATCTTTTTTATTTGATTCCCTTTTGGGGGTGGTGGTGGGGTGGTGGTGTCAGGTCACTCCAGGATCACCTGCTGATCGTGCTGGATTTCGTCACAGTGATGTGGTGATTGAGTTCGACGGAAAGTGTGTTAGTAGCATAAAAGAGGTAACAAGTTTGCTTAGCAATCTATCAGCAGATGTTTAGGTTTTCAACTTGGTAACCACAGTATCACTATTGTCATGCCCACGATGTCTCAATGTATTGTTATAAATTGTATAGTCGCCAACTGGGAGGAAAAGGTGGCTGGTGTTTCTTTTACACGACGATGAAGCACCAGTAATTATACCCGAAAGCTTTTTTTGTGAACGGTGCAGATTATTTTGCATCTATAGATTCTCTTACTGGTTCTGAATAGATTTTGAAGGGTGCTTTTCTCCGGTGGTTGTCAATTATTGCTTTTTGTGCAGATAACTGATATTATGTGGGACAGGGTTGGGCAGCCATTGAAGGCAGTTGTGATAAGAGGCACTGACGAATCTGTTACTTTGACAGTGATTCCAGAGGAAGCCAAACCCAACATGTGAATTCTGTTGTAGCTTGTTGAAGTACATATATTGATCATTCGGCTTTCTATCAGTTTGCTACATGAATCTTTTTGTAGGACTATATTTACATAGGAAAAATTTTAAAGTAGGGGTCAACGTTCGATCTAAGTAATCCAATTTGAGGCCATAGAGATCAGATTAGTTCAGGGCTACGGGCTTATTGACCCTCATTGATCTTTTGTATTACCTGAATTAGAGCAAATAAATGATCCTGATGAGAAGGATGACATTTCCCAGAAGACTTGGAACTGATCATGTTGTGGACCAGAGAAGATGGTAAGCAATGAACTACTGAAAAATTTGTTTCTGTTGTTTCATTGAAATGGACTTACTGCTTGGAGAACAAGGGCAATTTATATGGTAAACTATGTTCACAATAGATGGTGGACTTGTTTGAGTAATTGTATTACACGCTTTAAAAAAGAAGTTAAATTTTACTTAATTTTTTTTATAACAATCACGCGCATCAATATAATTGATTTTTTTCCCTTATTCTTCTCTTTATTCTGTAACCAATCGTATCTAAAAAATCAAAACTGAAAATCTAGTATTTTATCAACACTATTTGGCGGTTCACTTAATTTTTCATCGATGAAATAAACCAAAAATTAAAAAATAGATGCAAACTATCTTTCATTCATATTAAAAAAATATTAAGAGTTGCAAGACTAAGTTTTGATTGGAATTAAATCCTTTTGATGTCGTTTATGATGAACGATGATACTTTAGAAGTCTACCAAAGAGGTGACAGCGACGAGTACTCAAATGATAACGTTAACAATGGATTCACCCAAAATTGCAGTTTTTACAACTAAACCAACGACGATGATCTGGCACAACTTCAATTGATACGCATTGAAGATGATTTATTGTCCCCAACAACTTCAATTAACATCTGTTCATGAAGATGAACTTCCTCCACATGATTCTGGTAATGTTGAGTTTATGTTCAAAAAGTTAGAAAACAATAGAGTTTTCGATGAACATGTAGTTAGGTGTTAATGAATAATTTTTAATAAAACCATGAATACGCTTGTCTATATTATTTATTCATAACTTTTCTTTAAATGGGTTTGAACATTTTATCATATTAAACACTCAAGTCTGGTTCGTGTTCTTATTTTATTGCATGTATGAATATGATGCAAACTTATCATGATTATGACATTTGCGATGTATGAATATTGACTATTTTTATTATGAACATAATATGGTCATGAACATACTACAAATTGTGAATGTAATTACAAACATTATTTAAAATTTTCATGAATATAGCATATTAAATTGTGAATGTAATTACAAACATTATTTAAAATTTTTATGAATATAGCATAATATGATCATGATTATTATTTTATTATTACTACAATGTGCTATTAGTTATGCACGTTAGATTTATATACCATGAAAAACGCATTTAGTATTCATGAATTTTTTTTTCCCTTATATAAAATTGAACATCTTAGGAGAAAAATAGTGTTATTTTATTATGAATATATGAATTTTGTGCATATTTATCATGAATATTACATTTGCGATTTATGAATGTTGTATAGTACTTTATTATAATGTATAAACACTGTGCATATTTGTTACAAATATTGTAAATTAGTTTCATGATTATTGACATCATTAATCATGATACTTATAAATATTGCCATTAATTTTTATTGTATGCAACACAGAATCGTCATGAATTTTTAATATGACTATCATGAAATTTAATGTGTTTTGTTTTGCATATTTACACTTTAAGTCATGAATATTATTATTTGCATTATTTGTTTACAATATATTACGTATTTTTGTGTGGTAGTGTGTAATTTTATTTTTATTATATGACTGTAGTGTAATTGAGTTTGTTACTTATTAGGATTGTATTTTTTGTTACCGTAAAATTTGGATACAATTTAAAATACAGTTTGCTTGGATTTGATTAGTTATGAATTTTAAATAAATAAAAAGAATCCGATTGAATAAATAAAAAAAAGATAAAAACCAAAATTGTAGGAGTAAATAATAAACTATATTACCAAACATTATGAATTGTGTTGTAAATAATAAACTATATTACCAAACATTTTGAACTGTGTTGTACAATACAATTACTCGAGAACAAGAAACAAAACCGAAATTGCAGTGTTCTCGCCTGAAGTAATATTCAGATTACTGTCTTAAAAAGTTAAAAGTTGTACGTGTAATGCATCATTTTAAGTTTTAACCGAGATAATTGAGAGTTACCAGGTATATACTTGTCAAGTAGCAGAATTTGAGACAAAATTATTATAATCACTCTATTCTAAATGTGAATTATTTCGGGATGGAAAGAATATCATAAAATAAGGGATAGAACAAGGTTAAGTACTCAATGCATATCAGGAGATCAAATATTTCTGAAACTCTGTTGAGCCATTTCCTGATTCTAGTTCCTCTTCCCCCTCAAAAAGACAAAAACACCAAAACAAAATCAAAAAATTATAATGACTAATGACTATACTGATGATACAATAATAAAAAATAAATAAATACTGGAGGGAGACCAACTATATTCACACTTTGGGTCAGAATGAAATCCATAAAATTGCAAATCTAAAAACCCATAGCATCATCATAGCCGGCATCATAGGCAGCCATTTCTCCGACGTCCCCAATCATATCTCCGACCAGCAAACCTCCGAGCAGCCCCATACCTATGCCCAATCCCATTCCCGATTTTCCCTTGTTCTTCTTCGGTGGTTGAACCGGCTGCTGCATGGGGTATCCATACCCGGGAGGCGGTGGATATCCATAACCCGGTGGTGGTGGACCTTGTGGAGGATATGCTGCCGGAGGATATCCACCGTATCCCGGTGTAGGAGGAGCTCCGTATCCGCCGTGAGGAGGCGGTTGCTGATAGCCGGGAGGCGGCATCGCATAACCCATTTGGGGATATTGTGGGTACGCCGTGCTAGCGCCGGCGGCGGCGGGATAAGCCGTCATGGGCTCGCCGGCGGGATTCTTCGTCTTGCCCTCATCAACGTGTGCTTGGGTGAATTTGTCCCCGAATTTATACGAAAATTTAAGGGTGCCTTTGGGTTTACCTGAGGATGTCCTGACTTGATATTCCACAACTTTGTCGGATGAATCTTTCTCTTTTGAGAAGCCATTGTAAAGCTCCGGAATTGGGACGTTAACCTCGCCGATATCCTTGGCGGAGCCGAAAGTCCGGTCGGATTTGAGCTGGACGAGGAGGGAAATTCCAGGGTTGTTGAGGGAATTCTCGGCAACATCGAATCGGAGGTGAAAATTCCATTTGGGATTGGATCCACTATTCTTGTCAACATTGGTCTTCTTGGTGTTGTTCTTGGAAGGATAGCCCAGGATTTTGACCACCGCATAAACATCCATCTTGGAGAACATGTTCACGTTCTTCAATCCACCTGCGGATATGATGGTGACTTCCAATGGGTAATACTCCATTTTTTCTCAATCAAATTTCAATTTCTTCGAAAAAAAGAAGGGATGTTTATTTTTTTATATATATATATTTCAATTAAGAAAGCAACAACAACAACAAGAAGAAAGAGATATTGAACAAGAACAGGGGATTTTTTTTTTTTTTTTTTTGGAAAAAACAGAGAGGAGAAAACAGAAAACCTGGAATTTTGGGTAAGGGAATTGTATGGAAAACGAATTTAAAGGCCGATGAACGATGGAATTGGTGTTTCATTCAATAATCATCATTATATATAAGAGTGACACGAGGAAAATTCAAGGAAGATTCGATCCAAAATTCTCTAAACCGACATAACCATAAGACCTAAAATCTCGCAATCATTAAAAATCAAATCTTGATGATAACTGTGATTAAAACTGTTTACTCGTTTTTGTTTTTAAGTTTGGAAAGGAAATCTGGAAATCCTTTGGGGATTAAGATTTTTTTACCATTTTTGCGGTATTTGGCTGATGCGCGTACAGTACGTGTGGAAAGGAATGGATAAACATACAAAAACGCGGGAGCTTTTGAAATGGATTCGGAAGTTGAAGAATCCGTGAGCCCTTTACTAATAATAATTGCAATTATATCCCTCTTTTCTCTATTTATCGTTATATATTTGGCAGCAATTGGGTTTGTCGCGCCGTTCGCTTCTTAATCTTACTATATACTAGTGTTTTACCCGTACTTTGCACGGTGAGAAAATTAAAATTAAATTATCCTATATTTTTTTACGTTAAATATGAGTGTATAATTTCAACATATAAGAAAAACAATGAAAGTGTATAAGAAATATTAGTTTAGTTTATAAATAAGATAAAACGAAAAAAATTAAGGGTGTATACAAAAATTCAAAGCATTTGTGCCATTATTAAAAAATGTATCGAAAAAAAAGCAATACTTATAAAATCAACATATCAGGAATTATATATTTTCCAGGGTGTCATCTAATTATGAAAGGGCTACTTTCCGACGGGTCTTATTCCATCTCCATTTTCATCTTTACCAGCATGTCGCTCTACATCATCTTATTTAAAAAGGTATGAGTCTTTAGTAGGTTAAAAACATGCAATGGATTGACTGATATTTTAGTCTTTTTGGCTGCCCGTTGAACAAACAAAAAAAAAAAAGAAGAAAGAAAAAGAAAAAGAATTATTCCATAATCATTTTCATCTTTAACAGTATAATACTCTATAACGTCCTTCTTAAAAGTTTTGATTCTTTAGTAGGTTAAAAACGTGTAATGGTTGTGGCTGGTATTTACGTATTTTTTATTTTCTGTTAAAAAATAAATAAGAAGAAAAAAAAGAAAAAATTGCAGGTTTTATTCCATCTTCATTTTTATCTTTAACAGAATATCACTTTATAACGTTTAGCTATAAAGATTCCAAATTTTTTGGTAAGTTAGAAACCTGCAAAGGTGTTAGCTGATGGAGGTGCCACCAATGGCAACATATCGAGAAAAAATCAATCAGACAATTCAATCCAATTCAATCTAGAATACATAAAAATACATAAATATAAAAAAGAATAACAACAAAAAAGTACTATTGGAATTGAATTTAAAAGAGGACTTTATTATTTTAGTATCTTTGGCAGCCCATAAAAAAAATAAACAAAAAGGTAAAAAAATTTTTGTTATTTAAGTATTTCTGACAGTCTGTTAAACTGAAATAAAACAGAAGTTCTCATTCAATCTACATTTTCATTTTTAACAGCATGTTACTCTACATCGTCCTGCTTAAAAATTCTTAGTCTTTGGTAGGTTAAATACCCGGAACGATTTTGACTGTTATTTTAGTATTTTTGACATTCAGTTGTACCTAAAAGAAAAAAAAAAGGAAGAATAAGCAAGAACTATTTGTTCAAAGATGATATATATCAATAAATTAATAGTTTAGTATTTTTAACAAACCCGTTGAAAAAAAAATCGGCGGGTCTCATTCCATACTCATTTACATTTTTAACATCATGTCACTCTACTTAAAGGTTCCATGTTTTTTGTAGGTTAAAAATATGCAATAGTTTTAGCTGCTATTCTAGGATTTATAATAGCCTGTTGAACCAAAAAAAAAAAGAAAAAGAACTGGTGGGTCTCATTCCATCTTCATTTTTATCTTATACAACATGTCATTTTTATCTTAAAGAATTGTAATGGTTTTGTCTGCTATGTCACTCTATAAATTCAAGCTTAAAGGTTACATGTTTTTTGTAGGTTAAAAATATGCAATGTTTTTTTGTATTTATAACAACCTGTTGAACCCAAAAAACAAAAAGAATCAATGTGTCTCATTCCATCTTCATTTTTATCGTTAACAACATGTCAGTCTGCTTTATCTCACTTAAAAGGTTCCGAGTCTTTGGTATGTTAAAAAATGGTAATGGTTTTGTTTGCAATTTTTGTATTTTTTGACACCCCATTAAATAAAAAAAAAAGAAAAAATAACTCTTAATCCATCTTCATTTTCACTTTTAATACTATGTGACTTGGCATATTCCGGTTTAAAAGGTTCGAAGTCTTTTATAAGTTAAAAACCTGCAATGGTTTTGGTTGATGGACGTGTTGCGAGTAACAACACATGGGAAAAAATACATTTGAAAATTCAATCCAATTTAATTCATAAGACATAAAAACACGCAATAAAAAAGAAGAATAAATTAAATAATAATTGTTGAAATTGGATCTAAAAATAAAATTTTGCTATTTATTTCTGACAATCTGTTAAACTAAAACAAAATCAGAGTCTCATTCGATCGACATTTTCATCTTTAACAGCATGTCACTCTGCAACATCCTGCTTAAAAGATTCTTAGTCTATGGTAGGTTAAATAACTGGAATGATTTTGAGTGCTATTTTAGTATTTTTGGTACCCCGTTGAACCTAAAAGGAAAAAAAAATAGAAAAATAAGCAAGAACTATTTGTTCAAAGATGATCCTTACCGATAAATTAATAGTTTAGTATTGTCGACAACGCGTTGAAAAAAAAAAGAATCGGCGGGTCTCCTTCCATTTTCATTTACATTTTTAACATCATGTCACTCTGTATCATCCCGTTTAATGGTTCCATGTTTTTGGTAGGTTAAAAATCTGTAATGGTTTTAGCTATTATTTTAGTATTTATAACAACCCGTTGAAGCAAATAAAGAAAAAGAACCGGTGGGTCTCATTCCATCTTCATTTTTATCGTTAATAACATGTCACTCTGCGTTATCTCACTTAAAAGGTTCCGAGTCTTTGGTAGGTTAAAAAATTATAATGGTATTGTCTGATATTTTAGTATTTTTGAGACCCCGTTAAACCCAAAAAAAAAGAAAAAAAAAGAAGAGAAAAACCAGCTCTTAATCCATCTTCATTTTCACTTTTAATACTATGTCACTTTGCATATTTTGGTTTAAAAGGTTCCAAGTCTTTAATAAGTTAAAAACTTGCAATGGTTTTGGTTGATGGACGTGTTGTCAGTAAAAACACATGGGGAAAAAAATATTAGAAAATTCAATCCAATTTAATTCATAAGACATAAAGACACACAATAAAAAAGAAGAACAAATTAAATAATAATTATTGAAATTGGATCTAAAAGTTTGCAATTTACTTTAGACAGTCCGTTAAACTAACAAAAAAACAGAAGAGCTCATTCGATCGATATTTTCATCTTCAACACCTTGTCACCCTGTATCGTCATGCTTAAAAGGTTCTTAGTCTTTGGTAGGTTAAATATCTAAAACGATTTTGAGTGTTATTTTAGTATTTTTGGCATCCCGTTGAACGCAAAAGAAAAAAAATGACAGAAGAATAAGCAAGAACTATTTGTTCAAAGATGATTCTTACTGATAAACTAATGGTTTAGTATTCTCGACAACCCGTTGAAAAAAAATCGGCGGATCCCGTTCCATTTTCATTTACATTTTTAACATCATGTCACTCTGTATCGTCTTGCTTAATGGTTTCATGTTTTTGGTAGGTTAAAAATATGAAATGGTTTTAGCTGTTATTTTAGTATTTATAACAGCCCGTTGAAACAAAAAAAAAAAAGAAGAAGAACCGGTGGGTCTCGTTCCATCTTCATTTTTATCGTCAACAACATGTCACTCTGTGTTATCTCACTTAAAATGTTCCGAGTCTTTGGTAGGTTAAAAAATTATAATGGTTTTGTCTGCTATTTTAGTATTTTTGACACCCCATTAAACCAAAAAAAAAAATAAAAATCAGCTCTTAATCCATCTTCATTTTCACTTTTAATACCTCGCATCACTTTGCATACTCCTGTTTAAAAGGTTCAAAGTCTTTAATAAGTTAAAACCTGCAATGATTTTGGTTGATGGATGTGTTGCCAATAACAACACATGGGAAAAAATACATTAGAAAATTCAATCAAATGTAATTCATAATATATAAAAACATGCAATAAAAAAAGAAGAACAATTTAGTTCATAAGACATAAGACATAAAATCCCACTGAAGCGCAGTTCTGCCTTGCAAGATACTTCTCCAACTGAAGGACGATGTGTGCCCAGTTTAGCATTCATGAAGTCGTCGTTCGGGAAATATCGTGTCTTCAAAATATGGTGAAGAAGCGAACGATTGTTGGTGAGTGACATGTTTATTGTGAAAAAAAATTCCTTTAATATATTGTAAAATTATTTTATCGATAAATTAATATTTTATTAATTTTTAAAAATTTTATTAGGAAAAGAATATTGAATTTGAACCGTACTCATTTTGATGAAATATTAATAAATTTTTTAGATTACTTCTTTTTTAATTGGCTCGTGCGAATTACTAAAATCTTTAGATTAACCCCCATAAAACTATTTCATCGTTTACAAAAAGGGCTTTTACACACTAACTATTTTTTATTCAAATTAAACACATGCAGCAACATTATTTCTTTTTTAGGTTTTTCGTGAGAATTATTTCCAAAACAATTAGCACTATTTTTTATTTCAACTATGAATAATTAAAATCTTTTACTTATTTACTTCCTTCTTAAGAGGCCCGTGAGAATTACTAAAATATATAGATTGACTGCTTGTAAAATTGTTTTATATTTTTAGAAAAAAGACATTTTTTTTATTTAAATGAAGTCAAATTTTCTTTTTGGTTTCAAATTAATCTAATTTACCCATTTGAAGCCAAAACATTGTTTGATTTAAATGAAATCAAACTTATAAATTCTAAATCATACCTGGTTAAAAGAATAAAACCAAAATAATAGTTTAAAAAAACCCTAAACATTGCTCTATGTTACACATAATCATCTAATTTACAATATGATCACATATCTCCCTCAATCAAGTTTGGATAAACTTTTTTTAAAATTAACAACTTAAATTGAAGATAATTTCCCTTAACTTATGACTATAAATTGGCGGCTGATACCCTATGATTTGATTTTTTTTTTTTTCTACTATATGATTTGATACAAAATTACACAAACGCATCAAACCTACAATGGCAGTTCACGTGTTAGTCCTTTGAGCAATAACTGGTTTGCACCAATTATAAAGTTGGCAAATTTCAAAGCCCATCTGTCTTCTGCTGTTGTAGCTCCAATTTTCACCCTTTTAATCACCTGCACATGTAGTGACTCTCAGACAACAATGTCATTTGATCACAAAAATCTGCACCATGGACTCTAATGCAAGCTTTGCTCAATGAAATAAATTTGCAAACATATTGATGATAAGAAGAACTTCTTGGTTGCTTTCCAATCAGAACAATTCTAATTTCAATTTGGAATTTATTTGAAGCAGAGTGCAGCATTCTCCAAAAGGAGTTAAATGTTAATGAAAACATATAACTGGCAGAAAAACTAATACAGTGAAAATTGACTGGTAATTAGCTTATATTGAAGTACAGTAGAAGAAGCATACCTCTTCTTCAAGTTCCGCATGCCTAGCAGAGCCTGCTTGCATAGCTTTGGTAGGTTTTGGTCTGCCCCGGCATAAAACAAACTCCATCTGTTTCTCACACCATTCCTGAAGTCAAAATGTGACAGAATTCACATAATATTAGTGAGCAACTCAATGGAACTAAAGAAAGATCGCAAAAATTACATAGCTTCCTTCCTCATGATGCTACTCAACAAAAACCCGACAGAACCTATCCTGCACGTGGCTTTCTTGCAAATACATATCTAAGAATGAAGCTAAAGAGTTGCTGAACTAAGTATACGTTTTTCAGATAAGCTAGCAATTAAACAAGAATATCAAATGAAGCAGCGGACTGAAGAAATGCTAGCAAAAATTAAATTTACGACAAAGTTAGTTTTTACTCACGCTTTCCACAAACATATTACCTATTATCCGATTAGTCTATCATCAGATGACAATATATATATCTCCCCACCTTTTACTACTTTAAGCTCAAAAGCACATACTCGTACTGTCGTACACATCCTTTTTCATATGTTCTTTTATGAGCCGAAGCTTCATATGTAATCATGAAACATAAAAATGACGTGGACAAACTCCCAAATTTGTAAAATCAAGAAACTTTTGTATTCTTTACCGTGCCAGTAAGATCTGTGACAGACAAGCCTCTGCTCCTTCGAAACCGATCAAATAGTGATTCATTCACTTTACTCTTCTTCCTCTGACACGACCAATCATGAGCTGAGTCTTCAATATCACCCACAGCGTCCGACTCAGTTCCACCTATGTTTCTTCCCACACAGTTAAGAGACCTTATTCTTTCCTTGACAGGATGGCGGGAAAATACAAATCTTGCTAAGAGAGACAAGAACAACATGTATCACAATTGTTCAAAATACATTCACTTTTATCCTGCCAGCAACTCGGGCAAAATTAGGAAGAAAGGAAAAAGAAAAGAAAAATAAAAGGGTATTTGTCTCTACGGAAGAAGCCAGTTTCTTAGGTGAGTGCTGAAAGTACATAACATATAAATCTGTGAGACAGCAAGTCATATTATTACAGCTTCTGAAGATACATATATACATGTATAAATAAAAATCAATGAATCTGGAAGATTGACTTCCTAAGTTTCAACAGTGATGAATAATGTATCTTCTAAGTTTAAAGCACCGTGAAGAATGGATTACAACATCATAAAGAATGAATGATTGAGAAAATCATTGCTTGTATTTCTACAGTAATAATGTATCAGGTCTTGGACTACAACAGTCAACAACAGATTAAATGAGATGACCAACTTCAAATGTGAAGAAGCTTATCTGAAAACTTGCGCTCCTTCAACTTCAAGGGGTCATATTGCTTCAAGGTTCCTTGTAACATAAACAAATCCGAACCCGGACAAAAAGAATGCTAACCTCCTGTGCTTGAGCTAGACATGTAGCCACAACTATATCCTTCAACAACTAATAAGGTCTATACCTAAAATCGGCTCTTGATGGCCTTCCAGATCCCATTCGTAATTTTTAACATAGTGAACTTAATTCATCTGCTTCTTAATTCACAGAGTGCTTGAACCTTTCTACTTGTGATCTTTATCTTAATGTGATAGCCTCTTCGTCAATTAGTTCTACAAAACAATACAATAAATAGATCAAAACAGATATATAATCAGAATGAATTAAGAAACGATAGAAAAGGTAAGGTTGAGAACATCATAATCAAATAATGTAATAACATTGAAGAGCCCAATTTCAACAAAATTTTCCCATTGGATAGCAAAAGAACATAATAAAACAAATACAAATTAGCCAAACCCAAAATTTAAAGAACCACTAAATTCACACAATAAAAATGCTTACCGATTATGATTAGACGGAAGCGGTAGCGACACCATGACATGTGTCTTAAAAAAATTCTCAACGAATAAGAAAATGACATGTGTCAGTTAATTAGACCATCAATAATTTTCAAGTGTACATGTCATTTTCTTATTCGTTGAGAATTTTTTTAAGACACATGTCATCTTTTAATTCATGGATATTTTTATTAGCTATTTTATACAAGTAACATGGTTATTTTAAACAATGTAAAATGGTTATTTTCTAAAAACATAACTTCCTTCGGAAGATTGACGCCAACAATCGAATAAAATTAACCAGGACAATGAATTTCGAATTTCGCAAAGAAGAACATCGACGGCGATAATGATTGGCGATGTTGCTTTCTCAAATTGACGCTAATAATCTCCGAATAATCAAATTGACCGGAAAATTATTTCCGGCCACAAAGATCTCCGGACACGCCAATTAAAAATTTGACGTCATCGCCGTCATGAATTCGTTGTCCCTCCCCGAACGTTGCCCCAAATATATATTTTCCGAGCATCATCTTTTTTGAGTGATCGATTCGGCGACGGATCCTTCATTTGTTTGGCCGACAATACCAAAGATGACAACTTGCAAAGACAAAAATTAATATAAAACAAATCATAAATAATTCGGAGGGGCTGAAAGGTGGGATGAAGTGGTGGCTTGTGAGTTGTGGTGACTTTTTTTTTTTTGCTTCAGATTGGGAGAATTTTTGAGTAGACGTGCTCCAAGGGAAAGGAAAAAAAAAAGGAAAAAAAAAAGGAAAAATGAGAAGACAGAGTCAAAGCACGATTATGAGGGAGAAAAAAAAGGAATAATTGTCATGTTTATAATAAATTTTTCAGATTCAAAATTTCAAAACACTAGAGGATATCTACTACAATTAATATCATTATCAAATCTAATAATACTTAAAAAGAAAATTTTCACAAGTAAAAACTACTCTACACATGATCATAATTTAGGGAATTTCAAATTTTAAAATCAGTTTATACATGGAAAATATACTAATCCTAATAAACAAAAGATAATTCAAATCAAATAGAATATATTCCTTTTGAACAAAATTGACCATATCACACCAAATTCAAATCCATTTTGCAGAAAAAATTCTGATCCCCCAACGGTTGTCCCGGACAAATTTTGGTTGATTACAGCTTGGTTAATACCATGACTTCTGATCTTCCGAAGAACATCGACGATGCTGCCATAAACTTTTTTCCCGCTATTTGGTCTGGACTCTGGACCAAATCGAGATTACTCCAATCAATGCAATATCGGCAAAAATTGATCTTTCCTAAAAGATTACGTCGATGCTACATATAACTTCTCGCCGGAATTTGTTCTACTGGAATAAGATTGTTCCATTTCCGGCATAGCGACTGGTAATGTGAATCGGTGTAGGGCAGTGATGATGGAGAAGGCTTTGAGGCATGGGTTTTTTTAGCATGGAAAGATGGTCACGCGAAGTTGGGCGGTGGTGATAATGGAGACGATAGTTTTTGTGAAGAGGTGATTGGTCATGGGCTAAGAGGACATAAGGGTTAAGGGGTGTTGTTGATGACGATGAAGGTTCCTTTTTCTTTTTTCTTTTTCTTTTTTTTTTCCTTTTTTTTTATTTTTATTTTTTTTTTTTGGTGAAAAAAGATCATTATGAAATGAGTAGTATTGATTTGGTGGGAATATGTTTAAATAAATTCCATAACGATTACTAATTTTCCGATACGAACTTTACAACTTTTTTTGTTTTAGAAAAAACAGACTCATTTTTTTCGATCAAAAAACAGATTTCATTCTTTTTGTCAATGATTTATTAAAATATGAATATTTTGTGCTCTTTATTTTTTTGTTTTTGAAAAAAAACTCTTTTTACGCAATTAACATAACGTGTATAATTTATAGAAAAACTATGATGGAATGATCTTGATGTTTTTAGAATGAACAACTATTAATGAGCATGATCATCAATGACGGGAATGTATTGTTTAAAATCTTTATATTTTTGGGGGAAGTTAGACAATTAGGTAGCATGAAAAATTCCTTTAAACTCTTAGTATCCCAATAATCACAAATTAGATATTTATTTTACATAATCAAATTTGAATTTTTTTCTATTTTTTTTTTGTAAACCGTGGAGAAAGAGATGTATAAACGCAGCATGAGTTTACTTAATAATATTGAAAATTTTCGGGTGTTTAGTGATAGTATTTGATAGTTTTAGATCAGAAGAAGAGATTCATTACTTAATAATATTTGAAATTTTTGGGTGTTCAGTGATAGTATTTGATAGTTTTAGATCAGAAGAAGAGATTCATTCCCTTTTAGATATGATGACAAAAACAAAATAAGATTCAAAAATTAATACCTAAGCACCTGTCATGTAATAGCCGTCATGTCCAAGACCTGCAATATATAGTATTTTTTTTTTCAATGGGTTGTTACAAAAAATTGGACAAATAAATAGTGATTGGTTCTTTTTTCTGGTAATTACGAATTGTTTTCGTAAAAAGATTAAAGCCACAAGCAGATTGACATTCATAATGTCTTTGGCCTTTTCATGTAATTTTATTTTAGAATTAATATCACCGCACAACGTGCGGGATAAACACTAGTACCAGTAAAATTTCACATAAACACTGACACGATTAACACAAGTCCTAAACACTAGTACCAGTAAAATTTCACATAAACATTGACACGATTAACACAAGTCCAAATTCACTGCTCTCTCCATTTCAAAACAAATATTCTTAAACATATTTTTTATACAGTTCCAGATACAATTTAAATTTATTACAATATGTAAATTAATGAAATTATATTATTAAATAAATTATCCCATGAAAAAAAAAATTATTTTCTCCACACTATTTAAATTCAATTTGTCCATCTTTCTCATTTATGCTATTTTTTGAGGTAATCATTACTTTAAAATCACAATTATTTTAATTTTATTTTTTTTTTTATACAATGACCACTTATTTCCTCCTTTTCCGTTCAATAGGTTCACTTTTCTTTTCTAGAATGTTTCAAAAATTAATCCTATTTCATACAATAATTAACTTTTAATATTCATTCTCTAGTATACCCTTATTATTATTATTTTTTAAAGGAAACCTGATATATGTATTATAATTTGAGATACCTAGATTATTACACAACATCTACAACTACCCTAATACAACTACAACTCCTATGCAAACCTTCTGATGCTGCTAAAAAATGTGCAGATTTCCTATTTGCTTCAACTAGCACGCTTTACTCCATTCACCGGCATAGTTGCTTTAGGGGCCTGGTGTGCCAGCCAACAAAACTGGATTTCAATTACATTTTATTTAAAAATTAAGAATAGAGACTACATCGTCTACGTTTTCTTAATTTTCGTTAAAAAAGTCTATTCGATTAGATTGGAAGAAGTATTTGAAAATAGTTGAAATATTAATATTGACGGGACATTCAATTATTATTAGTTAACTTTAGCAGTTGATGATGCAGTATTTACTAATTAATATTTTCTCCATTCTAATTCAATAAACCCATTTAGACAAACATCAATACTAAGAAAAAGTAAATAGTATAGTTTAAACGGTTAGTTTTTTGAGTAATTCACATAATATGCTCTTACTAAGGTCTATGGTTGCTAGTTAATTGGTGGATTAACTTAAATGTTTAAAATTTCAATAATAGTAGTGAAGTTATATTAGAGAATTCATAAATTAATGTTATTGAGGACAAAATTTTGAAAAATTTTTAAAAAAAGGAAAGTGTCCTTATTAAATTTAAATGGAGGGAAGAATAATATATAAATATCAAAAAAATATTTGATATTAAATTTTCATATCTATCTATAGTATATTATAAAGGAGAAACCAGAGAGAGAAATTGGCTAATCCGAGTGCCACATAAGATGTTATATGAATTCAAAATAAAAGAACTTTCTGTAATAACAGATAAAGTCTTCATATATTTAATCAATACCATTTAAGTATAATTAATTTGTTTAATTTTTTTTCCATACCCCTATAAAACATAATGCACCCTCTACTTTCATCACCCCTAAGATTAAACTCTTTCACAATTTACATAATATTTAAGTTGACATTACATACAAATTTATATCTTGATATTTGTAAGTAGATCTTATAATTTTTATTTAATCATATCATTTATACCATCACAACTCATTAACATTATTTGTATTTGTTACAATTTCATTTTTTCAATGATTTTACTATATTGTGTTCAGATAAATCACGTGTATTACACGGGTTTAACATCTAGTTTGTACTATTTTTAAGTACAAATTTCAAAATTTAACGGGACTATCAGAATAATATAAATTTTCTAGACAGGCTGTACCATTTAGTCATCAATAGAGAAGTTGTGGTAAATACTTGGGGTATTTCACGTTGAAAACGTCCACGTTAAATTATAGCAGTAGATCGATGTCATTCAAAATTTTGCTCATTTTACCAATCACAAATAGAAATTGGGAATTTGCTGGCTTAAGATTAAAAACGTTGCAGGCCAACGGAAATGCCTAAACTAAGATCAGTTCAGCCCTTCGCGTTTCTAATAAGTATATTGGCGACTGAATACTAATTCCAACAAAAATGAGACAACCATTACAAAGTAGCAACTATCACCAATTTTCAGTACAAATATAATTTGGCTTCTGCTCCTTCTTTCCCCATCAAACCAATATTCCTCTTCAAAAGTCGCAAATCCGTAGAAGCCCATCCACATAAAATGCTTTAGAATTCATCTATTCATTATAGTGGGTGATAGGGAACATAGCCCAGTGCACCCGACAAGTTGTTCACGACATCCTTGCACTTTGTGAGCAGACTTATCATTTGTTGCGATATATCAGTATATGATGGTGATGGTGATGGTGATGGTGATGGTGTTGGCAAGAGGGGTGGTAGGGCAGCAGGACTACTCAAACTCTGCACATTTCTTGATGATACAAATTCAGTATGTCGATGATAATTAATTGGGGCTATGGGAGGAGGAAATTGCTGAGTAGAAGAGACAGGAGGAATAATGGAAGGCACAGTGGGACTAGGAGGAATAACCATATGATTTTTCTCACTATTAATATTCAATCCATGGGAAGAAGAAGTGGCAGCATCATCAGAAGAACTTGTCCTAACACTTCCTCCTACCTCATCCAACATAAATTTCACACGACCCCTACTGTTACCATTACCGTTACCGCCGGTAGTTGACGCCCCTTCTTCACCAGGAGGTTTCTTGAGAATAGATTTAGGCTGACCCGCCTGGGGAAGTGGCGAAGCGGCAGTATTTGTACCCAACCTGTGCCGCAACGCTGGAGGATCCTTAGGTTGTGGGATGCCAAGATTTGGCTCCACCTTGGTAGACTCCGTTTCAGCAGTCTCAGCTCCCAATTCACGAAGGTGGCACCTCACATTGGTGTTCCCAAATAGATTACTACCACTGGTTGCATATCTTAAGGCTACTTGTGCATCACTTTTGTAGAGGTAGACCAAACGAATCGTAGATGATTTCCAAAAGATTCTGGTACCTGAATGATCCAGTGGCCCATATCGAGCAAATTTGACTTTTAACTCTGCAGGAGATGGTAGTGCTGCTTCTGGTGGGAACTTCATAATCAGCATTGTCGGTTCAGACACTTTAGCAGGTGGTTCTCTTCTCTTGGAGTCTGATCTGGAAAATTTGGATGGAGCTGTAGGCATTGCTTTTCTAGGCAATTCTTTCCCATCTCCGGACAAAGCCTTCTTTTCAGCTGTTGGGGCTGTGGCCTTTGCACTCATTTCTTTTCCATCTCCCTGTCGAACTTCTGCAGCCCTCTGAGCAGCTTTCTTCTCTGCGGCGAGTGCCTTCAGGTCACTCATCTTTTTCTTTTTCTTCAGGATCATTTCCTCTTGACGATCTGATGGGCCACGTTTCCGACCAACTTTTGTCGGATCCTCCAGTCTGACCGATGGCTTAGGCGGTCTTACAGATGACTTCTCTCTTCCACTATCAGTGGGGTGATCATGTGCGACAGCAGGAGATGGCAATGTACCACGAACCTCTTTTAATTCATTCTCAGCAGAATCCAGTGATGACAAGCTTTTCTGATAGACAAGGGAACGGAATCTTACAAACACCTGCACTAGGTTTCCAGGATAACAGCTATCCGAAGTCAGGAAGGGATCAAGAGCAAGAGCACGCAAATCATTGAGCAATTCTGGAAGCTGAAGGTGAGCGTTCCTATCTCCAACAACTGGATCTGTACCAATATCTGGCAAAAACACATTTCCACTCTTATCATCATTTCCAAGATTTTTCAAGTGACGATTGTCTCCAAGCACTTCCCTTTCAAGAGGTGCTTCACCACCTATCCCAGCCAATTCCCCACTTTCCTTGGCTATTTGTTTCTTTCTTTTCTTAATTTTCTCTCCTGGAACCGAACTCTCCAAGTTCAATTCTGCAACAGCACGCTTAGAAAATTTTACTTTCTTTTTCCCACTATCGTTTTTCACTTTAGAACCCTCACCAAGCTTTGTGTGCGCAGCCAGACTCCCACCAACAGAATCTTGACCTTGTTCTGCTACACGAACTTTTTCCAGATCAACTGGTCGACTGACAGATTGCTCAGGAACCTCAGCCATCCTAGAGACTGAAGTTTGATTTGCTTGATCTCCCAAGGTTGGTGGCATGCCTTTGGGAGGAAGAACAGAACCCACAAGCTGTGGCGGCTCGCCAGAAGAAACTGTTTGCCCACGAGCGATTTTATGGGTTTTAGATCCAATTGGTTCATCTCTTCGTTTAAACAAAAACTTGTCTTTGTCTGAGTGGTCCTTTAATTTATTTGGTTTTGGAGAACTCTTCCCTTTACCCAGGGTATCTGCGAATACTTGTCGTCCACTCAGGGGAACTGCAAAAGAAGCAAAGCCTTTAGCTCACAAATTCAAGGTGCACAAAACAAGAAGATTAACCTAGAACAACTTCAAACAGCATTACATACGTAATACTCAATAACTGAAACAAGCAAAATAAAATAATCAGGTGATCATCTCAAGAAATATTGCACAAATAGGCGACAGCACAATAGTTATGCAGCGCAACATTGAAGTAAAAACCAAGGACAAACTTGCAAACCTGATGGCATCTAACAGAGGCCACAGTCAAAATGGAATTGGATTGTTAAATAATATCAGTTCAAATTTGGTCAATTCAGTCCACACCAGTTTTATTTTCAGATTCCAAAACCTAAGAGCTTATCCAGACAACTGTACTTATTTCAATCCCCTTTTCCTATGTAATGTGCCTTTATTATAATTTCTGATGCACCGTAGTATGTGGAAGCATCCTCCGTTTCCATACTCCCCTATACGGTGCATGAGGAAATGACTTTACTGCTGGTCTACTAGCAAAAGAAATAACATGTAAACATGTAACTGATTGCGATAACCATTTTCAATGATGTCACTATGCTATCACGTCTTCATCCATGTTGCTGACATTCTTAACTATGGGTTTCCAGCTTCCAAACCATGATTATGTCAACCTCCTTTAACAACCTATCATAGGTTGAGTGATTCTGAGCCCAGAAGGAGCAGAAAGAAGGGTATTAATTATATTGTCCTCCTCAAGTGACAAGATGATCATACTTGCAAGCAATATTAACTTAGTTGAGTAGGAGTTACTATTATAATTGAAACTGCATCAGCTCGTGGCTTTCCTCATAATGAATCTAGTTCAGGAGTATAAATTTTAAACCCAGCACAGAAATTATACACGGAAACCGAAATCCAAAGTTTCAGTTCAAATTCAATAACTCCCATTGGAAGCTTGTGTGCTTCAGCCCACACAAGATTTCTTCGGTATTAATATTCTTATGATTACTTACTGATCTAAGAATAAAAACATCTAACTCCATTTTCCATCATCCAAGTCATGCTCATGCCACTCAAGAGAATGAGAATCAGGCAGAACTGGCAGTCTTTCTTTATCTTTCTTTGTCCCCTTCTTTGTGTATAGGAGAAAATAAAATAAATCACGTCAATTACTTCGCATGAGAACGGCGAGACCTAATTTTCGCATGTTGAAAGCGACATTACCCGTGGTAAACTAGCTTTCTAGTTAAAATTGTTAGAAACAGACAAGTAAAAAAAAAAGGCTAAAAAGAGAACAAACTAAAAAATATACTATGAACTTATATGCTCCAGAAAACATTTTCTTTCCCATTTCCTTTTCACCTATATTACAAAATTCCAGAGCATATACACATCCTCCAGCCTTCTCTTTAATGTTGACTTCCCAACATATACGAGGGAGGACAAACAACAAAACCAAATATCTATCAGATCTTCCAAATACAACACTTGCATATGGGCATCACTTGATCAAATCGGAGGCAATTCAAATGTTTGCCATCCAGTGGAACCCCAAGCAATAGAAGAAGGCCTCTACATGTTAAAAATACAAGGGAAAAAGACCTTTGGAAGCAAGTTATGACACAATTACAAAAGTTACAGAATTCAAAGTAAAATAATTATATTAGGAGTACAATTTATAAATATGTAACTGTACCAGCATCTGCTCCTATACCTTAACATTCCAAACCACAATAAATTCATTAGATGCTCTGAAGCGCAAGTGCAGTACCACCAACAATATGTATCCACAAATACATCACAAAAAGGTGGCTTATTTCTACCCTGTGAAAACTTGATGCACCCGTTCTCCATTAAAATCTCTACACATCAAATCTCAACTAACGGCAGAGCTTCAAGCAAAAGGAACAAGTAAAACAGACAAACTATGGTACCAATAAAATTATGACCAACAAAGCTGAAAATCAATAGTCATTTTGTGAGGAGAAATCATTGGCATGACTGAAGAGAAATACAGCACAATCATGTTTTAAGGTGTATAAGACATGGTGAGATTTGGAAAAAAAAAACAGTAAAGAACGTCAAGTAACATCATCTCAAAAAGTAACTTCCAAAAATAAACAGTACCTCTTGATGGCTCCGCTGGTACTGATGGTGTAACAGGTCGTACAGGCTTAGCACCAAAAGCCTGAGCATAAGTCTCATCAAACTCCTCAAACACTGCCTTCCTAAAAACTGAAACAGTGGCCTTGTTCTTCATAAGATCAAGAGTCCCAAATTCATCACTCATAGGTGCTACAGCCAATTGCTTTACAAAGTCAAACATGGCTCGAGGGTTAAAACTCTCCCTTGCTTTCTTGATTTGGCTAATTGAATAAAATCCTGGCTCATAATCACCCACATCTACAGAAAGGTAGCCCTCAGCATCTGTAGCCCGATAATTAAACTGGTTCCTGCACCTACAAACCAATCCTAGTGCCTGCCTCCGATTCACCTCCTCAAGGGCCTCCTCCACAGCATGCACGAAAGTCCTGGAATTCGTCTGCTTTGACTTCTCAGGAAAGTTTGGCTCAAAGGGTATGAGTTCCGCGGGATCAAACCATCCATAACTGCTATCGCCAAAAAAGGCTACCAACACATGCCCCTCCCTTTTAGTCCTCCTAACTGAAGCTGAAGCAAAAGCATCATTAAAGATATGTCCTGGCCACCATGGATGCGACTTCACTTTCCCCCAAACCATGTCCCCAATCTCATAACCATAGCCCACTGCTTCACTTTTCCCATTTGAGGCGTATTGGTCAAACATAGAAAGTAATGAATCATAATCCGAACTGCTCTCCTTCAAAGAATCATTCTTTCGATTAACAACACTATCCTTTCCTGCATTACTTTTAACATCAAAATCATCCGTATCAGACTGAACTTTCACGTCCTCCCCCGTGAACGCATTTCCACTCACACCTTTCAATTCCTCATCCACGCCCTCGAATTTAATTTCGCAAACCCTAAATTCATTAACCTCAACAACACCTTCCGAAATCCTCCCCTCCTCAGAACCCCTAAAATCAACAACTATACTACCATCCCCACCCGGCACCCTAAAATTCTCATCAACATGCAAGGAAACCCTAGAACCCCCTCGGTCATCCGAATCAACTGTATCTGAGCTTAAATTTACATTCGAAGTCACATTTTCATCACCTGAAACCAGAACCCTAGGCTGCGACTCCTCAACGACGGCGCCTTTTGCCACACCTGATTCGAACGGCTGGTTGCTGCTGCTGCTCATAATCACTGATAACATCGGACGAACGGGGAGCTACAAGAGAAAACCTCTTCCAATAACCGGGAAGTACATTTGATGGTAGAAATGAAGGTACGGCACCTCCAGATTAACAAACAGTCTTCGCAGAAATGGTGGAGAGACTTGGTCGAGAACAGGGTATCAAAACCCTAGAGAGAGAAAGCACGATTAGTTCGTGATAATCGAGGAGAGAGAAAACGGTGATTGTGCGCGCGCGTGTGTGTGTGAGAGAAAGAGAGGTAAAGCTGGGTGGTGGGATTGAGGACTGATAGTGGGGACGAGATTACAGATGACAATGGAGCTGACATTTTTCACGGTTTTCCATTTTTGTACAATAATACTTGGTAGTGCGCTTGTCTTATCTAAGGTTAAATTTGTCATTAGGTGACAAATACGATGGTATTTTTTTAGTGATGAACATTTGAACAATGGTACAAATTTTGATAATGACTAATATTAGAAATAAAAGTGTAATTTTAAAATAAAAAAATAAAATTTTATTAACTAAACTTTATTTAACCGGGTAAGTCGGTCTTCAAGAATATACTCGATTATTATAATTTTTAAAATGATACTACTCAAATTCAAATAAATTGGAAAATTGATTTCTAAAATTACTTTTTTTTTGCATATCATCGTATTCAGGTTAATTAATGATTTTTATGAATTACTATCTCTATTTTTTCCTTTTTTTTTTTTAACTTTGCCACTGGAAAATAGTGAAAATATGTACATATTGTAACAACACAATATCAATTGAAAAAGATTAATAAAAATATGAGGTTTGTTGTATTAAAAATAAAAGATATAAAAGAACCAAACTTCAACGGTCAATACATTCATCTGTTATGTAGTTTGTATTACAAAGTCTTAAATCTGTAAATCATCCCTCCTTTTTGAACCACTACAAAATGTATACCCTCTAGCCTTCTCACAAAATTCCCTCTCCTATCGTAAACAGGACAAAGCAGATTCAACTGTCGACCAAATCATAATTACAGGGACTGAATTCTACATGTATCGGTGAAGATTTGGAGCTAAGAACTTTTAATCTATACTATTGTTCTGGGGGAATGTCGACAAGAACAATTGGCGAAAAGTAACCAGGAAAAAGAAGAAAAAAAATGATTTCACGGTGTACCAATGTATGACTATGTATGATCCTATTCGCCATCAGAGATTTGGTTGGGAGGAGTTCCGGCTAACCATCCCCATACCCCACCCGAGCCTTGTTTCTTCCTAGCGCTTAACGCAGCTTGCTCAGTTGCAGCTTTTTGTCGCTGAAGGAGTTCAAGCTCCTTTTGTAAGGTCTCCATTGTTTGTAGCTTTTGTCTTAGCTCTGCAACATCGACCTGTCATTCAGACAAACGCAGTTAGCAGACCATCATCTTATCAGACCATCATCTTAGCACAGCCATGTATTGATTGCTGAACCATTAGGTTTAATAGTAAAGTAAACAGCCATAGGCAGCACAGAAGACAGAAATATCATGAAGAAATTACTAGATTATAATCTCACATAATTTACAAAACTGGTAAATACTTCACTTTTTCAAACAGCATTCCCAAAAAGGTTGCCCCAAAATATATATAGGCCCGAAATTATGAGATCTCAACTTTATAGGCAGTTTAACATCGAAAAGAAATAATGAAGACAGCTCATCTCATGCTTGGCCAACGAAACATGAGATGAGATTTCAAACAATAAACACGTACCTCAAGTTTGAAACATCTGGACTGTTCAGAGGCTAGCTGACCTCGTACAGACTGAAGCTCCTGTAGATAATCAATTACAAATTTTAGCAGGAATGTGTTTTCCAGGATATCAAGACAACACTACGCCACTTAAGAACAAGAAATAATAAATCTTACAAGATAAGAAAACAACAAACATGATTGAACAAAAACTACCTTGTAAAGGTCAGTACTACGAGTTTCTGCTTCAGTCAACTCTTGCTTGAGCTGAAGTGTTTGCAGTTTCTCTTTGCTAAGGGAAGATTCTAATTCATCCCTCTCGGCCTTAAGCGCTGAGATAACATTATCGCTGGTTTTTTCAACTTTCTTTGCCTGCAACAAACTCAGAAAATGTCAGTTTGTAGCAGCCAAGAATAGATTTCTTCTACTACTAAACATTTATAGATAACGAAGGTAAACAGATGCTGGACCAGAACCAATGAAGTTTTGATTATGCATTTCCATAGCATACAGAGCTTTAGCCTTCTGCAATTCATCCCAAAGCTATCATTCCCCAAAAAAGAAGCTACACATTTTTTTCACTCCAACGCAGGCAGTTGTTTTTCTTTGATAAGGAGGGGCTTTAAATTTAACCATACGAAAAGATTGTGTTGTTCATGAGAGTTATCTTCAAGCTGTCATCCGCTTTTGTTTTAACATCAAAAGACTTCAAAAATAAATGAAATCTCTATCAAGAAGGAGGTTGGCGATATAAGGGATTGAAGGAAGTCTAACTATAAGTAGCAACTGAAAAAATTTCCATCAAACAAAAGCCTGTAGTTGCATGTGATATAGCAGAAATCAGGTGTTAAGCTGTCATGCTCGAGAGATATTAACAAATATACAACAGAGTTGTAGTCCAGAAAAGTTCAAAATCTAGGCTTTCTGAGAATGATTTTTCCCACTCGACTCATTTCACTACTATTACTTTTTTTTTACATTGAAAAAATCAAACTTTTTCCTGGCCATTGTTTTTTCTAATTTTATGAATATGTAGTTTAACAGAGGATGATCCGATCCCATGTAGTGTATGGAGGCAAACGTATTCTTCTATTATTCCCAATCAACAACCCATCATGGCAACTGAACAAATTAAATACTTAGTAAGAGAAATCTAATCACAATACCATGGGCTCTGAATCCATTACAATCTCCCTTATTTTCCCGTCTTGACCAGTTTCAAACTCCGACTCCACATCTCTTGTGGGATTTGTAACATTATGCACAGCAGAAACACTGTCAGGTACAGGGGTCTCTACCATCTTTGACTGTAAGGTTGATTTGTGGCTTGGTTTAAGGAGATTAACCTATAAGCAGTACAAAAAACCAAATGTCTAATTATGACAGACAAGAATATGAGCATCGTGAAAGTATTTAACAGGAGAAGAACCACTGAACCTCATTGCTGTATCGCCCATTATATCCTCCAAAAGAAACCAGAATGTCTTCCCCATTAAAAGAACTCAACACCAAACTCAAACCCTGCAAAAGCAACACCGAGTTAAAACCTTTGTAAGATTGGTTCATTATCAAACAACAATTCCAACGATGAAAGAGGTTGGTGGCAATATTATTTTACATGCTAGCACCTAATAAAACTTCCATGAAATGTAGCAAAGGCAGCAGAAGATCACCATACATTTTAATAATGATCTACGATGACAAATAGCACAAAAGAACAAACATACTCAACAGTGCCTTTCCATTTAATTTGACATACATAGAGCTCGGAAAAATGCAAAAACCTTTATCTCCATTTTCTTGAGCATAGGAATATACCAACAGAACAATCATTTTGACCAGAATATGTGAAGTTAGTAAAAGAGACAAAAATAAGGTATAAAAGCCTCATCAGTCAACTTAGTTGAAGAACCCCAAAAGCTCTTAATGCATTTAAAGCAGGGAACCAATGGCTGAATATTAAAAAGTTACAGAAATACCAAGAACTTGGTCAAATAATTCAAATATAGAGCTAACATCTAAAATTGCATCCAGGTTCTATTAAATGCAAAACTAAAAGTACGCAATGGTACAAATAGGCAAGGGAAGTTTGTTGACCAACTTTTTACAGTCTTGCCTATCATAACTTTTAAGGATGAAAACACATAGTAAATGAAACTTTTATAGCTCAAAGTTTCCAAAGAAAGATAAATATGTCAGAGTAGCTTTTAGAGAGTATTCTCGTATAGGATGCATGCATACCTCACTAGCAAGTGGAACACGTCCCTGAACACTCGTTACAACTGACCACAATAATGTAGACATGTTGAGGACAACAGTTTGAGAGACCCCTGCAAGTTGTAGCGTATATCAAAAAGCCTGTGTAGTAACTTCAATAGATATAGATCAGTTCAACGAATATTCCTCTTGTGAGACAATAGAAACCAAAATACAAGAGTAAGGTCATGAAATATATGTGTTTCTGAATAATAAATAATTAAAACGACAGAGATTCCCATTAATTCTTTTTCCTAATTCTCATAATCTTGAAACCACAAAATGCAACTCTGTTAGGAAAACTTTATTTTAAGTTCAAAGGAAAGGGAGTAGAATGGTGACCTCATGTTTTCTAAAAATTTAAAATGATTTCCTTTACCATCAAACTAAGTTCTAAAGAGGAAACATGCTTTTTCGAAATGGTGTAAATAAGTCTCCTACCAGAACTTGTTCAGCTAAAAGAAAGTATATCTATATTTTCTGGGTTCAATCCTATAATTACATGATTAGCAGTAGTAACCTGATTCCTTCCATTTCAATCACCCTTCTGGGGTGATTCCTTCAATTTCAATAACCCTTCTGGTCTTACCCCCAGAAGGGAGCTTTGCAAATGTATAAAATGAAGAGAAATAGCTGTAGTCCAGGAAACAAAAACATAGGCAAATAACTATATATAAGCTAACAATGAACTGGACCAATTTTGGCACAGAAGTTGAAAAGAAAACCCAAACAGGATGACGCTTGTTATCATTACCTAAGCACCGATTATTTTGCAAGTATAAACTTTCCATAAAACAGTAAGCCGCTTATTTGCTTTCCATACAAGAGTTACGCCATAAAAGATATGTGTTTCTAAAAAATTAGGATTACTAATTCCAAGGAATTCTTTTTCCTATTTCTCATCATCCTGAAGGTGAACAGGTTTACAGCCAAGGTATTGATTGAAAAGCAGGAAAAAGAAACAAAAAATTACGACAATTCTCGGTTTCAGGAATTCCAAGTCATTTAAAACTGTACCAGTTTTATTGTCACCACCGCCAACAATAAACCAGTTCTCTCCGACAGTTACACCCGCATGACCTGCACGGGCACTTGGGATTTCACCCTGTTGTGTAGGTCTTGACCATTCCATCTATAAATAAATAACGATCACATCACTGAAAAGTGAAAGATACAAAATCCAGATGATCGGGAAAACATTATTGTCTTACAGTTTGCAAATCCAGAACATGCAAATCATTAAAGCAGGTAGCATGTGAACCTCCTCCAAAGATAAGAAGGTATCGCTCTGCATGAACTGCAGCTGCATGATCAGACCTTGGAGAAGGTGGGACCCCCCTACAAGAAGAAACTCTTGGTTATACTCAATTGCCAAACAAAAGTAACTAAAAGGGGAAGAAGAATGTGGAAATTGTACACACATTTTTGTATAGACATTTTAGAAGTGCTCTTGAAAGACAGCCAGAAAACCATCTTCTTTTCACTTACGACAACAATAGATCCACAACTAATACTTTAAAGAACAACTTCATGTAAACAACAGGAAATGTTGGTCAGACATTATTGCTTCAAATTGCAAGAGAATCTCACAACTTACAGGGTATCTATTTCGTCCCAAGTCATGGTTTCCAAGTCCAATATGTGCAAGTCATTCAAGAGAGATCTCTTTGCATCTTGGCCACCAAATATAACTAAACTTGTGCCCACAACGGTCACAGAGTGTCCACCTCTGGAGACCTGTGATTTAAGAGGCTCAGACAGTATTAGGGCTCCAAAGCAGGCAATATAGCAGGATTGTGTGATATGTGAGGACACTCATCTACATATGCAAGTGAAGGTGAAGAACTGAGGGGCAGAAAAAGGGAGGGAAAGACCATAAATATTCAACTACATGCAGGAAAGAAACATAACAAAACCTGCAAAGCAATTGATCTCCCAAATCATATAAAGCTCAGTTACCCGGTCTTCATGACCAATGCTTTAGCACTCTTACAGGTTTAGAATCCCAAAAGTGTATGATCCAACCATTTACAAAGAAATCCAATTTCTTAAGAGCAGACAAAAGAGTTGAGAAAACCTCAACACATTGAGCCTGGAGCAAGAGAAGCAAAGGTAAAAAGTTTTAATTGTTCTATTTTACCTCTCCTACCCTTGTTTATAATTTCACAACATGAGTTTATTCTTCAACTAATTCTTGTCGTTTTGCATGTTAATCTGATTCAAAAATCAATGATGTTCAACTTGTCACTTGGAATCCCTTAGACAGCAAAGTGATAAAATTTAAGATTCCTTCTACACAAATGAAATATAGTGAAGCTAGACCTGAAGATCCTAAAACAAATTCGTAAGTATAAATTTAATGGAATGAAAAGGAATCTGAGGATATACATCTAAAAACGAGGAATCAAGTTTATAGTCTATTCAGTAAACATGCATCATATATGCTTTATTTCATCTAGGACAAACAATTGGCTGGAAATTTCAAACTCTGAACATCGGAAAAGTTGTAAAATTTGTAGGGAGCATGTTTGAAAGGACAAAAACGATAATCCAGGGTTGACAAGTATATACCGGTGGCTTTCCATATGTCTTCAAGATTGACCAGCTACAAGTTTGCAGATCAAACACCTTCACTGCAATTATAAATTATTTAAATTTTAAGATGGATAAACATTAAAAAGATAAAATAAGCCATCTGATAAAGCCAAATGTAACTTGAAGAAACCCCTATCTCACACAAACACTTCATGATAGTCAAATCCAAAAGTAAAACTAAAAAGATGTATGACACAAGTGCAAAAAATCAACAAATCAAATGCCATAAGTAAGCCAACATCTAATGTAGTAAGTAAATGAATGGCCACTGGAGAAACAAACTATCACCATTTCACAACAAGTAAGGACAAGGAGCAAGGATTCTGGTATCTGTACCAGAAAAAGAACAAGAAATTCCACAAGAAAAAAAAGAAGAATTTTCTCAACTGCACCACTTTCTGTCAGGATAAAAGTAGAAAGAAACATTTTGAATATCTATCTCCTGCATCAAGTCTGATATGCAGGAGTTCGATTTGATTTTTGAGAAATTAAGTTTCACGTGTCAAGGGTATATCAGTATTGTGGCTGCTTTGCTGGACCTGAAATTTAAGTTATCCTTATTCTGAATCTTTGATTCTAAAATCTAGTTTGCAAGTGTTACCTTATTTGCAATTGACTCTAATCATATAAATTCATTCGTGTGGAACGTAAACGTAAATCCTAATATTTCTTTAGACATGCATTTTCTTGAGAGGAGAAAATAGGCCCGTCAAATTAAATTTCCTCTGGTATATTGTCTTCCTCAGCATTCTGTGATGCAACTTTCCTTATAATGTGATATGTTAGTGGCTGTAGAAGTGATTCTTAGAAGTCATTTTAAAGTGGACAGCTTTTGCACCTTTTCTTCTAATATTAAATTCAGTTGTCTTCTTCCTAAAAGTTTACAGAAGTACCAAAAAGTATGGTTTTAGAATTTTAGCCACCCATTTCCAAATGAATGGTAGAAACTCAAGGTAACATCAATTCTGAACCTTATTGCCAATACTTTAACTGGTACGATCCTAACCTTGCATAGATTCTGATGGATCCTTAGTATGTCCACCTACGGAAAGAAGCTTGTTTCCTTCCCATGCTATCTGAAAAAGAGAAACCAGGCGAAGTGAGCAAAGAATAGTACCCTGAAACTACCATTGCCGGGCATCTCATGCAAGACCAGAAAATACAACCAAATACTAACCAAGGAATGGCCTGCACAGGGAGTTGCAGTTACAGCTGAGGCATCACCTCCGGCTTTCACTTCAATCCGGGTCCATGCCCAACTTTTCAAATCTAGGACCTGCATTATTTCATCCACAATGGGTGAAAAAGTTTTAAATTAGCGTGAAAAAAGTGCTACCGAGAATGACAAGCTTCTTTTTTACTGAATTCACGGGGTTGAGTTGACAAGCTTCTTTTTCACTGAATTCACAGGGTTGAGTCCCAGAAATTAGCCAATGATAGAAATGAAAGGTAAGGTTGCAAGGATTCGGTCTTAGTGGACCACCCCTTTCTCAGATCTTGCTCATGTGGGAGCTTCTAAGAACTAGTGTGCATGTTTTTGGGTTTACAAACAATGGTAATTCCTATATTGTCCTCTACATGATAATTCAGAATGCATAAAACAGCAAAGCCTCCTAGAAATAGCATGCAGTTATTTTTCAAGGAATATTAAAGCCAATGAACACATTCTGTTCCTTGAAAAGCGGAAAATTTTACAGTTGACATGCAGAGAAAGACTGCATCCAACAAACAAAAGCACTCTTTACATTTAATGCACTTCTCATACCTGCAGATCACTTAAGTAACGGCCATTGTGGTTTCCACCAAAGATATACATTTTATCATCAATGACAGCAGCTCCATGCTACAGATATTGGAAAACTCATTCAGAATATTATGGAAAGAGCCATGCATATAATTCTCACGTAAAAGGAACCAGTAAACATTACTACCTCATATCTGGCTTTTGGGCGCGGACTAGATACTGGAGGTGCAACCCATTGATCATAAACACCAACTGAACCAAAGCCTTCAGACACGACTTCTACATCCTGAGATTCTGACAAGTTTCCATTTGCAGCAGGAATTGTCTTCACTTCAGGAGAAATGTTTCCATTCTCAGCAGCCAGCTCAACTTTATCATTTTGCTGAAACAAAAACCATTAATAACTTTGTACCCAAAAAAAAAAAAAAACACTAATAACTAAACTCCATCCACAAAAGTTAATGTCTTAATCTCTAAAATTGACAAAGTAAAACTTTCCCGTTCACATCTTTCTGACACTAATGGATAACATAATATTGTCCTCAAACAACTTACATTCATTTGAACATCTACGACTGGCTCAGGAATGAAGTCTGAGGCTCTAGAATACCATCCAGGGTCTTCCTCCTACGCAGAACAATTATGTAACTTTAAACGATTGCTGTAAGTAACATGATCATGAAAGTTAGTGAAAACATCTGTGCACATACCTCCAATATTTTCACAAAGAGACGCATTGCTTCAGTGGATGCCATGTTTCCCAACTCATTCCAGCTGCAGCAAATGGAAAAAATGTCAGGAAACAAAATCTAGGCAAAAGGCAGATATTAAAATGGAAAATGAACTACAACGTTGCTTGCTCCGCATCAATTTTCAGTTGCATCTTTGTAATTCACCTTGATTGCAATTTAATACTAAAGGTTTCATACTTTCAGCATTAACCATGAGGTCCCTCAGATCAATATACTATAGGGTACAAAGTTCCATTTCAAAACACAATTGAAGGTAAGTAAAATCCCAGTTTAAGCATCATGAAGAACTAATACAGATGGAGTATTCAAGATCAACATGGTATTGCCCTGTAATATCTATGCATTTAACATATACAATTACTTTAGTTGTTCGTACACGATATTCTTCAATTCATTCTAGTTCTTTAAAACTTAGAATTTTAAAAAACCGAAGCTCCTTGCAACTTGCAATCGATAGTGTTAACAAGCCACTAACCGGTACAACATTGACAACCGGCACACTAAGAAAAAAGAAATGAGATCTGAAATAAGTTTTTTTGCAAACAGTAAAGCATATCAAGCCAACAAACCTCCTCCATTTACTTTGCTCAACAGGACTCCATACGTTAGGCTTGGAAGTATTACAGGGTCCTATCGTTGCCTGCACGCAATAAGCAAACACCACAAAGTGGGCGAAAGAAAAGGCAAAGAAGGATCAATACCTAAACAAAACGTATTAAAAATTATCATGTAATGACCTAACCACAACACTTGCAATTGCCCCAAAGGTCATGCAAAAATACGGAAAAAAAACAACTAAAGGGATAACATTCATTTATACTTCTAAAAAGAATTATCCATACTTTTCAATTAGCAGCAAGGCCAGAGCACAGGAGATATGATGGAAGAAGAATTAGCCCCCAGAAAGCACAGAAGAATGTTCTCCAAGAATTCATGTATGGCTCAAAAATGCTAGTCAGATCAGTTTCAATGGCCACATTGAATTCCAATCTTGATCGAATAAATTTACAACCCAAAAGAAATACACTAACTATAGCTACTACAATGTCCACCCCTCAGTTTAGATGTGAGATCAGTTCAGAAGGCGAGGCCAAACCAAATACAGATGTTTCGCCACATCATATCGACCTTTAAATGTGAGAAACAGCCCAATGACATTATATGTAGAGAAGACGGCAAGAAACACTCAGATCTAACAAAGTAAAATCTAACTCAGCATTATTTATAGAGTCATTTTCACAGAACAAGAAAACTTAGCACAAATTAAACAGCAGAAACCCCAGAATTCCTATGATTCATATGATACGAGCCCAGATCAACTCAATCCCAATATCCAACAATTCAGATTACCCCATAATGGAACTGGTTTTCTTCCAATACCTGTTGATAGAGGGCGTAGAGGAGCAAAGCGACGTCGTTAGAAAACTTGGAGCTGACAGAAGAAGTGGAAGAAGATCCATCAAAGCCGGCGTAGGCAGCCGCGGCATAAAATCTCTCCGGATACGCGAGGCCAGAAGTAGCCCTCGCCATTGCCATTTCCTTTCAATTACTTCCTTTCTCTGATTTTTTTTATTATTGAAATGGCGCCTGAAATTCTGAATGTGTTCTTCTTCTTCCTCGGGAAGGAATTCAGACACTCTGAATTTATAGAAGCTACCAATCTGGGAATACTCCTCTGGTTCTCTGTTTCACTAGAGGAGGATTGACGGTCTTGTTAAAAGCTTTAAGTACTAATTTTTTTTTTTTTATTTTTAAATCGACAGTAAAATGGAAACGGGAATTTTAAATATATATTTCCCTATTTTTAAACCACATTTTAGAATTTATTATTTTCTCAACAAAATCAATTTATCATAGCCTCTTCCATTTTTTTCATCATTCTAAAAATGATTCTATAATAAGTCTATATTATTCTTATAAAAAGAAACATTTGTGAGTAAGATTGACAAATACACAACAAATAAGATATGGTTCAATTCTGTTAGAAACTCTTATGATTTCTATATAAATAAAAAAAAATCGATATAAAAATACCATAAAATTTATTAAAAAGTTCGTTCGTACATGATATAAATCTATCAATATCCCATGGTTTGATTCTGTTAGAAACTCTTATGATTTTTATATAATTTTCAGGAAAAAAAATCGATATAAAAATACCATATAATTTATCAGAAAGTTCGTCTATACATGATACAAATATGTCAATACCCTTTTATCTATTTACGGATTATGATTTGTGTCGATAAACATTTCGCTCTTTCTCTTTTTCGCCCTTCTTATCTATCTGGTAAATACTTAATAAGAAGAAAGTGGAAAAGGTTGATTAAATGACAACAACCAAAAAAAAACAGTATAATTGAAAAAATTGTGCAAATTTTACATCATCTATGTTAGAATAAACGAATCAGCAATTCTATACATATCTGACTTAATCTTAGGCCAAAGAGATTCAGGAGCTTGAGCATTCACCATTAAACACAGCTAATAAAAACTACTCCTTCTATCCTAAAATTGTTGTCCAGTTTGAATTTTTATTTTTAGTACAAATCCAAACTGAACAAAAATTTTGGACAGAGAAAGTACTATCATGTTTTGTTTTGAGCTTTGTCACAAACTCATCTTTGAGCTCGGTAGATATCAAATAAAACAACAGTCAAGTGTATATTTATTGCTAATATCTATACTTAAGTTTCCGAGAGAGAAAGTTTTACTTGAAAAAATAGCTCGACATTTAAAAACAAAAAAAAAAATTTTGCCAACAAAATGAGCCTAAAATGTTCGAGATGTGATTTGAATCAGTCGAAAGAATGATTTCAAATTATTACAATACAACTTCTTCACAAGAGAAAAATAGATTTATTAGAAGAAATCACTTAGGACTTTAAAAAGAATTCTGTCGGTTTTAAACCTATGTAATTTGGATTGGCCACAACAATGATTTTTGGATCATAATATACTAAAGTAAATTCATAAATTTCATATGTAATGCAACTGGAACCGGGAACCGGGGAGACGATGAAACTGACATTGAGCTCCCCACTGGAACCTGGCGGACCAAATGCAACAACTGGTTCATTTATATTTCTCCGAAGATTATTTGTAGATGTTGGAGTTGAACCTCCAAGATATCTTTCTAATTTCGAGGCTGCCCGATACAACAATGTCTGATCTCCAACCCAATTTGCTGGATAAATGAACTCTGCATTCATTAAGCAATCAATTCACACTGTTAAATGAATGAAACAAAGAAAATGACCTCATGTTCCCTTGTCCTACATGGATGGAAGGAAGCACTTGAACCCAACATATATACCTCATGTGCTACTCCCCTCATAACCAATTGGTTTTGAGGTGGAACCACATGTGGGCTTATATTTGGGCCTTTCAAGTTGGTATCAGAGCGGGTTTTAATCCGCAAACCTGTGGGACTTGTGGAGCGAGGTGGACTGACCCAGATTGGGTCTTAAAAAACTTTGGTCAACCCACAGAAGAAATACGAGGTTTGACTTTGAACTTTAACTGGCTTGGCAGCCGACGGTTTATCCGTGAAAATAACCGATTGCAAGATTGAAAAAAAATCAGAAAAAAATATAAAATTACCCGTCCAACCCCATTGGGCTTGAGAGGGGCGTGTCAAATGAATGAAAGAAAGAAAATGGCATCATGTTCCCTTGTTCCACATGGATAGAAGGAAACACTTGAACCCAACATATATACCCCATGTGCTACTCCCCTCATAACCAATTGTTTGAAGTGGAACCACATGTGGGCTTATATTTGGGCCTTTCAAGTCACACATTATCATAAATTACAGGATCAATTTGTAGTAATTCCATTGGACACGTGAATGGACACGTGACCGAAAAAATAAAAAAGAGTGGGTGGAACAACTGTGTCTTCTTTGTTTTAAAAGAAATTTCACAATTTTTTATTTATTTAATTTTGAATATCTGAATCTTGAGGAATATATATATAGAGAAATTCTATGGTCCAGTTATAATTTTTTGACTGAACCATCAAGTTTGAGACTATCCAATAAAAATTTGACACATCAAATTTAATTATGGAATGTGCAACATCTTAACAAAACTATATTCATATCAAGTTTTTTTTTTCCTGTATAAAACGTGTCTAACTCTAAAACAAAAATCTTCCGTTTACTCTTTTGCTATCAAAATTTTTTTCTTAGACCGAAGAACCTAAATTTTAAGTACGTTGTGTATGATTATTAAGTTGAAGATGATCATAAAAAACTATCATCATCACCTAAGAAAGAAAGAACCAATTGGAAAGAAGGTGATCATAAAAGAATAAATAATAAACAAACCCCTAATCTGATCCCCTCAATAGCAAGAATACTAGAAGCAGTAACAACGCTTTACTAAGTTCTCAATTATATTATCCAGGCCACATATATTAGCAAATCCTTTGATTGAAAAGGCAAAGCAATTTACAGTGAAGGCCAACTTGGTTTTCCGAAAAGGCAAAGCAATTTGCTCAGCCTTTGACTCTGTCAAATTTGCAGCAATTTCAAATTTTACTAAATATGCGACGGCGACTGCAGTTGGATTTACGAAATCAGCATCAGCAACATCAATTGCAATGACCGTTCGCCGCCGCTGTTCATCGGTGACCTCTCGACCTTTATGTTCTCGACTTAGCCATGGTGACAACTCGAGCATTCGTTGAACTGAAAATTAAACATGCTAAAGCTGCAGATGGCCATTCTGCTCGTTTAATGGCTTTGACTAATTTAGAGAACATTAAATGTGCGAAACTCCTTAAGATTAAGAGAGCACGAACAAGGAGAAATTTTTTTTAATCAAAGAATTTGTTTTTTCTACCGTAGATGCGGCGACGGGTTCTAGTGGTTGGCAGTTTTAATCAAATAATCAAGTGTAGTATAGTGTATTTTGACTTTAGAACACCTCATTTTAATCTAACGATTAATATTGATTTTAATAATTGAATGGTTATTAAACTTAACTGGACTATTCAGTCGACTGGACTGTAGTCACTCCCATATATATATATATAAAATTAAATTATGGATGTAGAGATATTATTGATAGGTCTTGAAGTTTATGTTATTTATGGGTATTTGTATAGCATTTTGGATTAGATTGTGCACTTATGTTGTGTAGTTTGATGTTTTTCTTCTTCTTAGGAGTGATTGGAGCTGAGATGGAGAAAAAATGTTCCATAAACACATATTTTTGAAGCATTTTGACAAGGAAGCACAAAAAGGGAGCAATGACATCACATTCTCGTGTGGGCACACGAATCTCAGTCCAAAATTGAGCTTTAGAGAAGAAATTCCAACATTGATGTTGCATTCCCGTTTGACCAAACTGAAGTAGGGACTAAACTGAAAAAGTGAAGAAGTTTTAGGGTCAAAATGTAATTTTGCCAAACTTAAGGGACCAATATGCAAATCTCGGAAAATTTAATTTGCAGTTGCGAAATTATGAAAGCTTCTGGCGGCTGACCTATTTTTTGGCATATAAATTGATTTTATTCTTTTCTGGAAGAGGGGGGCTGAACGTGAGAAAAAGAAGAGGAGGCTGGAGTGGTCTTAAGCCGTCAATCTAGCCCTTTTGGGCGTTATTCTTCCCCATTCTCCATAGTTTTGTTTCAGTAAGGTATTATTATGTGTAACTAAATTACTTTTCCAATTGAAAGATATTGAAGCCTTGGTTTGAATAGTTGTGAGATCTAAAAGTTGTTTCTCTCTCAATTTCTTGTGAGTATTTGTTTGTTCTATTGCATGATTGATATGATTATTGTGAATTCATGAATAGCTGGTAGCATTCGATGCTTCTTAATAATCTAAAACCAATAAGACAACAAGGTTTGTTGTTTAAATAGGGTATAATATAATTTAATTACTTGGTAAGTAATTATTTATGTTATAAGAACAAGTAATCCGGTTTAATATAAAACAAGGTTTGTTTTATAGGAATTGGAATTGGGTCTTTGTACTTAATGCAGTCGTTTTCTTAATCTTAGGAGGTTCCAGGATTTAATTTCGACTAGTGTGTTTAATGAAGGTTTTCTTAATCACTAAACTTAGTTCAAGATTGAGTTGTTAGGAGGTTTCAACAACGAAAACTAATTTGCCTATAAGTGATTGAGCAATCATTACATCTATGATCAATTGTCTAGACCAAGATGGATATAAAATCTTTCGACTAGAAACTTTCTCATAATTTGCTTTCATTTTTTTAAACTATCATTTGAATTTTATTTTAACTACATTTTAGTTTTAAAAACTCAAAACCCCCTTTCGGTTACTTATTTGAAAGAAATGAATCTACCATTCCCTGAGGAGACGACCTTGCTTTCATATGCTACTAGTTTGAACATAAGTTAAATTGGTTGTTGGCTTGACATCCCACCAATTATATACATATGAATGTTTCGAAAAGATAACTCAGAGTTTTTATTCTATGTGTTAATATAAAAGTTGATATGAGAATTTTATTTTAAAAGAAAAGATTTTCAAAATATGATCAATATTAGCGCGTCATAAAAGATTTGAATATGTTATGGTTTCATAACTGAAATGGAAATGTTTAAATTTTATATTTACTATAATAAAGGTAAATAAAATTAAATAATTATATAAAAATATTGACTATCATCAATTGTGTAGCTAATTTCATGTCATAGCTAAACAATAATGTTCTCCTGCAGTTCATTATCAGCTCTAGTCTGTGCCAGAGGTCGTGTCTAGTCTAAAGTACAAACATGGAGAAATGAAGAACGAAACAAAGTAAAATCATGACAAGTCCAGACAAAATTTCAGAACATCGGCCACCATTCTTTTGGTATACTAGTACTAGGTTATTGAAAAAAAGTGAATCTAAGAAGAAGTCAAGACTGTTTAAGTTGAAGTGCTGATAACACTGTCTGGGCTATAGTGAGAGCAAGTAATAAAATTGCAGCAATAAGAGACATGACAGACCACGGGGTAGCAATATAATCACGTTTGAACACCGCATACCACCGCGCGAATGTCGCTTTCCCCTTGTGCCAGTAGTTTCGGCTGTAATCATTGAGCTGACGGCATTGATCCACATAAAGGAATTCCCTTGGATCTTTCACGAACTCCTTGTAAAGATTGTTGAAGAGGTTGGCCACTTCATGGCTTCCACCAAGCTCATTTGTGATGATTTTATATTTGATAAGGAGGTCGACATCCTTATGAGTGTCTACCAAGTTGTCCAGAAATATAATGTAGCTTGTGATGTCTTTAGAATGATATCCAGACTGTTCAAAAGCTACTAAATTTCGGAAGAAAGTTTCAGTGGAATCAGTCACCGTTAGTTGTGGAATCGTCAAGATCCCCTTCTCTTGGTCGAACTTGACATTCAAGAGACAATCTTTGGTTCCATGACGGAACTTGACTCCGGCTGCTTTCAACTCCGTCACGGTTGGACATCGCGAAAAATCCTTTCTCTTCTTCTTCCCCACTTCTTTTCTAACTCCTGAAGCCCTGTACTTTCCTTGTGTATGTAAAATAGATAAGAACTCAATCAAATGCCTCGCATGTGAAAAATCACTAGTTAGCGCGAGTTTTCCAGTGTTGCCCACATTTTTGAAGTACTTTTGTGCAAGTTCATTGAAAGATGGAGGATTAATAGCATCGTTATCCAAGTATTTTCTCACATTTCTGGAAACAAAAGTGTCAAACAATGTGGTTAGGAACCTGAGGGGGAGTTGGTTTTCAAAGAGAAGCAGGTCGTGTGATACATCATTGGCTAACAAGGGATTATCGAATATTATATCCCCCTTCTCCCTCATCCCCAGGAAATGGTTTTTCAAGAAAAGCTCAATCATAAACACCCCATCTAACAAGATCACTTCGGACGGTTCTTTGGATTCTTTCGACACATTGTTCATGTAAATATCTTCATAGCAATCACACACCATCTTTTCTTGACTATGGACATACTTAGCCACCTCCTTCAAGGAAACCCGAAAAGTATGAAGGAAATCATGAAGATATTTCAGCTTGTATTCTTGCATACCTTGTAGTGCACTTTGACCGTAATGGATGAGTCCTATCGAGACCAATCTAGGCGTATAAGCTTCTTGATTCTGGTTTCGATATTTGTCAGGTACTCTGTAGATACAAACTGTACCATAATTTCGGCTGTCGCGGGAAAGCATGGATAACTGTTTCTCTATTGATGATGCTACACGTTCTGCGGCACCATCATCAGAGTTACCCAAGTTTGTTGATGCCACACTTTCTGACACAGGGGGAGGCACGGGATTGTGAGCATCAACAGTTCCCCTATTTCTTTGATCACCAACCACTACAGCTTCCACAGCCATTCCTGCATCCATAAGCGTATTAGTACATAATCTTCTTCGCTGCTAATCAATATATATATACCAGCGTTTAACATTCACACCCCTAAAATTTTAAAAGCAGAATAAAAAATTGCAGTGCAAGAGATAGAACACTCGTACACTACAAATTGCTGAGAAACTAAAAGAATACCTTAAAACTTTGAAGGGGACTAAAGATCAGATGAGTGATTGCGTCAGGAAGAATGTGCTAGTCACCAGTGATGATGGTGTTTTTATCAAGTTAAGAGCAAGTTTCTGCTAAGTGTTGTTAACTATGCCAGATTGCCAGTCTCAAGTCGAAGAAATTTTTTTGTAGATCGGATCTGATGATGAGTCAAACTAAAATCACGCTCCCGCTATTCTCAAAAAAAATAGTCAACTTTGTAGTTTTGTGACTTGTTCTAGAAACAAGACAAATCGCAAATCGAAATGTGGGCTGTTTTTCTGGGACAGGGAGTATATTTTCATCCTGCCATGCATCCTCCAAGATACCAAAAGTTTGAGTATAATGAAATGGAGTAATATAACGTAGTTGACTAGCAACAACTTACGAGGAATCCTCAATCTTTCACTGTAACAGTTGGCAAGGTACGTGCATGTGGTGAAAATAACGAACTCCAAAGCATATGAAAGTTGAACTTCTTACATTCTAAACTCATGTTCTCTGAGTTTATGGACAATAGTACAATACTACTACTTTATTATCCTAGATATCATCAGCTATACATATAGGCCAATTGATCACGAGCCACGAAGAGAGAATCGACTATATATCAAGTGGGAAACATGAGCTTTTTGATTTGACTTGAGGGAGTTTTGAAACTTGCGAATGATGCATGTGCTTGATGAACTGTTATGGAATCTTATGTTAGTAGTATATTAATTACTATGCATTAAGAATCACATTACATTAAAAAAAAAAGAAAAAGACTAGTTCATTAAAAGATTGCAAAAGTCAAGCACCCGCTCTCCAAAGTCGTCTCCTCCCTGTTGCGGAATTTTTGCAGTTTCCAGGGCAACACCTATCAACTTCCTCTTAAACCTAAATCCAAATTCCAAAAAAAAAAAACTCTCACAAGCAGATAATGGCTCAACCAAATATCCTGGTAAAAATAAAGCAATTGCAGGATGCTGATGAGAAAGTGAAGGAAATGCTGTCCAAATTGGGTCGTTTCGATAATCTGATGGCAGAAGCAGAGAGGAGAAGCAAGCAGGAAAAAGAGGAGGCAGAGGCATGGGTGGCAGTTTTCGTCGAACTGAGGCGTCAGGTTGGTTCTTGGTTGAATACCATTGCACTCTACACCCGTCCCAAAGTAGAAAATGCAGATCCTGATCATGAGGAGGAAGATTCAACGTCATCGGACAGCGACGAAGACGACGGCGACGATGAAAAAGAAGACGCTGAGGACAGAGTGGTACTAGGTTCTTCGTTGTGGCTCTTGTGGGACAAGTTGCGCTGGCTCATTAACCCACGTATCTTCTCCTGTTTTAGGCAGCGTAGGATCATTGATTTGCCTTTGCACACAAAGTTGTTAAGTTCGAGTTTGGATCAGCATTTGGAAATGGCAATTGGATCCAGGTTTTTCACAACCACTGGCATAGGAAATAGTAATGCTGGGGATCCCACGATCAGTAGCAACACAGCTGTTCCACTTCTTCCAACTATGGGTCAAACCATGAATGCGGGTCCAACGCTGAGGCGTATTATAACTGCTGGTGAGAATCCAACTGTGGATGATGGAGGTCAGGATTTACATAATCTACTCCAAGCCGTAATTCCCGATCAGAGGAGAGGCAGCAACAACAATACCAATATTGGGGTAAAAGTGATCTCCATATCAGGGGAGTGGGGTGCTGAAAGGACCACGTTGGCTGAACGGCTCTACAATCATGTTAAGGTTGACGAAAATTTTGACGTTAGAAGATGGATTACGGTCCCATTTCACTATGACCCTGAAAAATTGGCCAATGATCTCCTTGGGGGGAGCCAATTTGAGAGCATTGAGGACGCGCACCGCGTGTCGTGGGAGTGGCTGTTGCAGATGATAGAAGAGTTCTTCTACATGAAAAGCTTCCTACTTGTCCTGGATAAAGTTGATACTTGCGACTCCAGGCTGAGGAAACTCTTGAACTCCTTTAAACATGGTTCTCCCGGAAGCATAATCCTGGTGATAATATCATCTCCGTACGAAGCTCAAAACCTGCAGGGTGCGAGCATGTATCGTCCGCTGGTAATGTCTCCCGAACAAGGGTGGTCCATCTTGAGAGATATGTTGTCATTGTCTGGGAAATCTAACTTATTGTCTGGTGAATTTGAAGAGGTTGGAAGGAGAATCATCCAGAAATGTGAGGGCGTGCTATTCAATCTAAAGATCATTGGCACCCATTTACAGCTGAAAGACACTGTACAAGAGTGGAATGAAGTTTTGAACAGCAACGTCTGGGAGATGGAGGAAGCCAAGGCTCATGGTTATTGTCCAATATATATCATCTACAAAGACTTGCCTCTGCCGTTGCAACATTGCTTCTTATACGTCGCCATCTTTGATTTTGATGCTGTCATAGATATTGAGCAACTGATTAGATTATGGATGGCAGAAGGTTATCTTGGCCCCCCAAGTGAAAGAGATGACAGGAGGAGAAGGAAGGGACTCGATTACTTCAATCAACTGGTACATCGTTCTCTCTTCTACAATTTTGTAAAGAGCTCGGTTCATAGAGATAAAATAATTAGTTGCCAAATGGATACTAGACTTCATCTCTTCGCAAGGTGGTTGGTTCGTCGCAAACTAGCAGTTCCTCCAAGCTTCGACATTGGATCATGTTTCATCACCTTTTATCATTCCATGGTGCACCCACGTTACGAGTGGTTAGGATCCAATCACATCACGGCATTGAACTTATCTTCATCTCGAGTAAGAAAACTTCCAAGGGAGATCCGGAATTTGATGCTTCTCCAGTACTTGAACTTGAGTGGGAACCCAATCAAGCGACTGCCGGAGACAATATGTGATCTACAGTACCTTGAGTTCCTAGATGTTCACCTCTGTTACATGTTGTTGAAGCTCCCTCAGGGAATTAGAAAGCTTCAACGCTTGAGACACCTAAGGATTGACCATACCACAGAGGAGTTGTCGAAACTGCCACCAGGGTTCGAGGAATTGACTTTGGTTTGTACTTTAGATGTCTTCAGGGCGGGTGGCAAGTATAATAAGATCTCCATGTTGAAGGACTTCCATTATCTAGAGGAATTATGCGTCGTCATCCATAGTAAAGTGATTCTAGAGCAAGCAAAGTTGAGAAACAAAACTCAGATGCAAAGCTTGGAATTATGTTTTGTTGGGGAGGGTCGTGATCCCGAAGTGGTCAAACTTGTGGAGGCCTGGGTTCCACCTCCATACTTAGAATTGCTCAAGCTTGAGGGTTATCAAGGAGTCCAACTACCACAATGGATAGTGGAACGATCTTTCATCAACAACTTAAGAAGGTTGACTGTAAAGTCAGCTTTAAAGCTCCTCTCCTTGCCTGCCTTGCGGATATTGTCATCTCTTGAGTTTCTATGGCTCGATGAGATTCCGATTTTGAAACATTTAGGCCGCGACTTCCTTGGATTGCCAGACCATAAAGTTCAGAATGAACACAAATGGATTGGCTCTAATGAATCTGTCAAGGGTATAGAAGCATTTCCTAAATTGAAGACATTCCGAATTGAATGCCTAGATAGCTTGGATACATGGGAGGATCTAAATGAAGACGATGAGAAGATTGTCCATAGAATCTCTGTGATGCCACACTTAGAGGAGCTAATCATCAGGGGCTGCTCAAAGCTGAAGGTCCTGCCGCATCGCATCCTTGCAAGGATACCCTCCCTCAAGGTTTCAATTGATGGTAAGTAAGTTTGCCGTTTGGTATACTGTTTCTATACTCTCTCTGTCTCCCCCTCCGAATCAAATGGATTTGCTTTTCAGATTTTTAAAGAGTTTTTAATAGTCATTCTTTCTGTCCCTTTTTAGTAGTCCACTTTGTTGAACTAAAATGGTAAAACAACGTAGACCATTAAAATGGGACGAAGAGAATATCCTTTTTACACCTTGCTTATAAGCTTGATTTTCTTGAACAGGTGATTTGTTTGCATATTAGAAGCAGTTAAGGGAAACAACTCACGAAACCTGTACTTGTAATCGTTTCCCTTTGAATGTATCGGTAACTTTTCTATTGTTGTATTTCAACAGCTATTTGTAATTTCTCTACTGGTTCCAAAACTAGTTCACTCCAACACTGTGATGATTTAACTTCTTCTTTTTCCTTTTTTTTTTTTTAGTTATGCTGTTTTAAAGTTGATGCGGAATTGGTTTCTGTGTGGTTTGATGGAACAATACTTAAGAAGTTCTGGACTGGTGTACATGCTGTAAACATCTGGTTGACTGGTTCATTCATCATTTTGTTTCTACCTCCAAGTCTCCAACTGTGTGTGTAAGCTTTTTGTAAACGCCAAAGCTCTTAAACAAATTCAAGCAATGTTGAAAAACCAAAATTGAACGATTTGGAAATACCATACATGCATTCATGTGGTCTTATCATCTATGTTAGGGTAAACGAATCAGCAATTCGATACATATCTGACTTAATATTTGGCCAAAGAGATTCAGGCGCCTGAGCATTCAAAGTGAAAAGCCTTCCACCAGTTGCACAAAACACTGCCACATTATGCCTTTGAAAGGTTGGGCTTTCGACTTGAAATTCCAACGAGTAGTATTTCACATTTTTCTTTGAATCCTCTCTGGAGGATGACTGTACTAATGTTCCCTTCACATTTGGACGTTTTCCTGTAATTGTTTTGATCAACGCTTCTCCAACTTCTTTTGGTCCTCCAAATGCTTCGATTCTGTGGAAGAGATCAGTGAAGAATTTCTTATAGTGTTCTGTGTTCATGTCAAAGAATATATTGCATGAATCCCTGAAAGCCTTTGACAAATCTCTCTATTCATGAAAAAAAGAAATTTTAAAAATGAAGAAAAAAGAGTTGTGCTTGGGAGGATAATCGATACCATTAAGCACGACTAAATAAAACTATTTTGTTTTGAGTTTTGACTTTATTAGTGCCACACACTCTTCTTTGAGCTCGGTACGTAGGAAAGGCATTATCTTTAAAAGACTTCAAGTATTTATTTTTTACTAACACATATTCTTTCCGTTGTCCAGTTTAAAATTTTTATTTTTAGTTCAAATTACATTGACAGTAAATCCCAAACTGGACAATACTTTATATGACAAAGGGAGTAATATGTAAGTTCTCTGAGAGAGAGATTTTTACTTGAAAAAGTCAGTATAAACTTTAAAATGATTTTGCAAATAAAACGAGCCTACAAAATGTTCCAAATTATAATATAAGTTCTTCATAAGAGAAAAAATAAATTTACTAGAAGAAATCACTACGAACTTTAAAACAATTACGCCGGCAAAATTGTTTCAACTTACGTATGTAATTCTTTTTTTTTTTTTTTTATGAACAGGGAATTATATTTATAACCTTTAATCAGGTACAAAAGAAACACGACGGGAGTATGATACTCCAATGACGTCATGCAATAACCAAGAACGGATTTGTGGAGGCTGTGAATCGAAAGGGTAAAATCCACTCGGATTCATCACCATCAAACTAACTAAATAGTCCGCTACAAAATTACACTTCCTATGAACATGCGACAATGTAATTCTTATTAGCCATAACAATGACTCCAAATAACTTAAGTATGCAATTCTTGTTAGCCATAACAATGATTCTAAAGAACATTCATTATTTCATATGTAATGCATTGATCGATTAACGAAAAAAAGAAATAAAAAAATTGATGAATGGGATCTTACGAGAAATCAGTAGGGACAGGGGAGACGATGACGCTGACATTGAGCTCTCCACTGGAACCCGGCGGACCAAATGCAACAACGGGTTCATTTATATTTCTCCGAGGATTATTTCTGGAAGTTGGAGTTGAACCTCCGAGGTATCTTTCCAATTTCGAGGCTGCCCGATACAACAATGTCTGATCTCCAACCCAATTTGCTGGATAGATGAACTCTGCATTCATTCAGTAAGCAATTCACACATTATCAGAAACTAAAAAGGATCAATTTCTAGTAATACCATTAGATGACAGTGAAAGAAGGGGTAAAGTTTACTTTCTGACCAAATCCTTGATATTCTTCATATTTGCATCTACTAAATCCTTGAATCGGATAAAGTACATCGAGCTTCAGGCTCCGGGCGGCTTCCGGGGCGAGCCCAAGAAGGAAACTTGTAATGCCGGCGAAATTAGCCCCGAGGGCAACCAAAGATGAGGAGGCGACTCCGGTGAGAAGCCGCCGCTGGAAAGTGGATGCTAGTGGGGCGAACTGGGCTGCCGGAGGTGGAGCAACTCCGGTCGATTGCTGCCGGAATTTCTCTTCCGATGGGCCATCATCGTTAGAGGAGGATTGTTGTTGGGTCATGCAAATTATTGGGTAGATGATGGTTCTGTTCCTGAAATTGGATTTGGATGAAGGAGTTTGAATTTGATTGAAGCTGCCGTAGTGACGGTGGTGTTGTAGCGGAATCGCCATTCTGGGTGGTTGGTCATTGAGGCGGAAATTGGAAGATCGATTTAATCACTGCAAGAACAGGTTTTGTCCATTGTTCCTCTTCCTGCAAAACTCATCTTGCAATTCTGAATTTTTGAAGGTGATAGAAAGTCCTATCCATTTCTGGTGGTTACCATTTTCCTGACCAATTTTTTTTTTCTTTTTTTTTTGTTACCCTTTCTTTTCACCTTTTTTGGCCTGTAACTTCATCCATATTTACGTAGTTCCATTTTTACTGCTTGGTGCTCTCATAACATAGGCAGAAGAATTGTTTGGGTAGGAAAAAGGGTCTTAACCATGGAACTTCGACTTCATTCGCGTTCTTTAGGTTATCTCTTCTGCTACCTATGCTTATTCTGCCATTATTGTGTGTGAATGATGATGATCTTCAGCTTTCCATATTTTGACAATAGGAATCAATTAAGTTTTACTCCCTTCGTCTCAGAAAAATAGCGTAGTTAAACAAAATGAACGATCTGAGTTAAAATGGACTATTTTCCATAGACGGATAGAGTATGTAGTTACCATGAAAGCTACCATGAAAGCTAGTGTTGGTAGTTACCATGAAAGCTATATGAAGTTACCATGAAAGCTATATGAAGTTGGTGGTAATTAGTTTTTTAATTTTCATTTCTGGTGACTTTTTCCAAAGTGACAGCTTTCCAAGAACTGAATGAAGTAGCTGAAGCCTGAAAGTGACACTTGTGACTACCATTAACAACGGGTCCAGAACGACCCTAAATCATTAATTTTTTCAAACAACTAAAAAAAAATGAATCTTGCAAAATGAGCTGCAGTTGAATTATTAGGTTGGGTGGCCAAAGTCAACGAATGTTAGTTCATGGAAAATTCCGAGCAGCAACTGATTCTAGCACAGGTAAAAGGAGCATGTACAACAAACGTTTAACCAATATTTTGCTCATCATCCAAACAAAGGGCTCTCTTTAGGATCCAATCCAATCAAGAAAGAAAATGGCGGATGCAATAATTGGTGCCACCATTCAAGTTCTGTTGGAGAAAGCAATATCTCTGGCCACGGACAGGATTGGCTCTGTATTTGGACTCAAGAAGGAATTGGAAGCCTTACAAGAATCTGCTGCCACAATCCAAGCTGTGTTGGCTGACGCTGAGATTAAGTATGATAAAAGCCAACTCGTGCAGCGATGGCTCGAGAAGGTTGTAAGTGTGGCTTTTGAGATTAATCATGTGCTGGATGAGCTTAACTATGAGATTCTTCGTCGAAAAGTGAGATCAAGGAATCAACAGAAGGTATGTTTGTTCTTCTCCTCATGTAAACATGATATTTCATTTCGGTGGAGAATTGGTTATAAGGTTAGGGATGCAAACTGTAAGTTGAAAAACTTCAATCTCGAAGCTACTGAGATTGGATTGATCAGGATGGCAGCTTCACTGCTTCCTACTGCTTCTATAACCGTGGCTGCTGTTGAATCGGCAAAAAGCCGAGAAACCAACTCCCGTGTTGTTCCCCAGTATGTTGTAGGAAGAGCCAAAGAAGAATCTGAAATTGTGAATCTTTTGTTAGGCTCATCTAACCAAAATATTTATGTTCTTCCCATCGTTGGTATGGGTGGAATTGGAAAAACTACTTTGGTTAAATCCGTATATAACAACCAACATATCGAGAGTCACTTCAGCAAAAGAATTTGGATCCGCGTGTCTGAAAATTTTGAAGTGACTGAACTTTTTAGAGCAATTTTGGAATCACTGAAGGAAGAAAAAGTCGAAATATCTTCCCAAGATGCAATTGTTAAAGAAGTAGGCAAAGATCTTCACGGGCAAAGGTTTCTTTTAGTTCTTGATGATGTATGGAATGAGAATCCCAAGTTGTGGGATGACTTTTTCCTCTCTTTGGTGGCGCTATGCACCATACCCGGAAGCTGCTGTCTTTTGACAACTCGTCTAAAGACGACAGCAAACCTTGGAGGTAGTCGCGGTGTTTATACTTTAAATAAGCTTTCGGATGAAGACTGTTGGTCCATCATTAAACAAAAGGCAACTGCGGGTGGAGAAATGCCCGAAGAACTGAATAAACACAAGGCCCAAATCCTGAGCAGATGCCATGGTTTACCACTAGCTGCAAATGCCATTGGAGGTTTACTATGTCTGCAGAGAAAAGAGGATTGGCTCTCAATTGTGAATGACAAGGTTTTGAAGCCAAGCAGAGATCTTGAAGATGACATTTCGCGAATTCTGAAGCTGAGCTTTGATTATTTGCCTTCTCCATCTATTAAGAAATGCTTTGCTTATTGTTCAGTATTTGCCAAAGACACAATCATAGAAAGAGATGAACTGATTGAACTCTGGGTCGCAGAGGGTTTTCTTCAAGAGAAAAGTGAAAGTGGAACAACCATGGAAGAAATGGGAGGCAACTACCTCAGAATTTTATTGCAAAGTTCCTTGTTGGAAGTTAAAGGAGACCGTTATCAAATGCACAGTCTTGTTCATGATCTAGCAATGTTAGTTTCAAAGACTAAAAGTTCCAAAATGGAGAAAAATAACCAGGTCCGACACCTTTCACTGAACTCATGTGGAGAGGAGACAGAAAAGGTCCTGAATGCAATGTCGTCACCATTTATTCGAAAAATAGTTGTGAATAGTAGCATATCTGATGAAATGTTGCTGAAGTTTAAGTTCATTCATGTGCTGAATTTGTCTGGTGGAGTAATTATAAAGGAGTTACCGAGGTGTATAAGAAAACTCAAACACCTTCGCTATCTCAACCTCTCACGATCTAAAATTCAGGAGCTGCCAGAAACTCTTTGCAAACTTTACAATTTGCAAACACTGAGGTTGAATGGGTGCTTCCATCTGCAAAGTCTTCCGCGAAGGTTGAACAATCTGATAGGTTTGAGGCACTTACATTATTTTGACTTCTATGAGAGGTTACAAATGCCACCAGAGATGGGACGACTAACTTGCCTTCAGACTCTGAAGTTCTTTAATGTAGGAGAAGAGAAGGGTTGTGGAATTGATGAGCTTGGACACATGGAACAACTTAAAGGTGAACTTCATATACGGAATCTTGAACTTGTAAAGGGCAAAGAAGAAGCAAGGCTGGCAAATTTGTTCTGCAAGCCAAATCTGATGACGCTGGGATTATATTGGACAAGTGCAGATCGTTATGGCATTGAGAATTGCGACAAGCATGTGTTAGAAGGCCTTGAACCTCACTCAAATCTACAAGAGTTGAGAATAGATGATTTTATGGGTGATCAATTCCCTCAATGGATTGGAAACTTGTCATTGTTGGTGAAGCTGGAGTTTTACAATTGCAAGAGATGCACGGAACTTCCAGGTTTTGGACATCTTCCACGTCTTGAAAACCTCACAATATGGGGTTTAGAAAGCCTTAGTTGTATTGGTGATTCATTCTACCAACCCTATGGTGGCGGCCGAGTGGCATCCATGTCCAGGAGAAAATTGTTTCCTGCCCTTAAAACTCTTGCCCTAATCCAACTGTCACATTTGACAGAATGGAAAGAAGTAAAACCAGTTGACTGTGATGGTGATGATGTTGGTGTTTTGTTTCCCAGGTTGGAGTCCTTGTGCATCAATGCATGTCCCCAGTTGCGCAACACTCCAACTCACTTTCCCACTCTTAATAAATTGGAAATATTGGGAGATCTGCGATTTTCTGTGGTTCAAAACATTCTCAGGAGTAGTGCTGGTGCTCTCAAGTCTTTTTCCATAAGAAGTATGGATGAACTGACTTGTTTTTCCGATTTGATTGCGTTACAAGAACACAACAGCGTCATCAGTCATAATCATCTTGCATCTCTTGAGTATCTTGAAATTGAAGGATGCAATGGTTTGATCAATATACCAAGTGAAACACTGGAGGGTTGCACATCTCTCACGTCCATTTTGATCACAAATTGCTCGAATTTGATATCATTTCCTGTTGATCTGCAACGGCTTTCTTCTCTCTCATCAATGTTGTTCAAAGACTGCCCGCAATTGTTCTCCCGAAATGGTAACATGCCTGGAGGATTTGATCACCTGACCAACTTAAAGGAACTTTCTGTGGGTCCTTTCTCGGATGATTCAGTTGAATTGTTTGACTGGGCAGGATTAGCATCATGTTCATCTACACTCAGCAAACTTCATTTATATGGGATGCCTCAAATGCAAAAAGCGCTACCCGATCAACTCCAACACTTGACTTCATTAACATATTTAGTTCTAGCGAGTTATGGTTCACTGGAAGCTTTACCTGACTGGTTAGGAAACCTGGCATCTTTAGAAACACTTGAGTTATGGGACTTCCCAAAGCTTCGATGCTTGCCTTCCATGGACGCCATGGCGCGCCTGACCAAATTTCGGGTATTGGTGCTTTACGGCTGCCCTATTCTCAAGGAAAGATGCAATGGTGAAATCAATGGCTCATCAGACTCGGAATGGTCCAAAATTTCTCAGCTTCCCAATCTCGGAATCAACATTCTTCAAGTAATTTAAGCTTTTTGATTTTTTTTTCTTTACATGTATGTATGTATGTATGTATCTATATGCTGCTGCGCTTCCCGTTCACCTTTCATCTCTTTACATAAATAGAGGAAAACTGCCTCTTGATTTGTACAGAAAATCCATGAAGTTTACGGTATCCCTTTCGACATGTTAACCTTTGGAATTTTCCTTTCTGTTCATAACTAGTTAAGGGCACATCGCATGATGTTTGGATGTTTAGTATTCATCCACCTGAACAGAGGGAACAAGACTTGTAACATCCTCAATTTCCACAATGTTGCGGATGAAATCACATTGAGCACCGGTTCCCATTGATCAGAAAGGAAATGTTCTGACTTCTGACATGTTTAAGAAGCATTTCATTAATCCTATTGCCAGGAAAAACTCCAGATATCACACAATCAGCACCCTTTCCCAAAGAAGTTTATCAATGTTTTGAGGCCCATTGGGCTAAATGTGCTCTACTCCAATAATGCTTGTTTAAGTTGAGCTGTTCAATTGTGACTTAGGTTAAGACAATTTTTTGTTTCAGCCCAAATGATGATCCTGAAATATTTGATTTGAAGATCTTCAAATATTCGATTAAGATTATGTAACCTCAACCAAAGGGTGGAGTAGTAAGGACGGCTCCCCTTAATCATAATGAGTACGAAACAACCTTAAATTCTTTAACCAACTCTCTCACCCATCCTTTAGAAGATTATATCTCCTAGTCCAAAGGCAAGAAATAATGGGAATATGCATCATAAAGTACGTACTCCCTCCATTCCAAAATAAGAGTTATCCTACACTTTGCACATAGTTTAAGAAACTCTTAAATAAGGTAATAAAATTACTTGAATATCCTCAACCAACCCCACTAAAAAAATATCAACTAATAGTATTAATTCTTTCGAGGGTAATTTTGGAAACTTTGGACAAAAAGTGCATTGAAATGTGAGAACCATACTTATTTTGAAATTTCTCCATTTTGCTAAAACGACAATTATTTTGGAACGGAGGGAGTATTAAAAAAGCAGTAACTAATGACCATGAAACTAAACTAGTAATTAATGAAATCATGAATTTCCAATACCTTATCGATTTGCCTCAAAAAAAAAAAAAAAAAAACCTTACCGATTAATTAATTCATGACCATTGTTGATTACAAACTCATTAGAGATAAATAACAAGATTGCAGGATCACCTATTAAGTTCTGCCTCCGGTACTCTATTAAAGTTGGGTTTGATCCAAGTTCCAAACTCCATAATCTCTTCCAATTCATATGATGTTTTGCTAGAAAAACTGCCTGCCACTGAGTGATATTTCATTGTATTCAGAGAATAAAATATACCAACTTCGTCGTGAAACTTGGGAAAATACACCCGGTTAGCAACGTGTTTGGTTGTAGGAAAAACAAATGAAGCGCTGTGACTGACAAATAAACTCTTGTTCGGAAAATCCAAAACTGGCTGCCATCTCCAGCTTTTGAGATTTAAGCATTGGACGGTGATGCCATCATCATGGCGATTGAAAATTCCATACAGTTTTCCATCATCTTCCAACAGAAAACTTTGGCGTATTGCTTTAATAATTTGGCGTCTCCCCTTCCTTTCTGTTTTGAACAGATGTGTTTGGCGAATTTTAAAAATTTTGTGTACTGCACTCTCGTCGGGACAACAAACACCAATGTCACCATTCTTACGATCTAAACAGTAGTACGCGCCATTGTAAAAAACAGGATTGTGGGTGGACATTGCAAACAGACCTTTCACAGCATGTATTCTCCAAGTTTTTTCTCCACGTCTTATGATTCCTATACAGTCATCATTTGCGATTCCAAAAACTTGACACTCTAGAGAAGTCGGTGGAGATGAAAAACACATAGCTGTAAAAGCAATATCACTCCTAGGGAGTAATACTTTCTGCGTTGTAACTGGATTATAGAAGAACAAGTCAAGATTGGGGCGCGACATGAGTAACCAACCAAAATTGGAACACCGAACAAGGGCACCTTTCAAACCAGTGGCGCAGACAAGGAAAAATTCGTGGTTGATTGGATTATAAAACTTATACCTCGACTTGTAGCAATTGGTGAACATCAGATTTGGACATGAGTAGTAACAAGGTGATACCGGTGAGTCAATGGGTGGTGGGAGTGATATTTTGGCAGCGCTCCATGATTTACAAGTAGCTTTAAATGCACATCTTGCGGGAGGAGAGAGATGATATAATAACTTACATAGCAAATCGTGAGGAAGATCAGACCAATTCCGCTCCTCATCTACTCCTTCGTTATGGACAACCTCTCTCATTATTGTTACACAAAAATAGGCCAAGAATAAGAATTAAAGTTTCCTCTTGTTGTAAAGACGTGAATGACCTAGGATAGAGAGCCTCTTCAAAAATCGTTAGTGAGATGTCGAGAAGAGAAGAATGAGAGGTGCGTGTGTCACTATGTAAAACAAGGGAAGATATACCTTTATATATATAGTAGTTAAGGATTACCTTTTACTATTGTTAATAGGATATCATGATGGAAATCCCTAAAATAACTAATACTACCATCTGTCGGAAATACAATTGAAAATTGGAAATAACTGACGCGGTCGAAATAAATAAAAAAAAAATAATAATAATAACAAAATACCAATGAGAATCGGAAAAAGGCTGACGCGATCGAGAACTGCAAATAGCTTTTTCCAGGAGTCCCAACAATTCCTATTCCTTATCCGAAATAGTCATAATATTGGGGATCGGAGACTCATTTAAATTGATGGCCTCTCTCCAGTTTTCTCAATATGTCGGGTGAAATTGAGTCTTTGAACTGCGTACTACTATATTTCAAATTTTGGTTTTTGGGAGACAATGTCTTCTGGGGGAGAAGTAGCCGAACATGTTAAATCAGCAGCCCAAGATCTTCCTCCGGCACAAAGTTATCCATGGCTTTTGATATCTGATGGTAAACAGTGCGAAAAACACTATTTTTTCAGTGTCACGGAGAACCAATGCTATAAGAGAGAGATTTGTTGGTTGCGCAACCAAATTATTTTTTGTAGTAGTCATGGCTGGATTGTGTCACAAGACAAGGATACGAAGATTTGCTATCTTTCTAATCCTGTTTCCACCCAAAGCCTTGAGCTTCCACCATGCTCCAAATCAATCAGGAGGGTTTTCCTTTCTAAATCGCCTGGTGATCCTGATTGCTTTATCTTCATCTTTGGATATGATCAGGGGAATATCGAGTTTTGCAAGTTGGGCGACCAGAAATTCGTGGAACAGAATACCACGTTGGGAGACCGCCATCTTTCGGAACTTATAGTTTTCAAAGGAAAAATATATGGCTTAATGTCATGTTTTCGCTGTTTTGCCTTGGTAACTGTTGACATAGTAGGATCAACCCTGCAAATCAAACCATTGATCAAGGACGGTTTACCCTTCCAAATAAGGTGCCCGTTGCCTCCAGAAAACAACGCTTACGATACTTATATGATTAATTCACACGATGGTGAAGAAGTTTTATTTGTTTTCAAAATCTACTCGGCGTCTTTAGATTATCAAGTTTCAGAGTTCAAGGTTTTCCGCTTAGATTTCGACAACATGATCAGTGAAGAGTTGGAAGACATAGGAGGGGAACGTGCGATTTTCGTGTGTCACTTCTATGGAATGCCATGCTCCAGATCCGAACCAGGAATAAAGGCTAACTCTATTTACTATGTTGAAGGGAATGATAACAGACTCTATGTGCACAACCTGGAAAATAAAAGCAGGTTGTTGAAGCTCCCATGTCCAATTGCCACACATGATGCATGGTTATCTTGGGTTATGATATAGTCCATCTCCACTTACAAACTCTCTCAGTACTAGGTTCTAGCTAGGAATTGTGTTTGCGTTAGTTATTCATTATTTTTGTTTTTTTTTCCTTAATACATGTTTGTTAATTATTGATATATTGGAGGCGATACATTAGGTTATTTTTCTTCTACAAAATTTGGTTCATAACATAAAGGAATGACCATGTATGTCACCTAGCTAGTTAGTTTGAAGTTGTTTAGGAGCGAAAATTTTAAGATTCACAGTTGTTTTGGGAGGTGGGGGGGGGGGGGATGGTAGCTACCTTGAATGATAAAATTTGCCTTCGCTTCGTGATTCTAAAATTCAAAAGGTCAAGATTGAGTCTTTAAGATTGCAGAAGATGAGTAAAACTTGGAGTTAATTAATTGCTAAAATTGTTAATTGAGAGACAATTTTGCAATCTGTGCAGAGTTGACGGGGGAACATTTTTACAATTCACTCTAGTTAGCATAACGGTCAAAACAATAACCCTGATAAAGAAAACCTTTCATGGGGAAGAACACCAATCTCACCATTGTCAACGCTTGAACTAATACATTAATACTTCCACTTACCATGATCCATGTGTCTTCATTTGTACATTTCTAATTGAATAATTGTCAATATAAATTTTTGTGGCACTTCCATGGAACACTTTGGTTTGTTCCTGCTACTTCGCATTTATCATGTGTCAGCTCTGCCAACTTCCATAATCAGAAAATGCAAAGCTTTGGTTTTTGGAGAGCTCTACCTTTTTTTTTTTTTTTTTGCTTCCGCGAGAATTGCGCCTTAGTTTAAAATGAAGAACGTGAGCAACTTGTTTGTATTTAGCAAACCTTAATTTCAGTTTAAGGTTTTCCAGCTCTAAAGTACTGCGTTCTTAAAACCAAGTTGATGAAACCTGACCCTTTCATCCTTAAATTTCCAGAAACTCGTAAATCTGATTATTGCCAAAAAGGGTATCTTTCTCAAGTTTCCATTCTGATTCATTCTGGGATTTGTCCAAATCTCAGATCCCTTCATCCATTTTTCATTTCTGATCCTGTAGATCGTGAACTTTGTACTCAAACTTCTCCTTCATTTGCTAGTTTAACTAGCTCTCTGGCTTTTTTTCTTTTTTCTTTTTTGGTTGATTAAATGTTTGTATTCAGAATTAGGTGAGAGTGATCAGAAATCGTGAAAATGAGGGAGATTTTATCATGACAGAAAGTCGTATTTGAATTGGGAAATTAGATTGAGATTTGGGAGATTCAAGATGGGCAGGATTTGTTGCCCAAAGCTCAAGTTTAGCAGAATAATGGGTTGGATTCAGATTGTTCTGGGAGGGCTTGTGATTTTTGTAAGCCTATGTAGTTTATTTAGATTCTATACTGCAGGTTTCTTCTTGAACAATGAAGATATATGCCGCCAATTCTATGCTGTAAAGGAAGACTACAGCAGCTTTGATATCAGGGCTTTGAATGCTCAAATCGATGATGTTCTTAATCAGTTGGATAGCTTGCAGAGTAAACTCGAACTGAGTGTTCAGACAATGGAAAAGAACAAAGTTGATTTGCAGAAAGGCACTGTTTCCAGATTGGAGCACAAGAGATACTTAGAGGAAGAGGTGATTCGGCCACTCTATCAAGCTCACATTGCTCTCAGGCAGATAAGGTTGCCAAGCATTGAAGGGAATAGTACTGAAGAAGTAGTAAAGGAGGATCCTTTAATCAATACCTTCATCACAGAGGAGATTAGGAAGTATATTACCCCGAAAACGAGCAGAGTCTCGAAGACGAATTTCTACGGCACAGAGAAGATATACAACACTATAGGGCATGCTTGTGTTTTGATGAAAAAAGAGCTGCAAGAGTACATGGATTATGACATCGGATCTTATTGCAGAGATGACTGGAACTTGGCTCAGAAACTTATGCTTGGTGGTTGCGATCCTTTGCCGCGTAGGCGATGTTTGACGAGGGCTTCCAAGCTCTACCAGAGGCCATATCCCATCAATGAGTCCCTGTGGAAAATCCCTGATGGTAGAAATGTAAGATGGAGCAATTATCAGTGCAGGAACTATGAGTGTTTATCCAGCAAGAACCCGAAGCGCGGCTACATCAAGTGCTCGGGATGTTTCGAAATGGACAAGGAAAAGCTCAAGTGGGTGACAAACACATCACTGCCTATTGATTTCCTGATCAAACATGTGTTGAAAGTCAAACCAGGGGAGATCAGAATAGGCCTGGATTTCGGCGTTGGGACAGGTACATTTGCTGCAAGAATGCGGGAAGAGAATGTGACTATTGTATCCACAGCTCTCAATCTCGGAGCGCCTTTCAGCGAAACGATTGCACTGAGAGGTTTGATTCCACTCTACCTGACATTGAATCAAAGGCTTCCATTTTTCGATAACACGATGGATATGATCCACACAACTGGCATCTTGGATGGATGGATTGATTTGCAATTGTTGGATTTCATTCTTTTCGACTGGGACCGCATCTTGAGACCGGGAGGGTTGCTGTGGATCGATCGCTTCTTCTGCAGCAGAAAGGATCTTGATGACTTCATGTACATGTTTTTGCAGTTCAGGTACAAAAAGCATAAGTGGGCAATTTCTCCCAAGTCCAAAGATGAAGTCTATCTCTCTGCACTCCTGGAGAAGCCCCCTAGATCTTTGTGATTCTCGGAGTGCATTTTGGCCTTAATTTTCTCTCTTGTACTTGTACTGATTGATAGATACATATGGAAAAGTAAAGGATCTTGTACTAGTTTAGGAAAACTGTTATCTTCCATTTGAGTATTTTCCTTTGTGTTGAAATGAACACATACAAATGAGATGCCCTTAAAAGTTAGATCTCCATTTTTCATTTTCTTTGGGGATTTTTCTTGCGCTGTGGTTTTTGAATTAACCGAAGTGTTGGCATTTAGAATTCGTACAATTCTCTTGCTGGTCATTTGAATCTGCATATCTGAGAAACAGATTCCATATGAAGGTGATACCCTATAAATGACAAATTAAAAGTAGGAAAAGTGGCAAAGTAACTTGATATCAGTACGTGACTATGTCTGATGCACAAATGCTTGTACAAAACCCCATCCATCTTCATTGTCTGGTCCTACCCAAATACCAGTCATTACAACATGAGTAGTGAACCTTCCACTAAATTGAAATACGGTGGGTTGATGATGATTCGTTCTTGAGAGTGCCTTGGTACTAAAACAATGACCGGTTACTGTTAATACAACCCTGTCAGAGTACTTGGGCCCTGAGGGATTCATGCCTGTATAATTCATTCCAACGGTCAGCTCACAATGGAGTTACAAGATATCACTTCCTGGTTCCTACCATAAGTTGTTACAATGGAAGAGTTTGACTGTAAACGACCAGAACAAAGGGATTCAATATTCATGACTCGCAAAAGGCAGGGAGACAGTTAAATAACACTCAGAGAACTGAGCAAGTAGAACGCTGAGTTCCTCCTAGTTATGAACTTCGCATTAGTATAAAGTCATCCGTAACACAAATATATAATGACAATCAAATATGAATAAAAATGCATCAAACAGCAATTTATGGCAAAGAAAGACCATAATTGATACTCGTTTAAAAGGAAGCTAACATATACAAAGGTAAAACCCTACTGTGTGCGGCAGTGATTAATATAATGAACGGAACATAGTTACAATCCGTAACAGCATCAACTATGCGAGACAATAAAGTAAAAGATCAGAGAACGAACATTACTTCTCATAACCATGGCCGAAGGCCTGCTACCAGCTAATTGTCTTTCGTGTGCTTCCTACAAAAAGATAGTAGAAAATTAAATCAGAGTGATGGTCCACCAATATTCCGTTAAAGACAAAGAAGATACCGGTAGCAGCAGTATGAGAGCATTTCAGACTATGGCTTAGATCTTATTGGAGTTCATTTTATCTGAAACTTGTTATTAGCCTGGCGTTACAACTTACAATTAAGGAACTTCTTAATCTATCATATGTAGCAGTGATACAGTCCAAGAGATATGAATTTTTTACTTTCTCTGGCAACAACATCGACAACCATCGAACTTTGTACAGCTAACAAACAAACTGTGGTATGAGAAAACTATGGGGCAGCCCTTTACGGAGTTAAAACTATAACAATTAGATCATGATTAGTTGAAAATTAGCAGGAAAATGATGAACCCACATAAAACAATGATGCTACATTACAAAGAGCAAATGTTATATTATTTGTTTTTTTTTTTTTAAAAAAAAAAGTCATTCCTTGGTGCACCTGTTCTTAGAAAGTTTGAATTTCAGAAGTTATATAATAGCCTTAGGGCTCTAGATTGCTCTCTCACCCCAGCCATGAGGCCCTGTCAGCTAGTTAAATGAACATCATGTTCCATACAGTTGTAAATTCACTTGGGCATTTTAACAAACACCTAGCAAATGCAGAGGAAAAAAAAAAGGTGCAGCAAGAGCAAAAACTCTTGGCAAAGAAGCAGAAAGCTCAGAAGAAGGTTCACCTGAACAGAAGTAGTTCTGGGCACCGAAAACCCGTAAAAGGTAAGGGGAACTGCGCAGGCCATTCTTCAATGGACCCAGGGAAACTGGGAGGGACAAAGTGAGAATTTAACGGCTTTCTCGTTGGCGGTAACACCCACTCGAGAAATTTCTTTGTAGATCAACGTATTTTTAATGCTTTCAAAAAGAAAAAAGTTTTTTTTTTTTTATTCTTTTTTCTAAGTTATGAAACTTAAAATTGGAGAGACTTTTTTTTATTATTATTATTTTGAATCCTCCGCATTATTGATTTTTATTCGTATGACTAATTTTAAAATGAAAATTTACCTTGGTATTCCGTAGAAAAGAAGTGGTATATATAATTATTCTTTTATAAAAGTTCCTGTTTTTCACTTAGGCCATTCGATGAGGCTATTAGTCAAAACTCAAAATGGAATACAATAATCCTCAAACAAATAATATTTGTGAGTTGTGACATTTACATTGTCAAAATTATTGAAGTATATAACTCGCTTCATCATAATTATTGAAATTTGCATTGTCCTAATTAATTAATGCTTTCCTTGTAATTTATTCCTTGTACGAGTTCTTATATCGTGCACATGATTCACCATATATAGTGCACTGGTCTCATTAATAGAAACTATTTAAGGAATAAATTATTAATTAAAATATTATTAGTATTAAATTAGTCAATCCTCTTTCCATATTTAATATCATATATATCATATATTCAAATCAATTACGTAATTAGAAAAAAATTCAAAAAGGAAGAAATATCTATTTATTAATATACTTCTATTGATACAAAAAACTAAAGTTTCATAATCATACAATGTAAAATTCATGAATGATAAACATATTTTTCATATCAAATATATAAAAAATTCATATTTTTAAATTAAAAAATTGTACACATAATTATAAATCAAAGGTTGTAATATTTTTAATCTTCTATTCATACGTATAACTATAACTATTCATGAAGATTATGCTAAATGTTCATGCAAATTAGAGAAATTTCAAAAGATTAATCATATGTACAATAAATATCCATACTCTTTTCATGAAATATTCATGAATAACAATTATACTTTTCATATCATATCATGTGTACCTAAATTTCACAATTTTTTTTAGAGAATTGAAAGACTAATGCAAATAAGCAGTCTATATTCATACCCATATAAAATAATATTCATGAGAATTATGTAAATTTTCATACCAAGAATATAAAAATATTAATTAAATATTTAGAAATCCTTATATTTATAGTTCATACTCATTCTATGAAAAATTCATGAGTTATAGTAATATTTTTCATGACATATATATATATATATATCAAAATTTCATGATTTTTTATTAAATTTAAATTGTTCCTAATTTTTAAACTACGTCAGTAATTATGAATAGAGGAAAGAGTTAGTAATTATGAATAGAAGAAAGTGTTACAAAATTATTAAAATATTATTTCTGTTATATTTGAAAGCATAGTATGAAAAATTAAATGATAAAAGAGAATGAATTGATTTAATAAATTTTTCTTAATCTTTTATTCCATAATTAGATTGCATTAATTAGATAAGTGTACCATATATGGTACACAGGGTTCACCATATAAATTGCCTCCTTGTACACTATATATTATTATTTATAATAGTGTTGATGTTAGTAAATGTACTGCAACAAATGATCTAATCATTACATATAATATAATTATATTGTCAGGTCATCTTAAATTTACATTTTTTGGTATTTTCAATTCATTCATTTTGACACAACAACACTGTTTGGATCGTTTTTTTTAATGTGCGTTTACAGTTATTTTTATATCAAAAATGTTTTAAAAAAAGTACTATAGAAATAAAAAATATGTTAAGATGGGATATTTATTAATAAAAAATTGCGGAAAAAAAAACTACACAAAAAAAATGAACAGAGTCACTGTTCTACGCTTCTACTGCTAAACTTGGCGGAAAAGTCATACTGCATTGACGAGTTTTTCCCCAGAAAATCATTTTCAATAAATATGCCATTTCACCCCAAAATTTCATAATATTCAAGAATTTAAGAAGCTCAGAATATTACACACTGTATCCTAACACACTATCTGTTCTTCCCTCAGTCCTCATAATCTAATCCCCCAATAAAACGTTGCTCTAACAATTCAAATTTCAAGGACAGATTTTCCCGTTCCTTTCTTCTCCGTCTTCTTCTTCACCTTCGATTTTCCATTTGAAGCTAAGTGAGCCCCCTCACACTTCGCCCACACAGTCCAGTTCCCATGTTATTTTACAGCTTAAGACATGTCAATGTCAGTGGAGCCTTCCTTCGATCTGTGTTTACGTTTCTTACTCCTGCGTGTAAGACAATGAGTTGTGCACAAGGGCATTCAGATTACATGAAGAAAGTCTCAGAAACATTGCAACTTTAACAAAGAGTATAATTGCAAAGATGTTGAGATTACTTGTCATGTGATGATCCAGGATCTAAACATGATTTCAGTTTTCGGTCTATGTGCTTCACGTCTTTCGTAGTTGGCATCTCGAGCTTACTTATCTGCAATGAAGTTTTTAGAAGAGACATTATGCATGACATAATGAATGTGGCCGAGTAAACGCCAAACATGCACATTAATCGCGACATTGTAGCACATAAGAAAGTTCTTACCAAAGTATCAACAGAGTCCAGCACAACATTAATATCTGAATCACTGGGGACAGAACTCTGGCGAGACAAAATGCTTCTCAAATATCTGCATCAAGCCCAGAGAGCAATTATTTAAGCCAGAGACAGACCACCATAATATTTCAAGTTCCAGCCTCTTCCAGCAAGTCTAACCTGTCAAACTCGAAGAATCCATGTGCCTCATTAGACCTGCGTAAGGCTGCTAGTGCCAACTGTACCAGATAAGATGATACACATTAGTACAGCCACCAATGACATGATGGCACTAAGGTGGTATCCATGAGGACTTAAAAGGAAACTTACAATAAGCTACATAAACTAGTTAAGAGTAAGCTTCTTAGCTCAAATATCCCTAGTCGGTTGTCATGCACAGTTCATCATAATCCAGTTGTCCCAGTTAACTATTCAATTTGGTAGTAGCTCTCACTATTTTGCCTCTACATATGTTAGTGGAAAATACCCAGTATATATCTCCTCTGATGTCCTATCTTGCATTTGACGTTTTAGGTATTTGAAAGGAATTCTAGGTTATCCAACTTACACAACAATTTTGGGGAAGAGAAGACAAAAATATTATAATTCAAAAACCAGCTTTTGAAACGTCTGTGAAGTTCAAATCAATCATAGAATCCAAGATAAGCAGCAAACCATGCTATGCGGAAAAAACAAAATGCTGTAAGTTTCACAGATTTCTGTTAAAGTTCATAGAATCTCCTGGTTGTTTACAAAGTCCCAAGGCTAATATTAACTCATAAACCAAAAGAAACACAAGATAAAAACAAGACCAAGTTCGCGATAACAGATTAAACCATCATTGAGGATAAAGTAAAAAAAACAGGATATATCAACTTAAACACCAAAAGCTGCAGCGAAGAAAATAAGAGAATCAAATTCCCGTGTCATGTTCTGTTCCATGGCAATGTTGGCAAAGACAGTTGTTTTCTGCCTCACTACCACTCTTTATCATGAGCTCAAGAGTAGACCAATTTAAGATAATACTCTATACTACCAAAAAAAGAAAAAGAGAATTTAGAAAACCAACAATTACAAGAGCTTCACACCACAAAATACAACCAGAAACTAGAATACCACTTATAAGAGCTTCATTAAGTAGTGGAAAGCACCTGTCCAGGAGGGAATAAAAGAGGTGCATCTGTCCGCATGATTTTATCCACTTCAGCCTTGGCCGACTCATGCAACCTCTGTGGTAGACCAAGACATGAAGAAAAGTAAGCAGGATCCTAATGAGAAATATAAGGAAGAAATCCTAATAACCATTTAGAATTAACTTGTAGGCCAGAAAGAATTCAGTTTCCAAATGTTATGCATGATTCGAGGGAGCTCAGATAAGATGGGTCACCACAAAGTACAACATGCATTAAAGAAAGATGAATAACAACAGTTACAGTATGGGCATTACAGCTATCCAGAGGATCAAAGAAATTATTTTAGCAGCAAAGCATGGTTGTATGCTACCGTGGGAGAAAAGAGAAGAGACAGATGTCGAAGACACACGGAAAGTATAGACTTGTCTTCTGGGTATCCTTCATCTAACTTTGAGTTTCAGTTAATTGGTTGTTACACAAAAGTGATTAGAGCAAGACACCAATTACATAAAATTTGGGAGTAACATCTCTCTTACTGCAACATTAAAATGCCGATTATAGAAAACATGATTTCAATAGCTACACACGAAAGAGACCTAGTCAATGACAATTTACTATGAAAATTTCGTAAAAAACTAATTACCTGCAGCATCTCAATTTGGTCGTCTCTAGCTTCATAATACTCCTGAAGGACAAATAAAAGTGCACATAAACTTGGAGAGAAGACTACAGGTTACCAAAGCTTACAACATAAACAAGTAAAAATTGCTGATGGAAGTGGCATTCCATGTACCAAGGTAACAGAAAACAATAATTGCCGTATAAACTCAAAAAGGATACCTCGATGTCATTGATAAAACCCTCAAGTGCACGGTATGGCGCATAAACGATAAGATCAAATCCAAGACTCTGCAAAACATAAAAGAAGATTAACACAAAATGCCATATTTATCAACAGTACAGAACGTGAAGTAGGAAAAACAGGAACCTAAAACTAATGCACATTGGTACCTGAAGAACTAGCATCTCATTGTTGAGAATCACGTGATGATCTTGTTCAATACCTTTTCCAAGCTCCTCAGCTGAGACATGATTTTCTTCTGCCTTGCAGGCCCCATATATGCATGTCAACCTAGGAAAATCACAAAACCCAATTTAGGAAAGAGCAATGATACATATAGTGAAAAAATATAGTGAATTTGGATAGTGACAAATGAAAAGACAAATACACCATACACATACTAAACATGTCTAGTTATTAATAAAGGGTAAAAATGTATGTCTGGGGAAAAAATTAAACTTCAACAGGAAAGTGGCAAAAAACTAGGGGCCATGATTATTCCACATCAGTCACTATGTTTCCTTTAGGAAAAGGGGGTGGAAAACTGGAAATGATGCAATTCTTCACACTGTGTCTCAAGGACCTCCGATCCAACATTTTCTTTTGGCAAGTGAACACTTATTTGAAACCAAGCTACCCAGAAAAAGAATTCTTTGAGGGAAGTTTGAATCTTACATGATGTGCTTTGGATGATGTTCCATAACAGACCATTGCAAATAAAACCTTTTGAAGTAAATAAGAGCCGTCGCCTGCAAAGGGCTGAAAAATTAAAAAAGAAAGACTTACATTAAAAGCATCCCCTTTCTAGATGTGAAGTCAGATTAATCAAATAAACGAAGTTCGCACCTGAATTTTACGTGGAAATTTAAAGGCATCACAGACATCTTGAATCTTGAACTCATAAAATGCCCTCAAAAGTTGTTCTTCTTCGACTTTGAGTGGTTTTGTTCGAGATTGATTTTCACCTGAAGAATCAAGCAAACAGAAACCAACCAAAAGTATTCGCTTAATGTTCATTGCTTTTTATTTAAGTGAAAACAAAAGCACAGAAGGGCTCTCAGAATTTAATTGTTGCATAATAACTGTTTTAAGGAAGGAATTTTACCATTGCCTTTTGAATCTGTTTCCGCATAAGATATGGACCCGTCAAGGTTCACTTCAACCTTTGTTGACCCATACTGCAGTGGGGACAAAATCAATTAGCATCACATCAGTGGTCAATAGAGTATCATAGTTTCACATAAATGTTATAAACCAACAGAGCATCAAGTTAGACTCTTATGATAAAGATACTCCTAATTAGAACCCCCCAACCCAAAAAAATACAACTAACTCCCAACAAGAATGGGATATAACAAGCACAGGAAAGCTCACAAATCTGACAGATGTCGAAGTTCAAAATCTCATATTCTAACAGATGAGCGCCAGAAGCAGAAAGGCAAATCCAAGTTATAAACGTGGGGAACCAATCATAATTATCATAAAGGCAATCAAAAATCTACTCCTTTAACAACAAAACAACTTTAGGAATTGAATCCCATCGAGCTAGAATATACAGCTACATTATTCACGTAATCAATTAATCGTCAAAAAAAAAAAAAATCCCTTTAAAAGAACTAGAGAATACCTTCTCCAGTGCTTGTTTTGCTCTCTGATTCGAAGCTTTGTATTTTTCCTTCTACAAAAAAAAACAACCACCAAGCATATAACATCGGTCCCGCAACAAGCCGGCCAAAACAATCATAAAGCCTAAACAAATTCAAAATAAATGAATTCCAATTATTCTTTGACATACAATAACCCCAAAATCAAGCGAATGTGAAAACGTACAAGGACTTGTGGAGTAAAAATCCAGTTGGCCCTGTGAGTTGACGTCGTGAAATCTGCCATTTACGGAATTTCTGGGAGCTCTTTTTCCACCCGACTCACACAGCGACAGAGGAAACAGGCCTTTAGGGGTTCTAACTTATTATTACAAAGCTTTCTGTTATTTTACGGTGATACTGGAGCGAGGGTACTTATGGAAATCCGAACAAAACCTATTCCATCTTTGCACTTTTCCTTTTTCAATTTTTTTTAATTTTTATTTTTATTTTTTAGTACATAAATTGCCATTAACCTGAAATATTTAGTTCAGTTCAGAAATACTCCCTCCCTCCCATAATTATTGTTTAGTTTTACTAAAATGAAAGATTTTATTTTTGGTCAAACTTAATTATATTTTACCTTAAACAACCGGATATACCCCTACATAAGTAATTGTTTAACCATTAAGATTTTATGGATAATGTTTTTTACTAAGGACAAATGTGTAACTTGATCCATAAAAAGTCAAATTGGACAATAATTTTGGGACAAAATTTTTTTGTCAAAGTGGACAATAATTATGGGACGGAGGGAGTAATATAATTGTTAAATCCTTATATATATATATATATATATATATATATTATTAAAGTGTTGACTAAATTCTGAAAACGATTCTTTACATTTTTTTTAACATGAAAATGATTCTTTACATTAGGTCAAATGAACATTTTGGTCTTTTATATTAACATTTAGTTAAAATGGTCCTTTATATTTTTGTTAATAACTTTTTTGGCACTTAAAGCCCATGAAATATTTATTAACAACTGTTTATCACATAAATTAATTCTTTAATTATTTCAATTAATTGTCTTATTATATTTGACATTTTAGCTTCTTAAATAAGTTGGAAATAAATATAAATTCCAATCCAAATATAATTGACTTTTGAACATAAAACCAACATCGTGCATAGTTTGTGAATTGAAAAGGTTGAAAGTTTTTTTCATGTCTCTAGGAGTTCTTCCTCCTCAGTCTATGCAGTTGTTTTGTAATAGTCTGGCTGCTTTATATATCGCAATTAATCTTGTTTTTCTTGAAAACACAGAACATATTGAATTTGAATATCATTTTGTGCGCAATGAGATTATGAAAGGTACTATCGCTCCTGGCTATGTTTCTACATATGTGCAATTTACTAATATTTTCACAAAATGTTTGGGGAAACCTTAATTCGGTTATTTCCTTGGCAAGATGGGCATCCGGAATCTTCATGCTCTAACCTGAGGGGGTATTACAATAACATATAAAATATTTTAAATATTTGTAATTGGACATAGATTAGTTTTTTACCAATTACTATAGATAGTTAGGTTTAGTTACGAACGAAGCAAGAATGACAGAGAAGATTTTTCCTTTTCAAATCAAATTCTTTTCTGCTTCTCTTTATACTATGTATTCAGCAATCCTTAAATACCATGTTATGTAGTGATAAATAACAGGGATTTCCATGTCGTTAAGGTAAATTTGTCCATTGTAGAGACTGGTTGTGACACTAACCTCGCTCTGTTTTAAGGAAGTAACAAATACAACATAAAAACATGATACAGTTTTAGGTGCAGTAGTTTTTTTAAAAAAAAAACAGATGTTATTCAATCCCTATATCAATCTTTTTATTCAAGTGTAGTAAAGAGGCATGTATATTAGGAAAAAAAAAAATCCTAATCAGTCACTAAAACTTAACAAAATAAGCACACTAAGGAATTTTATTTTGAATTTGAATTGGTGTTTATGAATTAGGAAATTGGATAAGTGGAATCGATTTTGAACCACAATTTTGACCATCAAAGTTACTTCGATTCATGTCTGTGTGTGTTTTTTTTTCCTTTTTTGTTTTGGACAAATGGATGTTGTGCTGTGGGTTTTTTTTTTTTTTTTTACACTGGAGAAGAGATTAGTTAGCAAATAATTATACTACGTATGTATATAATTGGAACCAAGTCCATATACATTATACGTGGATTAACATTATTTTTTATGATTTTATTTTAGGCATTTTTCAAAAGTAAAAAGAGATTACTTACCAAATATATTATGAATACAGTTTGAACCAAATCTAGATGCATTAAACATAGGTTACTATTATTTCTGAGATGATTTCATTTGATATATTTTTTTTTAAAAAAAAGATTAGTTATAAAAAATAAAAGAGATTTAGTTATCAAATTATTATGTTATGAATACAATTTGAAACTATTTCCAGACACATTAAATCTAGATTATTATTAATTTTTTATAGATGATTATATTTTATATATTTTTCAAAAACAAAAAGATTTGGATTACCAAAAATAAAAAGAGATCAGTACCAAATAATTTTGCTTAGAATATAATTTAAAACCAGATATGAATATGTTAAATGTAAGTTAATATTATTTTTTCTATAATCCCTTATGACATATTTTTTAAAAATAAAAAAAAAATTAGTCACTAAAAAAATTAATAAAAAGATTACGTTCTAATTCTCTGCTCTCCTTTCCTTCCCCTCCGTCCTCTATCTCTTCCCTTTCCCTCCTCCCCTTTCATTTGAATTTCCCTTTTTGTCTGAAAGGTATACACTGACCTCTCTCTCTGTTGGGTTGTAATTTTAGATGAATGTTTTTCATTTGTCGATAAAAAAGGAAGTATGATGGATTTCGATTGACATAGTAAGTTATACTTTTAATATTATTAACTCAATATTTAGAGTAATTATTAGAATTTTGCTTGGTTTCTTGCCTATATTGAGTGAAGGTTCGTTAACTAATTCCAGTGTGGATGCTTGTGGACGACTTTCCATCTGATTTTTGATTAACAATGAGAAGCGTGGTCGTTAATTATAAAAGGTTTATCAATGAAAAAAAATCTACATGATTTTTTCCCTTTGTTTTGAACTGTTAACTCATCATTCTTTTCCGTGCATTTTAAGCTTCAACATTATAAGAAAAAATTTGGTACTATTGACATACCTTTTCTTTTCTATAGGGGAGGCATTATTTTTTATACATGCATTACATTTTTCATGTTAAGGATTATTTCTATTGTATGTCATTGGCAAATTTTTATAAGTATAGGCAGTTTTATTCTTAAACAATCACGAGGGCCTCATTTTGGTATGCTTTTGCACCGTTGCTATTATTAAATTTCAATGGGTTGAGCTTAAAAATAGTTATGCATCAATCTTGCCCTAAATGAGTCAGATAGACTAAAACAAAATTGATCATGCTCTAGAGTCTCAAAGTAAATATATACTTTATTTGAGATATCAAAAGTTAAACATATTTACTTTAAGTGCATAATTATCAATGTGTTTTGGTTTAACAAGAGAAGTGTGGCACGATGATGGTAAAAGATTGAAATAAGTATCTCGAAAAGCATTCATAACTAAGGAAAAAGTTTGACGAACATGGATATGTATTTCGAAATGATTTATTAGTTTTTTAAAAAAAAGATTTTTTCTCCATATTTTTGTGTTTTATTCACTTTTGTTGGAATTTTCTTTTTTCCATTTTGCTTTATGCCTACAAAAGATTATTTATAATATTTGATTCAATTACTACAAGTAAACAATATATGCGTTTCAGTCAATATATTTTAGAATATACATGATTTAATTTATATTATTGAAAATAATTTTTATAAACTTATATCTCTAAACAAGTAGCATAGTAGAAGTTGATCATATTAATTCACATTTATTTTTTTATATATATACTAACACTCCTAAACGAGAAGTATATTAGGTAGTTGGAACATATTAATTTGTATTTTAAAAAACCCATACAACTACTTGATTAAAGTGGTAACAGTATTGGACCAACTTAACTACGATCTATGATTAAATATGCGCATGGGCATGTAGTAATGATTGTTGGGAGAGGTTTGTCTTCTGTAAGCGACCTCCCCGATTCAAAGACGGATTAGTTGGAACAATGACTTTGAACACCAGATGGCTATATACCAAAAGCGGAAGGGTAAAAAAAATATGACACTCTTGATTTCGGACTCCGTTACTGTACCAAAAAACGGGAAAAAAATAAAGCATCTGAAATTTTTATAGGAAAATAATAATATATTAATCTTACTCTAAAATACATTAAAATCCACACAACGTCCAGGCATAATACTAATTTTAGCAATAGTTGTGATTGTGGATGCTGGAAATTTTGAAGGAGTAAGAACGTCCTTGAAAATAGGAAGTGATTACATTCCATGGATGGAAAGTGCAGCTGTTATGTAGGAATTAGTTTTTGTATTTGAATTTGAAGTAGGAAATTACGGGCCTTTTACATGCACATATATCATAATAAATGTGCCTGTAATAAAGGAGAAAATCAAGTAACTGTAATATTATTTTTTATATTATTATTCATTTTGTTTTATTTATTTACATGCATATTTCGAAGGCCAAGTGTCGACATTTCAGTTTGCCTGAGATGTTTGGGTCGGAAAAAGTTTTATGTGAAACTGTCACGTGGATTTGGTAACTCCTTCTTATTAAGTGTAAGTGGAAATGTAAATGAATGGTGTAAAAATGATGGTAGAATTAATTCTAGAGTCCATTGAATTAGTTTTTTATTTTTTATTTCAAAGTGGCTAATTTTGAAAAAGGCAATACCAACAACCTAAACAGAATGTCTATAAAATCTGCACTGATATAACCGTTAGGTTAAATATTATGCAGTCTGCTATAATTACGATGAGTTTTGACATGGTTTTCTTCGAATTATAGACTTGGATAATCTCTGTATAATCATGACAATATTGCGATAGATGAAATTTAATCCTACTAACAATTTTATGAAGGAATATATTAGATTCAATGACGGTTCGGAATTTATGAGTGCTGCAATTAAAATGATTCAAGATTTTGTGGAAGGGGAATCCGATAAAAACGGGCGATTATTCTCGGGTACTTTCTCCCTTCTAAATCACTTTTTTTTAAAAAAAAAATCAGTAAAGGTGTAGATTTCTTTTTTTCTTTTTCTCATGGTGTTTTTGTATATTCAATGATGGTGCAGGAAAGTTCTTAATCTCTGTAGACAGACAGACAAAGACTACAATCAGCTATTGCATGACAAATGCAGGGAGAGTTTTGAAGAGTATCTCTCTTCAAAGGTAAGTTACAGATATA